TATCTAAAGATAGCAACCAATAGAAATTGCCCGGGACTTTTCCTGATATCGACGCTGTTCACTTTCCGCTGCAATGTTTCTTCCCTCTCCGGGGCTCTTTGGTGCGCACCGCTAACAGCGAACACGTCCGACTGTCAACAAATTTGTCCTCGATCATCTGCTTTCTCGTGCATATAAAAATCTCGGAATCGATTCTAACAGCCAACCTGAGCTAGCCTGCGTGCTGATGCCGTAGCTCTACTAAGATGTATTAAACTCAGTACCACTTCTCGCGACCCCTCCCTAATTCGAAAGCTGAACAGCAATAAGACTTCATAGCAATGAAAGGGGAAAAAACCATTACCTCTCTACCTCTCTATCATCAGGTGTGTCAGGTGTACCAGGCATCTCAAAACGTGGGAAGAAGGCTAGGTATACTAATGGTTACGGAGGGAAGCTGGCGCTCAGCCAGAGCTGCATAGCATATCAGCCTGAGTATCACTCTCACCAACAAGAACGGCACGAGCCCTCAGTACTCACCATATTCTTCGGCCAATGTTGGTGTTGGATGTGATGCAGCAAGGGTAACAAATGTAACCAGTGTAGTAAAAATGAGTGCGAACTGCATGTTGGAATTGAGAGTGGGTATTTGGGTACTTATGATAGTCGAACTGACCCTCTAGTCAAAATCGCGAGGGCTTTTATTCACCACAAACTCGGATGTATCGTAAGAACCAAGATACCTTCCGACTTAGCACTTATGAGGTATCCCTTACATTTCGGATCCGTGTCTGGTTAAGACGAACTTCAAATTGCTTCTCTTGCTGTCTGGATTATGTTGATTATGGTGCTTTTACATAGTCATATATTGCTTTATATCACTTTATATTCCAATGTGACGAAAACCTTTCCTATATATTGCGATATATAACGATATAATATGACGATGTCTTCTTCTCGCAGGTTCTGATGGCCCGCCGCCACTACTAGATGTCCACGGGAGTTCGCGCATTTTTGGCAAAACGGTTATTACTCCACATCGCACAAACAAACAAAATTAATTCTTTGACAGTTCGATAGCGTGACATCGAAAGTACAACGTCTGCTAGTTTCTTTTTCGAAAATTGACGTGTTGAGTCCAGCGGAGAGTTACCGCGCAGAAAAGTGCATTTTCCCTAGAGTTCGCGCACTTCGTCACACTATGTCACACGTCTGCCGCGATGCCTTTTCACGCTCCGCAGAATTCGCACCGTTTAGATGTTGTGAAGTTGTGCATGTGTAAAGCATTTCGGCATTGCGGAGTTTTGATTACACAGTCTCTATGTCACGCTTTGGGCAGATTGTCACGTCTGGGGCTTATTTCTTTATCGCAGATGATCCTGACAAGCATGTGCCCCGAATAAATTTGTTTTAGTATTCTCTAATCATGTATATAACCATCTCACAATATTCCAGAATTATATGTGGAGATCTGACCTTTAGAGTGAGCCTTCTATGCCTCTCGCACTGATAAGTTGCCCATGGAACAAGATCTACTTCGATTTTCTTCAAAAAATATATATGGCAGTGTGTATTATGTTTGGGCGAATCCAGATCTATCATGGATAAGGATTCTGTACAGAATTGCGTGTGCTAGAGTCAATGCGTGGACTCTTGGGACACACGGACTCGTGGGACCATCTAGTATAAATGTCTCCGATATATTCCACCTTCATGAGATCTGATTGGGTCGAGATGTTCCTGAAGACCAACTTGAAGTACTACTACTAGATGGTCCCACGAGTCCGTGTGTCCCAAGAGTCCACGCATTGACTCTAGCACACGCAATTCTGTACAGAATCCTTATCCATGATAGATCTGGATTCGCCCAAACATAATACACACTGCCATATATATTTTTTGAAGAAAATCGAAGTAGATCTTGTTCCATGGGCAACTTATCAGTGCGAGAGGCATAGAAGGCTCACTCTAAAGGTCAGATCTCCACATATAATTCTGGAATATTGTGAGATGGTTATATACATGATTAGAGAATACTAAAACAAATTTATTCGGGGCACATGCTTGTCAGGATCATCTGCGATAAAGAAATAAGCCCCAGACGTGACAATCTGCCCAAAGCGTGACATAGAGACTGTGTAATCAAAACTCCGCAATGCCGAAATGCTTTACACATGCACAACTTCACAACATCTAAACGGTGCGAATTCTGCGGAGCGTGAAAAGGCATCGCGGCAGACGTGTGACATAGTGTGACGAAGTGCGCGAACTCTAGGGAAAATGCACTTTTCTGCGCGGTAACTCTCCGCTGGACTCAACACGTCAATTTTCGAAAAAGAAACTAGCAGACGTTGTACTTTCGATGTCACGCTATCGAACTGTCAAAGAATTAATTTTGTTTGTTTGTGCGATGTGGAGTAATAACCGTTTTGCCAAAAATGCGCGAACTCCCGTGGACATCTAGTAGAAGGTGACGTTATAAAAGATAAACGTCAAAGTTCAGACTCTCTTACTGAACATTATCCCCACTCGACCAACCCATTCCTCAACTTTCTCGAGATTGATGCTGCTATCATCGTCATCTCGACTATCGACTCAGCATTCCCGTACTAAAATGACCCTCCACATGACTCATATGACACCAACATCGCAAATCACTGTAACTACAAAGTAGTGTATGCCCAAGGAACCCTACCCATGGTCTCGTTCGTTACCGTGAACGAATATCTTTGGTCACCGCACGCAGTCGGCAGAGAAATGAGTGTCCCAGGAAGAAAGGTGATCATCTTGCTGCCGCTGTCAGTGATCACACCCTGTATCGGAAAACGATGTTGACAATACCTACGGTCAGTCGGAACATAAGATACAAGACCATTTCGTTCGAATTGTCCTATGCTGCAACCCGGGATAAATACCCTCTTTGAACCCTTACGTATCACGAAGAACACATGTCGAGGCAGATTACTGGCAGTGTCAACACCCCGATGCAAGGGTGGGGACTGCTGGACGACCTCAATCGTGACTTTGCGGTCCAACAACTCCGAGTGGTTTTGGTCTGTCCGGCGTATCGTAAGCATCACACGTTGTCTAGCTTATCGAGGAGGTGGCACTTGCTAAATACCATATTTCATCAACGTTGGAGTTGTCGGCAAATTTCAACTAACCTCAAGCTGTCAACGGGTGTTGCCTCTGCGTGGTAAGTACAACCTTACTCGCACTCGCGTGCACTGTTTCGCTGCATTAACTGGAATAGTCATTGTGATCGTCACTTAATTTATATCCCTATGCCATACCATAGTACCGACTGAGATATGGACACAGGGAAACTCATTTGTTTGCATATTATTGATCTAGTCCGACCTAAAATATGAGAATATAAGCGGATTGATACAACAGTGTGACCACTGAGCGTCTCGCATTGACGTGTAGGAGATGAATCCTCGATAATTATGAATATAGCAGTCTACTAGCCATCTCGAATCCAAGGAACGTCGCCCCGTTCGCAAATGGTGAACTGATCGAGCGATGAGTTCGTGAAGTATTTCTGAGGAATAAAATGCGTACCGAATTAAAGTGGGCCCCAAACCACGTGTAAATGCGCTGATTCCCTCGCTTCTCCAAACTTTCCGCACACAATCCCGTGCCGAAGCATATTTTTGTCCAGTAGACGGGGTAAATCCGTCGGTCTGCATTCTAGATTTGATCATGTCTATAGGGTATATCACTGCCCAAAGCTATCGCAGAATTAGCTCAATGTACAAGCGAACATGCACAGGGTAGAGGGCATGGAACTTACTGCGTATCCAGCTGCTGCGCCATACAGAATAGAGTTCATAGGATTAATCTGGTCCCGTCGTATTCCCTTTTGGGTTATTTCGCGTTGTACAAGCTTTTCGTATGCCAAGAAATAGACGCCATAGCCTGTCGCTTCACGTAGAAAGGTGACAGCTTGTCCTTTAAATAGTCCAGAAATGCCGTGTTGTGAGACAATTTGCTTCATTGCGTTAAATGGACCCTTGTATATTGGATTCGTATTTGACTGCGTCTGCAGACCTAACGAAGAGGTTAAAAGCCGGATACTTGTCATAGACACAACACATATGACTCACGAATGCGAATGTGTTCCACTGGACCAGAAACCACACCGTTAGCAAGCCCTGCTGCAACTCCAGCGATGACCAGCTGCCCCCCACCCAACATCTTTCCTTCTTCTCCCCCTTCACCTCTAGCGAGATTCTGAACCGTGAATATCCGCTTTGCATACTCGAGGACTCCGAATTGTATCGATACACAGACACCGATTCCCAGCAACGGCGTTAACGTGCCCTAACATAATGATGTGAGAAAGAACGGTAAAGAGTGACAAGAGCATCACCTTATAAAACGCCAGAGGCCCTTCATTTTTCAAGATACCGCCAGCGCAATGCAGCATGCCACTGTAAGTGCCCTTCGCCGAAGTTTGCATGCGCTGAGGAAGAGTCATAATGTGTACGCAAGTATCCTTGCTTGGATTTTATAGCCACTCTCACCACTTTCACGATGTCGAAGGGTTGTCCAACCAGGACCTAATACGCAGATTGAGTCGACACGTAGCACTGAGCCTATTTTATACACACCTGAGCTATCCCTCCAGCCGTTCCAGCCGTAAGGTCCTTGATCGTGTTCGACATTTGCGACTGGCTATTCCTGAGGGAAAATTAACCTAAAACGCGACTTTGGACCGTTTGGAACTTGAAGTAATCAGCTGGCAATTATACAATTGCGGAGTTTCATACAAGAGCATTTGCCGACTACTAGCGCGGACATAACTCCCACTTACTAGCCAGCTCATTGACACGAATATGATACGTAGAGACAGGCCTCGCCAAGTCAGTTTAAAGATGGACAGTTGGCTACGTTAATAATAAATTGATGAAGTTCAGTACATATGTAGATGCTTGCTCTGGTTTGTACCCGACCATTGACCAATATCATAATCATATGACCTTCCACTAAGCATCTCATCTCAATACCTAGTACTTATGACTGAACCTAGATCCGACCAAATTGACGCGACAGCGAGCTCGACCGCTAAACAAACTGGAGATGAGGAGGGAGATGAATGGGTTGAAGAGGACGAAAATTATGATGACGATGACTACGATGACGGAGAGGAAGAAGCGGAGGAAATTGCGCGTCGGTTGAAGGAACAGCTATGGGCGGACATTAGCAAAGCGCAGGCAGACCGCGTAAATGTCACTACGACGGCATCAACGTCAACTCCTAGTGCACCCCTACATGATGGTGCTCCGTCTGCGGTTCCTTCTCCAGTCCTGATCACACAACCACCTTCCCAATCATCTATGTCGTCCAAGAAGGAAGAGGCCGCCTTGAAGACGATGGGGAACGTGCTGAACATTGCAGGAAAGGATCCTCTGGTTCACTCAACTCTAGCGTCTGCGGTCGTTCCTGGTGCAGGCAACAGCGTTCTGGAAATACTCAATCACACAGTTGCCGCTGGAACAATTTCCAAAGACCTTGCAAAATCACTCAGCATGACCCTCGTATCTTTGGCTCGCTCCGACGCTCTTTTTGCCGCACTGCGTCACTCTAATGCGCCTGCACTACAGCTGGATAAAGGCAAGAGGAAACGCGACGAGACTGAAGAAGAACAGCGGAGGAACGAGCCACGAGCCTTCAAACGGCCAACTTTCGCACATGGCCATTTACAGAGCCAGATAACAGACGCAGTTCGCGTGGTTTCTGAAACTTTAGCCTCCCATCCACCTTCCAACGGCCCGCCAGATCCGTCGATCATATCCTCAATTCAGCTACAGTTACATCAAATATTTCTTTTTGCGGTCACCTCTTCTGCCAGAGGAGGACCTGAGACAAACGCCTTACAGGAGATCAGTGGACTCATTCAGGTGGTTGGAGTCCTGAGTGGTAGTCCCATTGGCCCCACCGCTGTCGCACCGAACGCTCATATGCAACCCCCTGACGTATCAATGTATCCTCCCCGTCCATGGATACCGCCGGGAACTGGTCCTCAGCCTGTCCCTTTCAGCGACATTGGTACCGCAGTATACCCCTGCCTGGTGCCAGGTTGCCGCAAGATTTTTGCGCGATTATTTAACCTACGAGCGCACCAACAAGTACACGCAGTGCACAGGCCATATCGCTGTGCTGCATGTCCTGCCTCGTTTGCCCGAAATCATGACCTGAAACGACATGCCAAACTACACGACAAGACGGGGTATCAGTGTGCCGGCTGTTACAAGTTATTCTCGCGGCGTGACGCAATAAAGAGGCACAAAAATAGCAGCGCAACTCGTGGTGGCAAAGGGGAGGCATGTGTTAACGCGGCAATCAAAGAAGTCGAACTGGACAAGGAGAGTGGGGACGATGCGCTGCGGGAAGGTCGACGGACACGGATGTGGGCTGATATTGTGACGCATTCCGTGGCATCTACAACAAGTTACGGAACGTTTGGTGATGATTGGGGTCCGGAGGAGGGGGAAATGGATGTCGACGTCATCGGCCATGCACAAGAAGCTGTGCTTAGCCTCCACAAGACGTTGCAATCACACGTGTCCAGCGCGCTGGGAACAGCCGTGGATCACGATATCCCACCAATGCAGATTGATCCGGCTGGAAGTCAAGCAACTTTGGCTAGCGTCATCGCTAGGGCCCAGCTACAAAATATGCCGGCCCCTCAAAATCAACAAGACAATTCAGCGGTGAGCGCTGCCAATCATATCACGGCCGAATCGCAGCCTTTCCCTGTGGACGACGGATGTGGCGTTCCGAATGATGATTATCCTGTTCCAATCGCGGACAATGCAACTGTTTCTGCACCGCCGTTATCACTGTATGGTCTTTCGGAGGAACAAGCGCGACTTTTGGAGCAGGCAATCGCTAATGCTGCGTCTGCAGCTCAAGCACAGGCAGAAGCGGAGGCTGCGTTGGAAGAACAGGAAGAGGACTATGAGGAGGATTGCGACGAGGACGATGGTGAGGAGACAATATCAACTGTTGGAACCGAGGTCCCTTCAACGTTAGGACAATAATATTGTCTATGTATTGTCAGTGCGCCAAGTACGTATCAATCTCTGACAATGAGTACTATAGCTTTCTGTCACCCAGGCATGTCCAGCAGCCTTTAGCCTGTCTGTAATGCATCTATCTAATCGTACAATTGATATCGTCCAAAGTAATGAATATATGTACACAGAATGCGAATAACCTGAATGGCGATGGCATGACAGCAACGTGAGTAACGGACTGAATTAATGGAGGTCGTCGCTTACTGTCAATAGTCATGCCACCAAGATACGGACCCTACATCTTTCCCCGTGGTTTATGATGTGACCGGGGTACTGTGTAGAGCTCTTTGCGTTTTGCCTCTGCTTGCCGCCAAAATTCTTGACTTTGCGGAGACTCGCGTCGCCACGCCTCCGCGATGACTTGAGCGGGCGATAAGTTTGCGCGACACATAGACCCTGTACTCCCATCTTGTTTTGGGCGGGGGTCGGACGTCATCGCATTCTAGAATTCAGAAAACATACGAGTTCAGGAATCCGAAATACAGAAGAAACCGATGTAGCAAAATTGGCGTACGGCAGCTCAAGGTTCAAACAGGTGGGACTCCGACATGGACAGGAACCGGGTGATTGGACTTTTATACAAGGTTTGGTTAGTGGACCAAATCTTATTTCCTTCCGTCTGCGGGAGCGCGTCGATTCTCGAGGTAGACCAGGGGCAAAGCCACAATTGTTGTTCGCCCTATATGGAAGGATGAAAGCGGGCGGATAGACCACCGGACGGTATATCTAGGCCTTCTGCGATGAGCGCAAGACTTCGCGTAGTAGCCGAAAATGGGTAGGGAACAAACGAATTTCCGTAAAAGGCAGTTTCAAGGCGGACGGCGCACGTAACTTTCATGGATTGAGCGCTGTGTTAAAACGCCTCGGGCAAATTGGATCAAGACATGTCATGGCTGAAGCGACGTGCATTGTCTTGAAGGTTAACAGGGTGAGAGAATGGGTTGCCTCGTGTTTGAATGTACATGTGAGCTTTGAGTCGGATTGGAGGAGAACGAGTCAGGGGGATCAGCCAAACAGGGTCACCCACGAGTGTGGCAAACGCGGCATAGCAGCGGTGAATAGCCTGGGTGTCAGGGACATATTGCTCAGCCAACAAGGCACTGTCCGTTCTGATTGGAGTGCCAACCACCAAGCTTTGACCGGTTCATAGGCACAGGAAGCACGGAGAAGAAGCACTCTACTTCGAAATCACCTCAAATCTGGTGGCAAGAAGTGACTCGCATGCATTGTAACCCAAGTATGGGAAGATCAATGTACATTGTACGACCTCATCTTCGGAACATATGCGTGAATTGTGCAGAAAGAAGATAAGATTGGCAAGTACCTGCAACTTAGACACAAAGGACTTGTCCACGCGCTCGCAGTTGCGGAAGTCCGAATAGAACCTACAGTAAGGTTCGATGTGACTCCTGCCATCATGATGGGCGGCCGCCACAGTAGCTTAGCCTAGTTCCGGGGAATGGAAGTTATGGAATGCGGGGTAAATTGACGCTAGTAGCAGGACCACGACAAGGTATTACAATTTTATGGTCTATCGTTTGGTCCGAGTAGCGGCACCGTGTGTGTCCGTCAAGTTTGTGTGTGGCCACAGGTCAGTGTGTTCTCGAGGGGGACTCGAAATAGGGACCCGTGTCAACCAATCATGATGCCACGCGTGACCTTGCGGCCTGCCGTCACTTCAGCCGGGTTAGTAATTAGTACTTAGCCGGAGCACTGAAACTCACGTACTTATATTACTGAAATCTCTTCCATTGTTTGACTACCTTCCGAGCATTGCACACTGTCAGGATGGCCGAAGCGTCAGTGTCATGATTTACATACATGACAGCATCCCTCTCACAGATTTGGTTTGCCAGATTTACGAATTTCCTTGCCGGATCACCTCTCAATCGTCTATCATGGCTGAGGTCATCTCATTCATTCCTCAATGCAGTCGTCGTTTCGCCTGCTACGAGGTGGATCTTATTCAATGGGGGCCAGCCACTTATCGCTTCTCATACTGGTACACAGAAACGAAGTCTGGCGTTGTTGACCACCGAGGACGTTAGACCCTTGCTCGGTGCCGAACCATTCTTCGGTCAGGGCGAGCAGGAAGGGCAACATTGCGCATCTGATTTACCCGTTCTCGAGGCTGCCCGAGTCCGTGGTCCATCAATAGTATTCCTTGGTTTGAAAGAGACGGGAAATTCGGGAAATGCTCTCCCATCTTCCGAATTCAAAGATCCCCATTCTGCTGTTGCGAAACTTATAGGAACCCCTTACTTTTCCGCGGATGTCGCAGACCTCGATGAGAGCAAGATCAATGAAGCCATCGGGAACACCGAGCTTGCAAAGGATGGGTCGACACTGACTTTTGTGGAGCCACGCGCAGCGATGTCAAGTCTTGATGCGTATACTGCAGCGATCTTTGCGGAGGCTCGGAGCATGGTAGATTGGAACCAAAGGAACAAGGTATGTGCTAGTTTCTGCAGACAGAAACCTTGACGGAAATGTGACGATCTAGTTCTGTCCTGCTTGCGGTTCACCCGTATATTCCTTGTGGGCTGGATGGAAGCTGAGCTGTACATCTCTACTTCCCTGGGCCGATAATACGGACAGGAAACCTTGTCCCTCCGGGTTCGTTCCAATACTGCATAGGAAACAATCACTCATATGACATGAAGGCGAGGGCTGCATAATTTTGCTCATCCTCGGACGGATCCCGTCGTAATCATGCTCGTCATCGATGAATCAGGAGAGAAGGTCCTTCTCGGGAGAAATGTGAGCATACTGATCTTTGATCTAAGCTGGTTTCTAACTTAGCCCCAAACAGAAAAAATTCCCCGGTCAATTCTACTCCGCACTTGCTGGCTTCGTGGAGCCAGGCGAGTCCTTCGAGGATGCCGTCAAGCGGGAGATGTGGGAGGAAGCTGGAGTGAAGGTCTGGAACGTCCGATATCACTCTGGACAGCCTTGGGTACGTTAACTCTGCACGGCAGAATTCCAAGCTATCAACCCCGGCATTTTAGCCCTATCCAGCCAACTTGATGGTCGGCTATTATGCGACCGCTGATTCTTCTGCGCCAATCCGTATAGATTTAGATAACGAACTCGAAGGTCAGTCGTCTGCTGTAGAAACGTCGATGTCGAAGTCTGACTCGGGGATATCCCATAGATGCTCGGTGGTACACCAGAGAGGAAATTCTCGCTGTCTTGAGACATTCTAGTGGAACTCAATTCTCTCGCCGTGACTACAAGAAGATCGCAGAGATCCAAGATGGTCCCGATAACAACCCCGTATCAGCGGAATCAGAACAGTCTGTCGAAGTTAATAACAATGACGAGCCGCCGTTCAGGATACCCGCGCCAACAGCCATCGCAGGCGTTCTCATTCAGCATTGGGCCGAAAAATCCCAATTCCAGAAGTGGATGCGAACAGGACTGTAGTTCAATGATCGGCGAACAAGTAGAAGAATGACATAGAAGTAGATCTAGAAGTAAGACATATAAATAGATGTGGGATGCACATGGTTCAATCTATTCATTTGGAAGAGAAGGGAGACCGCCACGAAAGGTTACCATTGCAGGGTAGAGTCATCGGAGAACGAGACGAGATTGGTAAATATTTACAATACGAGTTTCGAATGGGAATCAAGAACTCACTAAAGAATAAATCTATAAACTAACTACTCAAACTGTAAGGGGACTGTAACTATGTAACGAAAGATGCAGCGGCAGTCGCGTACTGAACAAAGGGAAAGTCATTTCAGACAACTAATACTGGCAAAGACCGTGATTGCGATAAAGTATGAAACGAACGTAGTAATCCATGTCAACGAATGTGATTCGGCACCGTGGTGCCAGACAATAAAGTAGTGGAGACGCATCTAAGAGCACTTAGAAGCATCGATAATAGAGTCGAGGAGCATATCTTTGTAATCGCCGCCCGCCTCCCACATCGCGAAACCGCGCAGCTTGGTGTCCTTGATATATTTGCCCTTGGCGGCAAACGATTGGACGTTGTCGAAGGAGACCATGACTTGTGATCTCTCATTGTACACATACGGCTGTACAAACAATGAAATGAGCGCTCTTCATTCAGGGTGGAAGAACATATTTACCGTCTGACTGCAGGCGTCGTATCTGTAGTAGATGCCATCAGCAGGCGTGCCTTCTTTGGTCAGGAAACCGTTGTCAATGAGGCCCCAGAAGTTGAAAGTGCCACCTTGGGCCTCGTAAACGCCACAGACGTCAACACCACCGGTGTTATCCCATGAATCACCCAAGGGCTGGTTGGAGGCATTATAGGCGGGGTATGCAACCAGCTTCTTCGTGTGGGACTTGAAGGCATCAGAGGGAGGAACGCTGAATGAGTGACCGTAGGAAGCAACACCGAGTACGATCTGGTCGACTGGCATCCCTGCGGCCGTCCAAGTCTTGACTGCAGAAACGGCAGAACCCTGTTGGTTGGCGGACGCGGCGCAGGAGTCGTTCAGCGGTGCGTTAGGCCCCACAGTTGGGAACCAAGAACCCCAAACGTCATAATTCATCACTGCGACATAATCGAGGACTTTCGCAAACCCAGTGACGTCTGTCAAAGGGTGACCGGCAGCATTGAAGAAGGGTCCCAGTCCTACAGCGGCCGAGAGGGTAAGTTTTTTCGCTTTTGGGTTTTCGCGAAGCTCTTGGAGGAATGCGAGGAAGTTTGCCGTGTCGTACACGCTGATGGTGTTACAACCGATTCCCTGATCGTTCGGGGACTCCCAGCTGTTGGCAATCAAGGATGATGTAGGTCAGCATGTGATGCCGGAGTCATGGGGATCAACCTACTCAAATTGGATGCCATCAAGCTTGTACTTTGAAGCAAAATCTACCACAGTTCGGACAAACGCCGTCCGGTTTTTGGCGGTGGCAAGGTTGGAGGAGAACCAAATACTCCCGGTCCAGCCTCCGACAGCAATATGGGCCTCGACACCCTGCGCGTGAGTTAGACATTAATTGTAGAAGCGACAAATGCTTATTTGCTCACATGTGCATGGGCCTCAGAGACAAATTTAGGGAGCAACTCCCCATCAGAGTCTGTCAGGCTTAGACTAGTGACGTCACGAGTTGTTTCTCTAAGAGAAACAAACATGATTGCGTCAACTAAGGCTATTTGGGTTTGCGCCAATACAGGTGGCTCACGCAAACGAATAGTACAGCGTGTTGTACTTGTTCCAGCTAACTGAAGAGAGCGGGAATCCTTCCGTCGCATGCCATCCGCCGTACCAAGTTGCGACGACGGGCTTAGTGGAACGGGCGGCAATGGAACGGGCGTCAAGCGGGCTGGCGCTTACATTAAGATTGGTCAGCGCAAGAAGAGATAAAAAGAAGGTGGATAGCATGGCGAGGGAACTCGATAGCCTGAGAACGATTGTGACCGCGGAGACAACTTCTTATAGCCTTTCCGTCATCTTGATTTATTGGCTTGTTCGGGACTAGATAGCGATTTACGTGGTTGCAACTGTGCAGTCGGACTGCCCCGCGGATGGATGATCTTGCGGTATGAGTGACTCGGACTCTAGTACTATGGAAGCGGTCACTTGATCGGACTTGTCGGTGATCGTAGACCACGAGCCCGTGCGATGATCTGCCAGGATGCGGAAAAAGGTAACTTCATAGGGCAATATTAATGATAGTTCATTCATGACCATATCAGATCAGTCCGAATCTCATAACATTGACTGTAAGGCCCCGTCACCATCTCTCAGTATACATTCCCCTTCGAAAAGTACACGGTCAGACATCCCGTTGTCTTTGATGTACTGAACGCAGGCAACATCAGTTGCTCCTGGTTGGCACCAGACAGCGGGAATCGAAAGTTTCTCGATTTGTTTGAGCAGATTAATTGTGATCTTGTCAAAGACGGATTCAGTAGCGACACTGAACGTGGCGACATACTACTGACCTTAGCAGGCGTTATGATGCTCACTGACGTTTCGGTTGGGTTCGGAAGGTCAGTTAAAGACCGTATGGTCTTTATACCCTCCAACTCATCATTCGACGGGTGGACCGGGGTTACTGGCCTGTTCCGTTGGATATACCATTGCAGAACCTATAAACGATATTGTCATGTCTACGACAGATGTTGAAATAAGGAGTACCTTTGTGCCGAACTTTGACCGGTCTGTGGAGGCGCCGACCACAGCATAGTGCGGAAATGACAAAAAGAGCTTTTGCTTTTGAATGGTGCTTGCCATGATGTTAAGAAAGAAAGCTTAGATGGCTAGAGTCACTGTGTGAGATTGTGAGTAACGTGAGTCTTCCACTGCTCGACAAGGAAATACATTATCCATTTATAGCTGTTGTGACGCACGCAGATAGTTGGCTTTCATTTCGTGCTTATGCTTGAACGTTCTGAACTCTTGTAGGAGCTGAAAATTCACAGTATAACAAAGAAGGAATAGTCGCCTTGCTTATATTCGGTGCATAGGTGAGACTAATACACGCGGCAGGACGTGGAAAATATATCAACAGCCTTGGATAGCATTGATCCCTACTCATTCCTGCAAAGACAATTAAATCAGAGGAATAGGGATACGGTGTGTATGGAAATGAACATTTTACCCTAATATTTACCCAGTCACCGATGATTAAATGGCCGCGGCAGAGACACGAGGAAATTCCGAAGGTCGTGTGCATCATGTTGCTGGCGACATTTCGTTGGAGTATGCTACGACCACGGAATGACCCACTGCCGGAATTTGAAAGCAACAGTTGCTAAAGGCGCGGAACAGACAAAAAGACCGGACGATGTACGAGGTGGCTGATTCCGAGCAAAACAATCCATACTATCTATCAAAAAAGATGGGTTGGCGAGGAAAGGTGCAAGGTACACGTTTTAACATTTCTGGTTTGTTGATTTCTGTAGGACGAACTTGAGCAAGGTAGAAACGGAACAGAGAGGTACGCGTACTACATGTCATGGGTTGCGAGCAGAGAAAAAAGAACCTCACACATGAACGTTTGAACAGTCACTGAACCCGGTTTACGAGGTTATTCTTTATTCTTCCCGTTGAAGACCATTTGCAAGTCAGAGCTCGGTGGTATTTTGCAGACTCAAACAACCCGCGACGAATTGCCACAAAGTTCAATTGATGCAGAGCCGTGGGAATGTCGCGCACGGGCCAGGCCAAAAAGATATATAAGCCTTGCACGCAAATAATGAATTCCTTAGAACATACTCAGCTAGGATCTATTTTATAGAAACTAACTCGAGTCTCGCATGTTTACACATGCCACATTCTTCAAATCCACTCGATGACAATAGCGCTCTCTCGTTCGACAGAGAACATAGCTTCGCGTTTACGTGGGGTTTCGAGGACGTTTGGTTCTGTGCTTCGCGCGACTGCTTGCAGTTTAGTGAACCGGAGCCAGCGAGTCGAGCGTCTGTCTGATGGATCTCTATTTCTATCATACGAGTTTTGTCTACAATATAATTTTCTTTGAATGATGTCAAACTTTAAATTGGAAGCTTCGAAGCCTTGAGACACTGCAATGCATTACACATCACAACCGTCCTTTTGAAAATGTGGTATTAGTGTATGCCACGCAAATACCAGGTGTTACAGTTCATGTAGCATGTGCAGTCAATTATAAGTTTGAGCACGTATTTCAAGGACTTCGTTCATTTCATGCCATGAAACTTTTCGAGTTGACTTTACCTCCCTGGTATTCCAACGCAGTTGTCCGTCATATTACGTTCGGCATCCTCGTCGGGTTTACTTTGTCTGTAACATCGACGTCCATATCATCATATTGGCGCTCCCGACGACTTCAAAGCATTTCCCAGGAGCAACAGAAGTCTCGACCAATTGAGTTGAGAAGCAATGAAGTTGTATATGGTGTCACCGGGTTGATAGGTATGTCTCTTAGCCGTTTGACCGTTCTTCGAGGGCATCAAACTTTGAACGTCCAGGAAATACGCCTTTGGTGAGGATCGACTCATTGAGTGATGCTTTGGGAGTCGAGATTCTTGGAAAGGCAGAGGTATGTGTCGAGCTAGAACATGTCTCTTCAATGTTTCTAACTTTACGGCAATTTATAGTTTCTGAACCCTGGAGGAAGTGTCAAGGACCGAGTTGCCCTACGCAGTGAGTTTGTTGCGCAGCAATCGACCTAAAACTCATTATCTTACGGACATCAAGTAATCGAGGACGCAGAACGACGAGGTTTGCTGCACCCTCACACTGGATCCCGCATCTTTGAAGGCACTGTTGGATCTACTGGCATCTCAATAGCGACGATAGCCAAGGCAAGGCAAGTGACCTTAGTTCTGGTGCGAGAACGTCGCGTCTGATAACATGGTGTTGCAGGGGATATGATACAAGTAGGAAAATTCCTCGAGCTGTTGAACCCAACTCACGTTTCTTAGCGATTATCATGCCGGATGATGTTGCCCTGGAGAAGGTTAATGCGTTACAGGCCCTTGGAGCTGGTGTCCAGCGTGTCCGTCCTGCGAGCATCGTTGACAAAAAACAGGTGCGAGCTCATATCGTGATCGCCATTTCATTTATTGACCAGAATCGGTATGATAATCGCAGTATGTGGTGAGCAATTTCTATGTCGAGGAAGATCACGCAATGAATATTCCTAAATCTGCAAAAAGAATATCGCTAGGCGAGCAGCCATCGAATTCGGACGTTCAGATATAGGGAAAGGCTTGGAGGAGGCCCACAAAAGCCACGAGCTCCATACAGGTTCTGCATCTGTAGTGGTCACCACTACATCGTCGCACGTTAGTGCAGAAGGCAGCACCGATGACCCACTGGATGAAGATCTGCTAAGCAAACCAAGGGGCTTCTTTGCCGACCAATTCGAGGTGCTCACCTTGATAAGTGAATGGTGACACAACTCACATATCCATAGAATCGCAGTAATTTTGAAGCCCATTACGACGGGACTGGTCCAGAAATCTGGCGTCAAACTAATAGTCACGTCGATGCATTTGTATCTGGAGCAGGTGCGCGTATATTATGTTCGAGTTGTCTGGTTTCTTAATACTGTATGAACTAGGAACGGGCGGCACGATCGCAGGCATTGGACGATTTCTCAAATCGATGGATGAGGAGGTGCAGGTCGTCCTAGCAGACCCAGAAGGCAGCGGGCTTTATAACAAGGTCGAAGCTAGTCTTTGTCGGCTGCCCGATTTTCTCTCATACTCCTTCAGGTCAAGCATGGCGTATTATACGACCGCAGAGAAGCTGAAGGAACAAAACGAAGGCATCAAGTTGACACAGTAGTCGAGGGAATGTGTGTATACAAGTACCATTTTTCATTTCCCCTTTTGACTTATCCAATCTCCAGAGGAATCAACCGGATGACAAACAACATCGACCTTGCGATACCGATCATAGATGACGCGTTCCGGTACGTTGAATATTTCATCTCCAAGCTCAATGGAAGCTCATTGACGATGGCAGGATAACTGACGTGGAAGCGGTTGCCATGTCCCGATACCTCGTCCAAAACGATGGCCTATTTCTGGGCTCCAGCAGCGCCTGCAATCTGGTCGCATGCATCAAATTCGTAAAGAAAAGGGGATGGCGGGATGGTCAAACACTTGTCACGATCTTGTAGGTTTCCCTGGACACCCGCGGAATAAATGATGTGATTCACTGTCTTCCCAGATGCGACTCTGGCAACAGACATTACTCCAAGGTGAGTGTATGGTATCTAGCAAGACAGAATGATCCCTAATGCGTTTATGCTTGGTTGTTGTCAGTTCTGGTAAGAAAACGTCATGTTTGGTTGGAGAAATGTTGACATCTGTGTAGGAATGATGATTACTTGCGTAAAGCTAACATCCCGGTCGACCGCAGTATCATTGACGATCTAATCGCCCAACCAGCTGGTTCTGGAGTCTAAAATCTCAATAATGAATCCATAAGTTGCATGTAGTAAATAATGTATGCGAGTGCTATGGTACAAATGCTACTTGATAAAGCAAACGGCGGGGTAAAGATAGCAGGGACGTCAAATTGAAGGCCAGAGTGGGGCAGATATGCTAGGTGGTGAGTGGTTGGGCATTGGTCTGTGACCAAATCCGTTTTGACTAATGGACAGATTCCCTGTTGCGGGAGGATGTGGTGAAATGCGTGGAGTATCCTTCGATGGAGATACGCTCAGTGATGTATGGGAGATGCCGTTTACACTAGAGAATCTTGTTTGTATCCAGCTTATAGGAGAGAAAAATTACACGTACGAGGTATCCTGAGCAGCAGCTGGAGCAGGAGGCGGGTCCGGTGTGATTTTGAGGAAGCCGGCCTGCACCAAGAAGTCCCAAACTCGACTCGTCTTATTCACATCGATCTTGACGAGATCTCGCGCTTCCCTGCGGCGAAGCTTGCCTCCACGACGAGCGTACTCCCGGACGAGGGTCTCCTTGATGACGAGATATGGTTTGGGTAAGATTCGGAGTTGCGAGCAGAGCGTCTGCTCAGCTGGGGTAAGTAAATGCAAAGATGGGCTATTGGCAAGATTGAGAGGAGCGGCTAGATAGTAAAGTGAGCTATTGTATCATGCTGTCGGATGAAATAAACGAACGCGGTCTGCGGATCGGAGGACCCGTTCCAGCAGGAGTCCCAAGTTTAGGAGTTGATTCTCTCTCGTGACTTTTGCGACCTTCTGAATCCCCTGCAATAGTGTCAGTAAAGAACGTAAACAGGGAAAATGAAGAAATAACATACTGGCGCTGCCTGATGCACGGAGCTGTGCCAGACGTTCTGAAGAATAGTAGTCGCGAGATAAATTTGCTTTCGCTTGAGTCTAATCGTACACGTAAGCTGTCTGACTTGAAAAAACAATTATGGGACATTTCTTACCCTGCGAATGGAATCGAGTTCGAACTTATCGATATCGGCCGGAGTAGTAAGTCCCATTCGCCGATAATGTTGCAGATCTTGTATTCTCTTTCTTAGCATGGCTTCGTCTGTTGCAGTGACATCGTCAGCGCCTTTCCACTACAATGTTAGAAGTTCTTACAGAGAATATCAGCTGTGAAAACTTCAAAATCCTCAGCAGTCTGAAGTCGAGCAAACGGTCGGAGTCGTTGAACAATGTCCTTTTCTTCCTTCGGACGCTTCTTTTCCGCCGCTTGCATCTGAAAAAGAAGTGAGTTTATGACGTGCGCACACACATCGACATACCTTCTTGTATTCCAAGAGACCTCGTTCATATATGATAGATTTGGCCTCTCGTCGTTTGTCGAGACGCTGATTGTACATCTCCATCAGTGTCAGCTTAAAGGCGAGTGATTCTTCCGTCTCATATGGAGGAGGCAGTGTCGCTTCTTCCGCATTTGCGTCGTCCTCCGTTGAGGCCTGCTGTTCGCTAGATGGTTCCTCTGACTTGACACGCGAATCGCCGTTCATTGGAAGATGTCCGTTGCCATTCATAATGCCATTAACACCATTGACAGGTGGCTGACTGCTGTTTCTGGAACCGGCAGCAGTTTTGCGTTCTTCCTGCATCCGTGCCCTGGCGCGGACATCCGCGTCATTCTCATCTTCTATAATCTGATCACCGCCCCATGCATGGCAAATTCCAAATTCTAGATCCTTTACAAGATCCTCCGCTTCATTATCGAGCTCATGTTCGAACTCGAGCCTACCAGGGAGGAAAGTGGCAATTTCATGTACCCCGGGGGCGGAGGTTGGGGCTACCTTGGGTGGAGGAGGTAAAGAAGTGGTCATGGTTGACATTCGCCTGCGCTTGCGAGCCTGGAATTCATCTGGTTCAATGTTGAATTCGACATCCATCCGCTGTAATACAGTTCACTCAGTGAAGGGACAGGCTTGAATGATATGGACGTACAGGAAGTGGCCAATTGGGGGAATTGACATATATGCTATTGTAGTGTTCTTCTACATCTTCCTTTGTGCGAGTACCAATGTGTTCTGCGATCATCTGCCAATTTCCGAGGCCTTCCTGAGATATTCCCTCGATAAGTAAGAGCTCCCTATAAATACATTTCAGATGAAGCGATGACTCCGATGAGGTAACTTACTCATCTGCTCCCCAGTCAGCAGAGAAAATTGGATAAGAGTGAAGTTCCTAACATGCCAATCAATATAAGACATACGTCAAGTGCGAATTTGTCGTACAATGACTCGGTATGCATGACCTGCTTTGTGTTTGGCGAACTCTTTGCCAGCGCAAAAGCAGGTAGGGCAGATATCTACGCCATCTCCCGGCTCACAGACAGGATCGGCGCACTTGATACGAGCAGAATGGGTCAAGTCGCATTGACAGCAATCACATTGAATCTGCAAGCCGGGCTCGTTTACAGCTGCACAGTTTACGTAAATAAAGCGTGAGAAAGATATTCCATGGAGCAGAAGACACCATTGGAATGGGTGGAAGAAACCACATACTTTGGATTTCATCCGGTTGGTGTTGTCGCTTTCTATGGGAGACAGTCATCCCAGAAAAAATGGACGTGCAAGCTCAAGGTACCCGGGCCGGAGCTCGAAAGACGATGGAGCTTTGAGCCCACGATCTGAAACTGGTTAGCGCAAACATAATCATATGATCGCGAGAGAACGTACAGAGAAGTTGTATATCAGCTCTCTGCCAAAAGCGAAGGTAATACACGTCGTCGACAATAGAAGTGATAGAATGCGCTAGTCGCTGTGCGACGCGGAGTGACCGGTGACCGCCGGAGTCCTGCAATGTGTCGAGAGGCAATCCCAGCAGGGTGCTTGTTGTGAGGTCAAAGGTGCTGGTTTAGAATACGGAATCGAAAGATGTACAAGGTCTCGGCAACGTGCTGACTGGCGCCAATGCCAGAGACGAGGAGGAGAGTATTTACATATATTTGGCTCCCCCGCCCTATCCAAAAGCGGATTACCAGCTGATTCAGCTGTCTAAAGTCAAGGTAAGGTCCTAACTCTTTGCTCTTTGACCACACCACAGCGACAATATTCAATCTACAATATTGCGGCGCATATCTAAATGTCGACAGCCTCTAGTTCACAATGTCGAGGAATTTCACACTACAATAATCAATTCAGGTGTGGTACATCTCTGAAATGACTCGGAATGCCGACTTCCAGCTTACAATGTCGAGGCAGTAATCTAGCAGTACACGCGGTACGACACCTTCATTGAATGATTTACTTGTCAAGGACACCATAAATGTCGAGCATGCTATGCATTCCAGTGGCCTGTAAATGCACAAAGTTATATATCAGAGCTCAAGTATAACCTTGTTCCTCCAACACACGTCATTATCATTGTCTCGGACTCTCAGAATATGATTTGGATGGACATAACCAATGATGAATCAGTTGTGGACTCACGGTAATCTGATTTTAGAGATATCCGCTTTAGCATTGACGTCAGTATGCCATGGTAGAAAACGTGTTTTTATGATGCCCCCCTTGTGGGTATCTGTCCAGGTAGCAACTATATGTTCTACTTTCTTGAAGCTATCTGCATTTCTCAATGTCATGGAATGAACAAGCTGAGGTTATTGCCTTGCTCAGTGACCTCATCCACAGCAGAATTTTCGCGGCTCTCCTCTTGGACCTCTTTCAACGTTGTACAAGGTGTATTTAAGAGTCCATGGCGGTCCCGTGATATCATGGTTATCGGCTCATTCTCTACATGCAGTGCGTCTGTGTATCTTCTTCTCTAGGACTAACGATCATTTGTTGCACGAGATATGAGCCACATCGGTCTAGCCACCATCTCCAGTAAGTCTTATTATGAGTCCACAATCACGAGCTCTCGAGAAACATCGAACACGTCGCGCGATGCATTCATTTGGCCTGTGGCACCTGTGGCAGATAGTTCGTCAGTTGTTGCACATTGTGTCTTTGTCATACAATGGGGCGCCATCAATTATAGGTGGGTAATCAAAGCATCCACTAATGCCTGCATCGGTTGTGGACTTTGAAGAATGGATTTGAGGTTATGGATGTGGATAACTGTGGTGCATCCACAATTGCCCAGCTCATATATATTGTAACGCAGATTGGCCACTTTCACGGTCAACCTCTCACAATCTTTGCAACTCTTCATCCATTTTTTTTTTCGAATATCAACCATGAATTCTTTCAAGAAATTGTTCCAAGAGTAAGTCAACCATTTTCAGGTTCCACTTGTTGGCATAATAGTAACCAATTCCCCTCAGGTCCCACGACGACAGGACGCCCTCACTCAAGCACTCTAAATCGATGACATATGGACTGTCTTCACAAGGGAGCACGCGTGACCCTCGCGCTGATCCTGTAAAACTCACGTACCGTGGTAAGACTCCCCTCAAAACTTCAGACATCGTCTACATCGAGCAAGCTCCGGGGGTATTGGACATCCGTCACGCGCAAGATCTCCGAGACCTTACACCACCTCGTGCCCACTTGGACACGTACGCGGACTTGTTAGACCAGTTTCCCAATCCCCCACCACCACCTCCGAGGCCCCCTCGCAGCGCCTTAAGAACGACTTCATTGAACTCAAAGAATAGTGGGCCCCAACTTCCCCTGCAGAACTGCAACACAAGCTATCAGCATGTCGCAGGCAGACAAAGAACGACTCAGCGGCGTCCTTCAGTCGTGTGCTTTTCGCGGCCCACTACCACTGCCTACCCTTCCCTTGTCCGCAAACAGCGGCATGAGGCCACCGATGATCAAGCTGTCGCGAGTGTGTTGCAAACAGCTGACGGCCAGGTTTGCGTAGCGGTGAGCGGTAGACAGGCGGACTATGTACGCGTCAACTCGAGCGCTGGTCGCTCGCACAGCTCTGCTCCTGTTCCCCCTGCTTGCCCCATTCCTACCACCAACTCCCAGCGTCCACCCATCTCGCATTCTGCATACAGCTCGCGTACAAACCTGCGGCGGGTTCCGTCTCGCATCACCATTCCACGCATTGCTGCTCCTGATCATGGACAGTCTTACAAGCTTCACAAAGATTATCGTGATTTTTTGCGAGAGCAGGACCCGAACGTCATCAGTGCGATGATCAATAATTATCCGAAAGCTCCTCGCGACGACCCTTCGCAAGAGCCTATCCTGTTTGACATGGAGGATCCAAGCGACTTCAGGAAGACACTTAGTTACTTCATTTATTTGGCGCTAGCACAGGGTTGTCCCCTCGATGCACGCGCTGATGGCTTTTACCACCGCATCATTAACGCGGGTGATCCAACTGGCGTCGCGCCGGAGGTTGGCGCTGATTGGTCTCAGCAGGTGGAAAATCGCTGAACCTGTACAGAAGAAGGTTAGTTTGTGAAGATAGAGTCTATGCGCTGTTCTACTTAAGTATGTATGTTGTAAATTATTGTGCATATGGATATGAACTATGAAAATGAATCTACTTGCTGTTTAAATTCATGGATAGCTTGCATACTACGATGGGGGTGGTGTTTTTGAGTGCAATCGATCTCAACACCATCCGACAGAAAAGTTAAAGCCTGAGCCCTGCGCTAGCCTGAGTGCACTGAGCTAGCCTCCTATCACCAAAAATGCTTACGCGAGGTATGGTCGTCTGTCAGAGACGATGAATCAAGCAGATGCGCAAACCTTCTTTGCTTGAAGATGGCATTGATATACGATGTGGAATCGATGTCGGTGCTGCACAAGACCAAAGTATCGTAGTATTCACGTATTCACTCATATATGTTATGCTTTTAAGTCAATGTCATATTATGGAGTATTATCTCCTGAAAGATAAGCTCAAAGATCCCCCTGCAATATGCACTGCGCAGGCAATGTTGAATTTGTGCAGAAGCAGCTACACTGACCGACCCAGAACTACGTATTTCACCATCAACGTTCAACCATGGCACCGAAGCTCAAGCGCTCAAGCAGGAACATAATTCACTTTCACGATGCGCTGCCGCTCTGGCCAAAATCGCATTTTTGAATCTGATGCTAAGTTACACAACACAAGGGTCAGTCATGTTGCTGAATTCTGGGTGCAAAAAAACTACTCGTACTCACATGATTTATGCATTTCATGCCCGCGCAACATTGTTTGTCCCAAGTGCATTTCTTATGCTGGTTGACGCATGCACTGACAGCCATATATGATGTCAAAGCAACGATAACGGCGAGGAAGCAGAAATGCATCATCATGCAAGATGACGAATCTGCTAGGGTATATCTCCCTGAGGATGGAGGGATACAGTGGGAAGACGACTTGTTTGTATATCCTGAGTGTAAAAATGAAGGATTCAGGAGTTCCGATCGGTTTGGAAGAATGGTTATCGCTGTCGAATGGCACGAATTTAGGGAGAACCTATGGGTTATGAGCTACCACACGATCAGTAATGACTTAGCTGGAATGAATGGCGAAAGTTGCATGTCAGATAGCAGATAGTGCATTAATGTCCGATGCTCCGTCATGTGCAGTTTGAACTCGTAAGACTTTATCCTCAACGTAATGATCGTCTTCAATTGGAGAATGAGCAAACTCTCGTACAAAAACGTAGCTAGGGTGGCTCGGATACTGTATGGACGAGTGAGTACGTGGATGGTTTCGCGTTCTTGGACACATGGTGACATGGATAAATTCAGACGGTATATGTGGAGTTCTTAGGTCTGCGCACCAGTGTTCCAGATAGTCGATGGTCGCGGAGATTGGAATAGCCAAGCAACAAGTGATCGCCAACCAAAACCTCAAAACACTGGTAATCAGAGAATGAGCTGCAGACGTCCTCCAGTGTGACAAATGTGCGAGTCTAAAATTGTATTAGTTGATATTACGCCGAACTTCCAGCCTCCTACAGGCTATATGGACAACTCACCCGCTGTGTGAACTTGACAGATAATTTAGGATGCAAGAAGTCACTGGTGATATAGCGAAAGATACATTACAACAAGATAATAAAACAGAGGAACTAAATATCAAGATCGTTGATATACTGCATTCATTAATGGCTGTCATCGGTGGAAGGAGATGCACAGCAAAGGAACAACATAACACGAGCCCACCATGCAGGCTTCTTGATGAGTGTCCCCTTGTCACTAGCTCGTGCCGGCTGCCGATTAACATACACTGCCTGTAGATAAAACTTGTGAGACCAGCCATTGATAACACATCACAAAAAGACGTACCTTCTTGTCATACAGCACAGGAACGTCGACAACAGGAGGACTGCGACGAGAGAAGGTACCATATCCCGTGCATTGCTGAGGTTCTTTTGGTTCACCGATGTTGGGTGGCAAACGACGTAAAAGGGAGGGAAGGTGAACGAGAGGGGCGCGTGGACGTGATCCCAAGGAGGGCAACTAACAATATAGAGGTCAGAGAAAGGAGGGAGATATGAGACGGTGGTGTCGCACAGCACTACTGTCTTGCACTTTATCGAAAAATCCTGATGACACTTGACGTGTGGGTGGACAATTGGCGATGGCGGGACATCGTTTAGCATTAGCCTGGAATGTCGATGTTACAATCAATATCAAGGGCAGAAAAATATACAACTTACATCTGATGTCGACTTGTATGAATGGGACATTAGCGTGTTTCATTCTTGAAAACCACGAGATGATACATACATTCTTTTTGAGTTCAGATTTTTGTGCCTGACAGTCATTGGGAATGAGATGGCGAGTGAGAGTTGATTTTACACTTACATCAGGTATGGACATGAGGTCTTCTAGGCCAGCTGCTTTGAGGATGTCTTGGATATCCCACACGTACGCATTTTCGTCCTCGCAACCTGTGGATAGCAGCTTTCCATCAGCGGAAAAGGCCGCACACTGGACGTCCTTTTCGTGTTGGAGAGGTGATCCGACTTGGAGGTATGTGTCAAGATTCCAGAGACGTGCTGTTCCGTCCCATGATGTGCTCGCAAGGAGGCGGTCGTTTTGCAACAAAGTGATGGACTTGACACCCTGCGTGTGACCTTCCAGAACGACGCTCTGCTCCCATGTGGCAGTGTTGAATATCCTAATCGAGCCATTTCTCGAACCAGAAACAAGTTTCTCGTTCGATGTCCAGGTCAAGCTCCAAACTGGTAGATGAAGTTTGATTGTGGAGAGCCATTTGCCTGTCTCTGCGTCCCAAATTCTGATTCCATCGCGTCCGCAGGTCGCGATCATTGTTGCCTCTGGTGAGTAGCTGACCGCGTTCACATGCTGGTGCCCTGTCACTATTGGATTCAAACCCTGGATGGGTTCGCCGCTCTTCACATCCCACACCCTTACCGTCCCATCGAAGGATCCGCTCACCACCTGCTCACCATTTGGACTCCAGCACACTGACTCCACAGCTTGAGTGTGCTCTTTCCATTTGACGACAACCCTCCTGGTCCCGACATCCCACAACCTCACTGTCCCGTCATTGCTCCCGCTGGCAACAGTCTTGCCATTTGGAGACAATGACATGGTCCATACTGGCGCATCATCCCCTTCATCTCTCCAATCGTCACCTATCTGTGCACCACTCTCTAGGTCCCATAGTCGAAGTGAGCCGTCGCCCGAACACGTGATAGTACGTTGCCCGTCCGGGAGGTGCGCAACACCAAATACGTAATTTGTATGGCCTCGCATGGTCTTGCAGGGTGTTAATTCTGACATTTTATTTATCTCCGAAGCAGGAGATGACATGGCGAGCGCTCGTGTATCCCAATCAAGGAAATCGTGGTCTACGCCTATATGCGCGAGAGCAGCTTGCTGGATCTTTGGGTTGTCTTGCGGAGATATCGATTGTAGGTGAGTTCACTGGCCTACTTGCTTTGACCTCAACTCTTCTCGACAGCCGAGCATAAGACATTACTCACGGTTTAATTTATCAAAGGAAATCGATCCTGATGGCCTCGGGACCGGTGTATGTTCGCTATCGGATCTGTACGACGATACATGATACCAGTCAGCGAGCAGGCTTATAGCTTTTTCTATGTCTACCTTTCTGGAGAAACCGTATCATTCACAGCTCAGAAGACCTTGCCACAGATGAACACCATTGACGAACGAGAGGTGCAGATTGAATATTGATGATTGATACAGCAAAAGTTTGGAACTCAGGAGATTGTCTGAGAGGTCGTTTGGGTTGTTGACTAAGGTGCGTGTTCCATTTGATATCTTCGTCCCCACAGGTTCACAGCCTGTGCAGATGAAGCGCCCAGGCACGATACGTCATGTGCATTTTCCAACTTGGTGATTCGTGTCAACATTTGACAGAGTGCCGTACTTCATTAATGCATTTCCGTGTTCTGCATCCAGTCTATTTCAAACTAGACTCAGGGGACAACGAGGTAACACACACGTGTGCTACCCTAGGTCTTGTGTTCCTGATTCGTGGTTACTAGTCATCTTTCCATTTCAAAGTCTGTGATCCCTGCAAGGGTATTACCAGCATGTCGAATAATTTTTCCTTCAAAAAAAATTCAAGTTCATGTCTTATTAAGATCTACGGAGGATAGGCTGTACTAGTGTAGGGGACCCCCGGTGTCCCCAGTGCGAATCTCTCGATGCGAGGCATATCCCCACCAGTCCGCCGTCCCCGATGGCCACTTTAGCTCCGGCATCCTGCGAAGATGCTTTTAGTCTGCGTACGGTAAGCGCAATATCTAACGAGTGAAGGAAATGTACGCGTCTTGTTGGGTAATTTATCGTCTCACTCATAAGGCGAAGCAAAAACAAATCATTTGTGAGGTGGTATAGAATCTACCAAGGGAGATTTGAAATAAGAACTCTGGGTGTAGCAAAAATCTAGGGGGTGTTAAGCAGAACTTACGCACAACGGTCATGTCGCCGGTTACATCATGATGAAAAGACAAAGGAAATGTAGAGTGCTAGGTCTGATTGAAGCCAGCGTTGTCTCGTGACCAGCTCGTCTGAACAACGTAAGGGTATGAGCGAACTGAATACTGCGCTCCACAAGCTTGAAAGCCTAATGACGTGGTGTGGAGTGCGTTCTCGAAGGGGGACGAAAAATCACATACTCGTTTGTAGCTACCCTTTCTGAGGAAGAGTTCGCATGGGACATCGGTGGTAGCAGCACTCTTTTGGCTGGCATTAAAATCTTTCTCTATGAATTTTGTGCTAGCAAGGAAGGCCTTGACGCAATCCTGCTCGCTGAAATTCTGGGTCTTACCGTTTCAAAGTTGCTCGACCCGGGCCGGCCACTGCGATAGTAAATCGTCAACTTCACATACACTTCAAAAATCCTGTCCTGTTCAAGACCAATCAGCCGCATACGATACAAGAAATGAAACAAACTAAATTATGAGGCTGAAAGTGAGTGCTCAAGTGGTCAGATGGGCGGCCTTGCTAAGTCGAGTGCATAAAGACGACTGAACAGCGGCATGAAGTAGGGAACACAAAAGAATCTAGACAACAACATAAATTAATCAATGGACGTATGAATATGATGACAGTCAGAATACGATGGTGAATAATGTCGCAGACACGTACTGCATCCATGCAGACTTTGTCTCGTTGGTGATGACTTCAGGAAGGCATAGAGTGGTGAGTGATGACGTTGTATGCATAACGCCCATCAACGCCCCGAAGAGTAAGGCGAAGTTGTGAACATCCGAAAAGGAATACTTGACCTAATCCTGACTCAGCTGGAAACGAGCGAACCCCTCATGTTGGAAATAAATTAAATCCGCGGGAGGGTTGGTGCGTTGCAGGGCGTTCTGACATTGCACCTCTGAATGGGCGAGTAGACCGTCTCGCATTCTTCCGAGAAGCATCCACATACAACAGAGTCTAGTGCTCGAGGGATGAATTAAGCACGTGCATGAAATGTACTGGATAGATTAGTGAGATCAAGTCATAATGAGTTCCTCCGAGCGAGACAGTCCTCGCCAACTGGCGTGCAAATCGACTTGTCACTTTACAGACAAATTAGCACGCGAGGCGTCAATGATTGTCATTAATGATAACAGAAACGCTGAAAGATAACAAAAGGAGAGTATCGATATGAATATTATCATCCATATTCTAACACCATCAATGACCGTCATCGTTGGACGGAGACGCACAGCAGAGGAATAGCACAACACGAGCCCACCATTTGGAGGTGTCGACACGTTTTGCTTTGTCACTAGCTCGTTCTGGCCGCCGAGCAACATACAGTGCCTGCAGATGAAACTTGAGACGCCATCGATTGATAACACATCCCCAAAACGACACACCTTCTTGTCATCTAGTGCAGGAACATCAACAGAAGGACTGCGACGAGAGGAGGTACCAGGTCCCAGTGGACGTTGCTGAGGTTCGTCTAGTACATCGGTGTTGGGTGGGGAACGATGGAAAGGTGAGGAAAGGCCAGCGAGAAGCGCGCGTGGACGTGATCCCCAGGACAGTGCAAAAGCACTGCGGCCGCGATGTAGAGAGGGATCAGGATGGAGACGGCGGGTAGTAGAAGACTGAAAATATGGCAATCAGAGCAGGTAGTGCCGGTGAATGATGGTACGCACAGGACCACTGCCTTGCACGTTATCGAAGAAACCTGGTGGCACTTGACGTGGGGCTGGACGAATGGGTGGACGTCGCGTAGCATTAGCCTGGAATGCCGATATCAGGATCAATATCAAGGTCAGAAAAAGACACAGCGTACACCTGATAGCTTGTGCGTGAAGGACATTAGCGTGTTTGATTCTTGAAAAGTCACAAGATGATACATACCTTCTTTTTGAGTTCAGATTTCTGTGCCTGATAGCCATTGGGAATGAGATAGCGAGTGGGAGTCAGGTTGGGACTCACATCAGGTACAGACAGGAGGTCTTCTAGGCCAGCTGTTTTGAGGATGTCTTGGATGTCCCATGTGTGCGCGTTTTTATCCTGCCAACCTGCAGTGGATAGCAGCTTTCCATCAGCGGAGAAGGCCGCACAAGTGACGTCAGTTTTGTGTTGAAGAGATGGCCCGATTTGGAGGTTTGTCTCAAGATTCCAGAGACGCGCTGTCTTATCCCAAGATGTACTCGCAAGGAGGCGGTCGTTGGGAAATAAAGTGAGGGAGTAGACAACATTTGTGTGACCCTCCAGAACAGCGATCTGCTGCCATGTGGTAGTATCAAATATCTTGATTGAGTCCTCAACCCCGGCAATAAACTTCTTTTCATCCGATGTCCAGGTTAAGGACCAAACTGATTGATCGAGTTCGATCGTAGACAGCAGCTCGCCCGTCTTCGCGTCCCAGATTTGGATTCCAGATTCGTCGCAACCTCCTGTTGCAATCATTGATGCCTTGGGTGAGTATCTTACCGCGTATACCGACAGGTGTCCTGTCTCTATTGGATTCAGACCTTTGACTGGTTTGCCGCTCTTCACATCCCACACTCTTGCCGTCCCGTCGTTTGATCCGCTCACAACTCGCCCACCATTTGGACTCCAGCACACTGGACCCACAAAAGAAGCGTGTCCTTTCCATTTGACGACAACCTTCCCCGTCTCGACATCCCATAACCTCACTGTCCCGTTACTGCTTCCGCTGGCAATAGTCTTGCCAGTTGGAGACAACGACATCTCAATTATTGCTACCTCATCCCCATCATCTCGCCACTCGCTACCTATCTGTGCACCGCTCTTTAGGTCCCATAGTCGAAGTGAGCCGTCGGCCGAACATGTGATGATGTGATGCCCACCGGGCAGGTGCGCAACGCCTCTAACTGTGCCAGTATGGCCTCGCATCGTCTTGCAGGGGGTTACTGCCAACGTCTTTTTCACATTAGCAGCAGTACAAGACATGATGGGCGCTCGAGGATCTCGATCAAGGGAATTGTTGACTAGTATATGCGCGAGAGTAGATCGTTGCTTCAGAAGTGGGTGGTTTCACTGGCTTATCTGCTTTCACCTGACTTTGGCATGTCAATAGAAATGCCCAGAGGGATTGCTCACGAGAGGTTTCTATCCTGACTCACAGGACAGCTTCAAGACGACGTATCCAGGAGATATCCTTCGATACTGGCCGGTGAGTGGTCCTATCTTTTCGTCATATCAGCCTTTCCTATTCCCAACCAGAGTACCACTCACGACAAAGTCCCACTTGGGACAATCTGACAGATTCACTCGACGCAAGAATGAGAGGGGTTGGCTGGTAGCTGAGATAGTGGTGGATGTTCCCACTTCCGCTGTACATGAAATGAAATATTTATTTGGCCATCTACGCTCAGCTAGCTACCTCGATGGCTCAAAGTACGGACTCAAAACTAGGCAGCTGCGCCATGGCAAGGGCTGGCTTACAAACGGTCGACCGTTTTTTCAAAGACCGACAGACCGTTTGGACCGTTTGAAAAGCACGTGAGTTTTGAACGTCACGTGACGTTTGACGTCGACGTTGAAGTTTTCATCTCTCAGCATGGACTTACACTCTGTACCCAACTCGATACCAAATAGACTCTGTATTAATTTGCGGAGACGTACGAACGCAGAAGGCATACGAACATGATAAGACTGAGGAAGGAACGAAAATCAACGACTTTCCCCAGGATGGAAGGCAACAAAAAACGCTCACAAAGCAATACCAACTTGAAATAGACTCTGAATTAGTTTGCGGAGACGTACGAAACGCAGAAGGCATACGAACACACACGGACACGATAAGACTGAGTGAGGAATGAAAATCAACGACTTTTCCCCAGGATGAAGGCGACGAAAACGCTCACAAAGCAACTTGAAAAAGATCAGTGGGAACTACAGAGTGAGGGATGAAAAATCAACGACTTTCCCCAGATGAAGGCAACGAAAAACGCTCACAGCAACTTGAAAAAAAAATCAGTGGGAACTACTGCTGCTGGAGGTAATTGATCATGAGCCACTCATTGTTGTTGTGAGTGACTATGCGCTCGCGGGGAGTAGATGGGTCGATGATAAAATCCTTGAAAAGTCGGAAAAGGACTGTGCCGTCGTCATGGACCTCCATGCGCGAGACAAGCAACTTGGCGAAGGCTTCAGTCTCAAGCGTGTCCATATCTCCTGGCCCCTGCATGAACACATGCTCGTAGATACAGCTGAACAGCTGACAGGAAGGGGTGGGGGTGGAAAATACGGCCCTCAGAGAAGATTCCTTGTGGTTGAGGCCAAGCAGGGAGCTCATCTCCACCATCTTTTGACACTTGCTTGACGCCATCGGCACAATAACCCTTCTTGTGGTTGAGGGGAGAGTTTTCAGCACCAGGGTACATGATGGTCTGGCAGCGGGAGCAAGTCTGCGGCTTTCGAGGCTAGCAATGATGATGAGCATGGAGATAGTTATGGGATAGATTGATGCGAGCAATTTACCTTTTTTCCTGGCTCTTTTTTCACGAGTGGCACAACAGAGCAATGCTGGCGCCAAAAGGACTCGTCGTTTTTTTTCGCTGTGTTTGGCAAGTGTCAGAAGCAGCGAGAGGGTGATGGAGAGGGTGAACAAGCTCACAAGTATAGTCATCCTTGATGATCTTGTTCATCAACTTCGGCTCAATGTCGCCCAGTGCGCGGAGGAGAGCTTGTGGATTCTTTCTGACAACTGACTCACCCTTTTTCTTCACCAGACGGAGGTTATATTCCTCTGTAGCCAAGGCCCAGCGCTTTGATGTCATTTGGTATGAGAGCCATTTGAACTCGGCTCGCATGTCCATGAACAAGTAAAATTCGTCTGAGTCTTGCATGGCCAAAGAGCGGGGATCAATACCAGTGGCAATGGAGAAAAGGCGCTGAGAGGGGGTCTGGCCTGCTCTTGGGTTGATCGAATTGTTGATGCCAGCGCTGGTGGAAGGGAAGGAGGTCATGATCGAATTGTTGATGCTGGTGCTGGTGGAAGGAGGCAAGTCCAAGTCTGAACTAGATATATCGATAGGGAGGGCTGCCGTGTCTCCGATGCTGCTGTGATGGAGAGTGTTGGATTTGCGTTCCTTGCCATGCCTGGCAGCTCGCACCGAGGAAAAGTACTCATCCAGTTTCCCAGCACTTGACACTGTACCGGGAACATTGCTGAGAGATGCCTGGCTGAATGTGATAAATTAGGAGTTGCTATGAGTGAGGAGCATTGCATACCTGGAGAACATTGTCCTGACAAATCAGCCTTAGTTTTTTTGTGGTGCTGTTGCCATCACCCTGGTCATCAGAGTCCAAAACCTTTCGTTTCATTGGAGAAGGGGGCACGGCCGTAGTAGAAGCTGAACTCAAAGGTTTGGAAGCTCCAGCGGGGAGTTCAAGAAGTGCGGGGTCAATTTGCCACTCATTGACAAAAATGTTGCGACTGGCCTGTAGAGCTAAGTCCACCTCCTCACCTGTGAGAGGATCAGTGGCAGAATCGAAAGTGTCGAGTGGCCCATCCTCAATATCCTCCTCCTTGACTAAAAGTCCCCCAAATGTCATGATATAGGTCAGACACGACCAGCCCAAAAGTTTCACCTGATTCCACAACATGTAGCTCAGGAAGGACAAGGAGCTCGCAGCTGGGATTCTGTTGTTGCAGCGTGTTGTGAAGCTTCGCAATGTGGTCGCAGAGTTGGAGGTGGTGAGAACCATGAGTGAACTTGATGAACGGTGTCATATGAGATCTGCTGGATGCGACTCTCACATTACGACGGAGAACAAAGTCGTGACCAAGAGCACTAAGCATTATGATGCCGCTTGGCTGTGCACGCTGAAGTGAATTCCAGCCTTTATGGGACCCTTCAATTCGGCTGCCATCGGCCCTGATCCCTTTGATGTTGCGCTCGAGACAGCCATTGCGAACATGCTTCAATTGTTCTTGATGAACCTGCCCGTAGCATCAGTAGTACCTGTTTCAGAGTCTGGCAGTTCCATACTACTTACCTTCTGTGCAGCTGCAGACCAGACACCTTTGTCTGCCCACTTGTCAAACGCAACAACAAGTCTCTGTTCCTGTTCCTCTCGGTCCCAATATTCTGCAGGTCGACCATGTTCAGCATGCTTCTCAAGTATTGCACCTATGATGTCAGCAGCAACAGCAGCTCGATATGGGCTTTTGCTAGAGTGGAGCATGGCCGCAATATACCTGTCAATCCCATTAACATGTAGTATAAATCAAAAATAAAGAGACTCGGCACTACTCACCTCGCACCAAAATGCCAGACATCAAGTTTTGAATCGGTCTCTGGCATTGCAGCAGTCACAGCCTTCCGAACTTGGCAGCAATTGTCTGCCACCATCATCTTGGGCTGGGGAATGTCGAGAAGCTCATGATGACACTTGAGACCTTGGAGAAGTTCGGTTATCTCAGCATTAGTGCGAGTCTGGCAGAAGCGCTACAATAGTAGTTGCAATGAACCAAGGGAAGTCAGTGGCTGAGTTATTATCCAATGACTTGGAACTTACCCATGACACGATCTGATTATCCTCATTCAGCACACTCAAGATACCACCCTTCAACACTCTCAGTTTTTGGCGATCTTTGTTGGTGAGCGTTGCTTTGCTTGCAGCTTTAAATGTGTTATTGAGTGAACCGCATATGGCTAGTGTTACGTTCAGGTAAGTCAGAATTGACAAGAGCATATGAAAATGTACCTGATAGCGTCTTCAAGTATAACTCACTCTCCTTCTGCCTCGTACGGGCAGTGAAATCAACAAAGACTTCAGTAATGACCTCGTCCGAGATCCATTTGTCAGCATAGCCAAGTGAGTTGCTAGGGTCCGAGAATTCCTGGAGAACTTGAGTCTGACTACTGCAACTCTTACTGCCAGTAAAGTAGTTGACAATGTTATTTGCCTTGGGCTGCCTAGAAACCTCCTCCAAGTATTTGAGCATTCGGTGCTTGTGTTCCAGCAGGTGGAGTTCTTGTGAACACCCAATAAGGTAAGCAAGGTTGAATAGTCCGGAGCATACAACTACTCACTGTTTGACTCGTTCCTCCAGTCCTGCTGAGGTTGTTGATGGTCGTAGCTCCACCAGCAAGTCAAAAAGCTCACGTGTCAGAGCACAACAATGGAAGAAGACTGGGATGCCACCTGTTTGTCAACATGTGTCAGGTGCATGTTGACACAACTAATCTCTGACATGTGATGCTCACAAGGAATTTTCCAATGCTCCCATGACTTCCAATATGCTGCGCTTGTTGTTGCAAAACAGTAGCCTTCAATCTCTAATGATTTTCCAAGTCCCTGTGAGTTTCCGGTTGTGGGTGGTCCCTTCGCTGACTTTTCCTTGCAGATATTGCACCGCAGCTGTGTACCTAGGGCCATTTCTTCATAGCACAGGCCATGGAGCTCCCGCGCTCCTGTACTCGTCCAGCCCTCCCAGATGACACTGTCATGTGAGCCACAACGAGGGCATTGTGCAAGCTGCAGGAAATAAAATGGGTGAATAATGTTTAATGGCTTGAGGTACTGTGCAGTAGGTTCGACTGGTCCTCCACCTGGACGCTTATGACTGTGCAGATACATTGGTGGCAAAAATTGTGGGCCCAACAATGGGATGCCAAAGGCCAGTGTGTTCAGCTCGTTCTTCTTCGATCGTGTGCGGGTCTTGTCCCATACACACTGGACATACTCAACGACTTCAGCCTCCCACTTTAACTGGAACTCTGGCCGAGGATTGCACTTATGGCTGCGTGAGTCTTTCCATGCAGCAACACGTTTTTCTACCTAGTATCATTATGTTGTGTCAGTAAGTATTGTCTCTATGTCTCACTGGCAGCATGTTGGACTCACACTGGCAGCCCAGCGTTTCTCGAACAAATTTTTCTCGAGGGGTGGAATGGCCGTCGAGTTTTTGAGGAGCATCAGGACTGATCTCAGCTCAAAGACAGACATGTCTGCAGTAGCACTGCTGACAGTGAGAGACGGAGTATAAAGAGATCGGAGGCAGCCACTCATTTAGGGGGGCTGAATTTTTAAATCACTACCACAACCACTCTAACCGCTAGATTTTCTGTACCCAATTACTGCTAGCCCAATCCAGATTCATTTGCGTGACTGGCTTATACAGTTTGCCGTCAAGAGTTTATTAGCATTCAAGTTGCCGATATTCACTGCACTGCTTTAAGGGTGTGTATAGTATACTACTACTTGCAAATACGAAATCTTACTGAACTTCGGACTGCCACTGACCCCTTGTTAGTTACCATACGCAAATATATAATGCCTGTACATCTGCACTGTCAGTCATCTCAATGGCAAGTCAAAACTCGTGCAGGCAATCTCTCTCAGCCACAAAGTGCAGGCAATCCCTCTCAGCCGCAATCCCAGGAAACCCAGCTCCAAAAGACTACTGCACCTTCCGACACTGATGTTGTTGCATTTTTCAATTCTGAAATTCATATCTGTGATATTGGAGACTTTGCACAGATTGGCTTCGACTACCAAGTTCAACAGCTTGCAGATGCTACAGGTTTTCAAGCGCATATCATACAAAATGTATACAAGAATGTAGGTACCTTTACGGAAGTCAGTGAAGTTGTGAAGGCTATGCAGAAGGCTGCACTAGAGTGTGCTGAGGACGAGATTGGAAAACGTACAGCAGGGGAATGAGATTGATCTGAAGAAGTTTTTGTAAGTATTAGTATGGCATGTATAATATTAACAGTGGGAATCGACTTGGATGTGCCCTGGCAGCTCCCCGCTCATGATCGGCGCATTGCTGATGAAACCCAGGATATTGTTGTAGCAAGTGTGCCATACATCTCTCCCGGGTTCACTAATGACTGGTTGAACTTGGCTTCCACTTCACCAATGACCCAGTCAAATGCCTCTCTGGTAAGATGGAACTGTTCGAGTACGCGGTGAGTAGCCATGGTGGCATGGGAGTGTGCTGAGGTGGTAAGATGGAACTGTTCGAGTATGCGGTGAGTAGCCATGGTGGCATGGGAGTGTGCTGAGGTGGTAAGATGGAACTGTTCGAGTATGCGGTGAGTGGCCATGGTGGCATGGGAGTGTGCTGAGGACGAGATTGGCTTCCACTTCACCAATGACCCAGTCAAATGCCTCTCTGGTAAGATGGAACTGTTCGAGTACGCGGTGAGTAGCCATGGTGGCATGGGAGTGTGCTGAGGTGGTAAGATGGAACTGTTCGAGTATGCGGTGAGTAGCCATGGTGGCATGGGAGTGTGCTGAGGTGGTAAGATGGAACTGTTCGAGTATGCGGTGAGTGGCCATGGTGGCATGGGAGTGTGCTGAGGACGAGATTGGCTTCCACTTCACCAATGACCCAGTCAAATGCCTCTCTGGTAAGATGGAACTGTTCGAGTACACGGTGAGTAGCCATGGTGGCACGGGAGTGTGCTGAGGTGGTAAGATGGAAAACTGTTTGAGTATGCGGTGAGTAGCCATGGTGGCATGGGAGTGTGCTGAGGATGAGATTGGAAAACGTACAGTGGGCGAATGAGATCGGTCCAACGTTCTTGTAGCAAAAGTGGCTGCGCTGAGAAGTGGGAATGAGATCGGTCTGAAGTATGGCATGTATAATATTAACAGTGGGTCAATAGCCAATGAAAATTGTGCTTGAGAGCGAGCAAAGAAGGCAACAGATTAAAAAGAACTCACTGTGTGACTCACAGCTGCTAGCCGCGAAATAATTGGTGCAAAATTCTCCAGGTTATCTCCATTTGAATGCCAAGTAGAAGTCACACACTGCAAGATCAGTAGTACTACTACATGACCGCTGCATTGGCAATGAATTCCTGTGGGGGTCCCGCAGGATTCATTGCCAATGGAGGACCATGCACTGTAGCAGTGCGGCAGGATACTCCCAGACTCGGACCGTCCACTTTGTTCCTGGAAAAGGTAAGGTGTCTAATAACGCAGTAGCACCATAGCAACACACTTGTTCTTCGGGAAGAATGGGAATCTTTTGTCGAGAATGTCTGTATGATAGACCCAATGAAGTTATTTAGACACACTATTAGTGCATGAACTGGAGCACAGACTCACCTTGAGAAGGGACACTGCATGTTGGAGTGCAATCGCCAGAAGCTACGTAGTACGCAGGAGGCTACCCCTGGTATGGTTTTGCGACCCCCAAACCTCGACCCCTTGGAAAGCTCCCGCCGAACCTTCGGCTCGGCTTCCCCTTGCCATGACCATATTTTCAAGTAAGCAAGTTGTCCGCTACTATGATACAACAAACAATAATATCATGTTTTAACCTTGCGACTCATCTCGCGACACACTTTTTCTCTCTGTCAAAGGGAACCATTCCAAAGAAACCGTCGAGATGGCCATGAACCAGTCCCGAGTGTGAGACATGATACGTATCATAAGAGAGCAGCCCTCAGCCCTCAGCTAACGAAACTCTTTTCGAAGCAGCCCTTGTCACCTAATGTTAGACGTCTCCCCCATGTCAGAAATCAAGATTTCGGCTTGCACGCGGGACTATGTAGTAGTCGTACTACCCCATGGCATCCAACTTCAAGGTGGAGTTCTTATCTGACATTAATTTCCTGGACTTCAAGTAGAAGAACCGAGATGCCGCACTGCAATCAAAGAAAGAGAGGGACACGAGGTTGTCGAGGACGCCGTCCGGGATGAGCTTGCTACCGCCACTGTCGAGCTACAGCATGAGGACGAATTGGAGCTTTGGGAAATGTCAATTGATTCAGGAGCATGATTGTGTCCTTGACATTGTTGAGGAGGAGTGGTGGCGTGACGTCAAAGAGGTCAGGAGTCCGGTCGAGGAGCTGATATATATTTGTTTTGTCGTCTTATCCGTCTTTTGTCTCTTACCGCCTTAGAGATCCTGGCAGAATGCAAAAACAAAGAAATTCTGCATCAACATCACAAATCTCAATGCCAGTACCAGATGTAGCCAGTGCTAGTAACGTGCGCCTTGCATCTACTATTTTTGCATTTGTATTTGATGTTTATAAACTTGATTGTTTCACAAGAGAACCGTTCCACGCTAAGCTTGCTCTTCAACAAGTCGATCTATTGTGACAACTTCTCGACCAACGTTTGATCTGAATCCTCCACAGTACTGACCCCACACATGTAAGCTCTCAGTATTTTGTCCCTGCTATTACTGCGCCTAATCCTCGCTTGCAGGAAGAGGCTTGTACTCTCGAACAGACATTTGCGTGTGAGTGTGGCGAGGAGGTGGATTACGTTTCTCTAGTATCTGATTCGTGGTCATACCACTTGCGGGAAGTCCACGGAGTTTGTTGCTTAACTGAATCGCGCGTCGAGTGCTGATGGAAGCACTGCGGACAGGAATTGACGAGAGCGCACTGTTGAGACATGTGAAAGAGGTGCACCTTGCAACAGTGTACGCTTGCGGCTATGGGAATGTATTCTCGCGAAGATATACTTCTAAAAGGAACGGCTAGAGTCCTCTTTCAAGTTATCTTGCAGCGGTGTGCTGCATGTGGAACTCTCCTGTATGGATTAATATTTGGCACTAAGTGAATTGGATTTGTAGGTCACTCCGCGAGACCGCGTACATCCCGCTTGAACTGTTTACTGTAGCTAATTTGCACTTATAGCCTCAGCCTCAGCTCAGACTCCGCACGCACATGTGGCACGAATTCCTCGAAGAGCTCTGAAGTCCGCCACTCAAATTGCAACTGTAGGTCTTCGTATAAATCATGCGTGGCAACAAGTGGGCTAATTGCCAGCTTCATTTGTGACAGTTCCAGCGAATTTACTACATATTCAGTACGCTTATGGTGTTCATATCGAGGCACATGACAGTCTCGACTGCTGTATAACCAAGAGTTCTCGCCCATTCTCGACCTTGTGACTATCCTTCTCATCATTACCCCTTCGGTTTGAACGGAACAATGTTCTTCAATGCACACATGCCTCCACGGGTATTCAATAAACCTGTCACTTTTATCTCATCGCTAAACGTTTGCTTTGACTCAGCCACCGGTGTAAAATTTTCTTCAGCGTTAACAGCGAGAAGAATATAAATACAATGCGGATGAATTCTAAAAGCCTCAGTGAAAAACGCTTCCTTCGTAGTGAGCAGCCCTCTTACGCTACATCATGCAAATATCGCTAAATCGACATATAGCACTTCTAACACTTGTTATAGCAAATTTGTGTACATCGCACAGCCAAGCTTTTGTTGGTGAATATCTCTTAGTACTCACCTCCATCACTAAATCATTGTTATAACAGGTACCATGAAGCCTATTCAGTCTATCTACCTCGCCATCCTTGCCGCGGTCGCTGGGGTGAATGCGGCCCTCGCCAATGACGGCACGATCTGCTTGGATATGTGCGCTGATCGGGCTGTTCCCTGCTCAGGAGGATTGCAATCTGTCCAGATGGGCGCATGCTGGACCTGCTGCAGCACCACCTGACGCCTGAATCAAATTCCCGAGTATTTTGTAAAGCGTGATGTTATGAATGCATGGAATTGATGAAGCTCTTGTTCGAGCAGAATTATTGTCATAAGAGTCTTGTTCCATCTAGTATACGGGTGATTCTAGTCAGACCCATTGGTTACATTTGATGTGTTTCAGCATGTTGCGCTAATTTTGACTGTTTGACTTGAACGTCACATTCTGCCGAATGGAATAACATTATCCGGGCCAGACACATCACCGTAACTGATATATCGGCACAACTAATATACACTTTCTGTACACAGTGAGGCGGTGTTTGCCACCAAATTGCTCCTGCCAAGGCGGGGAGAGATCCGAGCGCTACCGCCGAGCAAGTTGACACTACAGCCGCGCTTCAACAAGGACATGAAATCCATCACGGAAATTTCATCACGCCGCGCTCTACTTCGCTCGCGATCCACCTCCACACTCGGGAAGATTCGTGAAAATGATCGAGACGCTCCCTAGGCGCTACAGCTCACTACTGTTCCAATTTCACACCGATCACGTCCCACTCAACAAATACCTACAAACCATGATGAATCAGTCCGTCACTTCTCGTTAGTCTGTCCAGTATTCGCCAACCACTGAGAAGTACTTACGTGCAGAAGTCGGGCCCCGACAATGCAACGTCAAATATTTGCTGAGCGGACGCAAAAGAATGAGGGTAGCCCTTACATTCATCGCAAGGACGAGAAGACCGGGCATGGTGTTCCGGGACGTGAGGCCCAAAGGAAAAGGAGATTGAGGAGAGGTAGACGAGCCGGAGAAGATGCACCCCCACTCCTTTCCATATCAGGCGCCTGAAGAAGGTCCCGCCCATTTTCGCGGAAGCCGGAACCACACAAGGCTTCGGACAGCGGAGAACACGCACAAATCAAGTGCATTATCGTGAGTATTGTCCAACATAGGGCTTCGCCCCAACGGACAATAAACAAGAATATTTAAATAAATAAAAACAAATCGTTCAGATTTTGTAATTTCACCATCGGCCACAGGTCGGTCATAGTCTCAAAACCAACGGTCTTAAACTGGATAAATGGAACCAAGACCGCATGACAATGTGCAGTTCAAACGAGAGAACACCCCGACAGCAATATGACGTCGGCGCATCTACTGATACATGATCCTTAGTAGGATTTAGTGACAGGAGAGATAAATGGTATTGCTCCTCAAGAACGATAGCGTGTATTGTAACTATAGGGACAAATAATTCAGATGCTGGAAATAGACTGAACAGAAAGACTCACTGTAGTATTAACCCTAGCGTCTACTTGAGCTTGGAGAACAATTTTGGTGCAGCACAAGCCTAAGTAAAACGTTATGCAAGAACTCTCAAGGGTGAAGACAGAATATACATACATCGGCGCAGTGCATCAGGCTGTATATGATGCCGTTAATGAGGATGCCAATGAGAGCAGAAAAGATGACTTACTGGACTATAGATGAAGTAGTCGGAATAAGAAAAATCAATATGAATGTCATGTATATAACAACATAAGTGACCTACATCTATGATCACAGTATATGAGCGTTATGCAGGTATCAATATTCAAATACCAACTCACAGTTCTTCCACACAGTCCTCGCCTTTAAAGCCTTGTCCAGATTGCACTTTCTCCTGGCAGTGTTCGAAATGTCTCGTTAAAGAAGCGCACGCTGCTGAGTTTTTGCACTCCTCTATAATGACTGGGTGAATCTATAGACAGGAATAACATCAACGGGAGGAGACGATATTTGTATCCGGAATGGAGACATACGTCCTCAGCTTCTACTTCCTCTTCCTCAGACTCTTTCGATGGTTCCCCCGCCTCAGCGACTTCCTCCTCCTTGGTTTCGTTTTCTGGCTGCTTCTCCTCCGGTGCGTCACCGTGCACGGTGTTGAAGAAAGACGAGAAAAACGATGTCACAGACATGGACGCGACCGACTTTACAGTTAGACTTTGCACGAAAGAGTAACTTCGCGAATTTCCGGGTCGAGGTCTTCAGGCGCCGCTTCAACAAATCCACGCGGCTATGTCCGAGAATGGCGTATACTATTGATCGATGATCATGAACACCGACTCTAGTCAAACTGTTACTCCCTTGCACTTCAGAAGTCATACAAGTGTGAATCAAGTCATGCAAATCCTCGATCTACAAATTGCGATATTCTAGGATCTATAATGCTTCAGAGGCTGTTGTTGAAATCAGTCATTAATTCCGACTACTTAGCGACTTAGCCCACAACTCGGTTAACACCACGACACAATATTTCCATCTTGAACTTCTGAAGCTTCAGTAGTCATCTTGGTTCATATCAAAACTGCGCACTTATCATGGCGGTCACTAGAAGCTTGAAGTATAGGAAATATAATCTTCAGGATCTGACGCATCGTGGTACTGGTCATCTCGGATGCTGGTTGACGCAGTGACAGTGAGTGCCTGGGCCTTCCTGTCTTTATTTCATTCGTGCTGATAGGCTTTAATTTCACTACTTAGCACTATTCATAACTCTGTTCCATGTGGTAGGCTTACCTAGGCCGCGGACACACATCGTTTCAGGTGAAACAAAAATAGTCTTATCGACGATATGAATAAACTGATTGCAATGTACCGCACATACAACTTGCCAAGACATTTTCTTTGACAATGACATCCACAAGGATGGGGAAGCACCTGACTTTTGAAAATCTCATGCCGGATAAGAGTTTTCATAAAAGCTCGGATCAGCATGATCCAACGTCGTCTCTGCGCGACATGATTTCCAACGGCATCCACCAGAGTGGTATCTCCAACCCTGGCGACCCCGCTTCTCCAGAAATAAAGGAGAAGTATTCTACATCAATTAATGGAGATGAGATATCCACTGTCGAACGCAACTCTCAGGATGATGATAGTGGAGAGTTGGTGTCTGGTGGACGTTTCATTAATACCGACGATCCTTTCCCCCTCGATCCCGACTCTCCCGTGGAAGAGAGACAGTTGACCATCAGGGCTCTCCTCGTCGGCTGCCTACTCGGGGCAGTTATCTCCGCAAGCAACGTTTATTTAGGTTTGAAGGTCTATAAACATCCTTTGGGAAACTTCGAATTCTGAAGCTGTATGTAGACAGGGTGGACCTTCGGAGCATCATTATTTGGATCAATATTCGGTTTGGTTGTTCATATGATACGGCGCGAGTGTCACTTACTGTTGATTTGCAGGTTTTGCTATCCTCAAGCCCTTTTCTACCGCAGCACCGAGCTGGCTTGGGGGCGGCTATTTTGGTCCCAAGGAAAATACCGTGTGTCAATCTGCAGCGTCTGCTGCTGGTAGTCTTGGATTGCTTTTTACTTCTGGCTTTCCTGCTGCATACCAGCTTGGTCTTCTCAGTGCAAGTCCTCGAGATGATATTGGTCGGCTATTCACGTTTACTATTTGCTGCGCTTTCTTTGGTCTCGCATTTTCCATTCCGTTGCGGAAGTTCTATATTTTGAAGCTAAAGCTCGTGTTTCCTTCCGGTGTTGCCGCAGCGTACACGATTCGCTCGCTCCACGTGGGCAAAAGCGCTGCGACAGACGCTAAGAAAAAGACAAAGGCGTTGTTGATTTCTTTCTGTTTTGCGATCACTTTACGTGTCGTTAGCGAATATGCTCCTGGGCTCCTTTGGGACTGGCATATATTTTATGCGCTCAATCGAGTAGGGTGGGAATACATCATTGCCGCAGAGAGTTGGGTCAGTCTGTGCTGTACCACGAGATATACTTGTCTTCTAAAGTCCAGCAGGGGTGGATTTGGGAATGGACACCAGCATTCATTGGTGCAGGGATGCTCACAGGAATCAACTCATCATACAGTTTCTTGGGCGGTGTGAGTCCGTGTTATGTTCTGCATGCCTATCCTATATAACGCCTGCAGAGCTTCCTTGCATGGGCTATCATAGGACCTGTTATTGTTCACACGGGCAAGGTATGCATAGAACCCCTCACTCACCGGACCATCTGACAGGATCACAGGCCTTCGGTATTCCAGCAGATACATCCATCCCTGGGCAGATGAATTATGCATCCATGTGCGTGATCTTCATCCTTGTTCAAGTTCATCTCAGTTGAACCAGTCATCTGGAGGTCTCTGTCTGATCCCATTAATCACCCGTCGCCGCGATACTGGCTGGTAAGAGACTATCTTCTCAAAACTGTAGATCCAATCCATCCATCCTGTATAGGTTTGGCCCGGTACACTCATGCTACTTTGCACGAGTTTCACTGAAGTTGCCTGCAACTGGAAGTCCATCTATTCGGCCGCGCGTTTTGCGATAGGTGCACTCGCGGAACGTTTCAGCGGACATTCCTACGAAAAGAACAATGAAGAAGAGATCGTGGATCCTGTACCACCTGAAGACCAGGTTCCATTCTGGCTCTGGGGCGGTGTGCTCGTTGCTAGCATCGTGATCACATGTTCTGTCATGGGTGTTCAGTATGGCCAGAACGTTGGTATCACAATTTTAGGTAAGACACGACTCCTTCATGATGACCGGTGTTTGAACGTCAGAATCTAGCCATTGTCTTCGCATTCGTGTTTAGTTTCATTGGATGCGAGAGTGCTGGCCGCACCAATATTAATCCTGTGACATCCATTGGTGAGTGCATCTGGGAACCTGTGATCCTATACTGACATGTATCTCAAAAGGCAATGCTTCTCAACTAATTTTTGGTGGTATCGGCAAAGGGCAAGGATACTCAGTTCAGAGAGGCGAGCTCTTGAATTCGTTATCGGGAATGCTTGCTTTAGGTATGCATCATGCTTCTGTGAACCACTGCTTCTCACACATCTTTCCTAGGTGCTGCCGAGCAAGGTCCGTAGACCATACTTTGAGCCGTTCACAAATACTCATTTGTCGCATAGCCGCTGATATGATCAGCGATCTCAAAACGACCCATCTTCTCAGAGCGTCCCCCAAAGCTGTCTTTTGCGGTCAGCTGACTGGTGCCATCGTGTCCATCTTCATGGCCGCTGGTATCTACATCGTTTTCTCGACTGCATATCCATGCATCAATGATCTCACCTACACTACTTGCAGTTTCCCGACACCTGATGTACAATCTTGGAGGGTGGGTTTTTATTCATGAAACTGTACCTTTAATCACATGCTGACCAATTCAACAGGCAGTTGGGGTTGCGGTCTCATCATCGACCCTTCCCATCCCACCATCGTCAGGGTATACAGCAATAGGATTAGGCATCGCGGCTGTGATTTCGGTTGTTGTGAAGCATACTGTTGTCCCGCCGAAATATCATATTTGGGTTCCGTAAGTTTCTCGGTATCTTGCCTCAAAACGAAGCCTCATAAATTGGACATTCAGGAACTTTAATGCCATCGGTATCGGTTTTATCATGAGTGAGGAACACTTTGACTCGGTCATTAAATACTTCTAATGCTATCATCCTCAAAGATGTATGCACCTATCCCATGGCTATGTTCTTCGGCTCGACGATCGCTTTCTTCTGGCGTAGAATGTAAGTATCTCTCCCAACTGCATTTCGATAAGTTCACAGGCTGTTCAGGTTCTTCAGCCACTATGAAATGTACTGCTTCGCTATAGCTGCTGGGTTCATTGCTGGGGAGGGCTTGGGTGGTATCGTGAATGCAGTGTTGACGATTACGGGAATTTCTGGTGCTGTGTACGGAACGACAGTTGGCTGTCCGGGGGGGCTATATTGCGGTTAAGCACCAGTTCTCCTATCGCTCGGTCGCGTTGTACTGATATGTAATTTTGATACTGGGTTATGAATTTGATGAATATTCATTCGCTACATTATTTCTTAGACGGGGTTCATCTCATTTCACTTGTTGGTCGTGTTATATTTCAATCGCAAGCTCAGCGCTTTTGGCTGACAGAACTATCTTGGACCACCGCAGCAGGTGAGCATGTGCACTTTTTGATTTCATGCTGTCAATCAGATGCCACGGGAAAGAAATAAACAGATGGGCTTCCGCAGGATTCTACAGCTGACTTTCCTTGATCCAATTATACTGCTTATCACCGAAGTGCCTCTCACTGATAAGCCTTACCTCGTGTCTCGTACGTCGGCATGGACGAGTCGAGGATAGTATATATATGCCGCCTTTGTGAGCAATGGTAATCTCAAGTCCCAGTCTGCCTAGTGGTTCAAGTATGGCGACTGCAGTTCCTCAAGACCAGGATCAAATAGCCTATGTACACTCCGTATCTTCTTACTCGGAAGAGAAGAGCGCCATCACCGCAGAAATTAAATCCGTGTCTGGTGACTCTGAAGGGTCAGAGCCGCATGTGCAATTCTTAAACACAGATGACCCATTTCCGGAGCATCCGGATGCCCCTATTGAGGATCAACAGCTAACTGTTCGAGCTGTACTAGTCGGCTGCATCTTGGGGGGCATCATCGCAGCCAGCAACATCTACCTGGGTCTCAAAGTTAGTCATCCTTTTGATATATTAATCCATGCACTCATCCTTTCACGCAGACGGGGTGGACATTTGGCGCGTCGTTGTTCGGCTCGATCATAGGCTTCGCGATCTTGAAACCGCTCTCAAGAAGTGCACCGACGTTTCTTGGCGGGGGCTATTTTGGGCCTAAAGAGAACAATGTTTGTCAATCTGCCGCCACGTCAGCGGGAAGCCTCGGGTTGCTCTTCACCTCGGGTTTTCCTGCCGCATACCAACTTGGGCTACTGAGCGCTAATCCCAAAGACGACTTTGCCAGACTAATCACTTTCACGATTTGTTGTGCCTTCTTTGGTTTGAGCTTCACTCAACCGCTGAGGAAGTTTTATATTTTGAAGTTGAAGCTCGTATTTCCTTCCGGCGTGGCTGCTGCGTACACGATTCAATCTTTGCATGCGGGCAAGAACGCAGAAGTGACAGCAAAGAAGAAAACCAAGGCACTGTTCTTCTCCTTCCTCTTTGCCATTTCTTTACGGGTGGTCAGCGAGTATGCTCCAGGATTGCTTTGGGATTGGCACATTTTCTACGCTCTGAATCGAATCGGGTGGAGTTCAGTGATCGCCGCTGAGAGCTGGGTGAGCATGTCACCCGTCATTAGGAATATTTGTCTGATTATCAGCCGAAAGGGATGGATTTGGGAGTGGACCCCCGCGTTTATTGGCGCAGGGATGCTCACGGGCATCAATGCCTCGTATAGTTTCATCGGTGGAGTATGTGTCATTACTATGACTGCATACGCCGCTGACACCTTAGCACATTCAGAGTTTCCTCGCTTGGGCTGTTTTGGGTCCCATTATTGTCGCCAGAGGAATAGTCAGTGCAAGACTCTTCATATGTCGTTACATACTGACCACTATTGAACCGCCCATGACAGGCTTTCGGGACCTCTGCAGACCCATCTATACCTGGATACATGAATTATATGGGAATGTGGGTCGTCTGTTATTTCCTCGGTATGAAAATCTCACTGTTAGCAGGACTCTTCAAGATCCGATCAACGATCCATCTCCGAGATACTGGCTGCTCTGGCCCGGCACACTAATGCTTATCTGCGCAAGTTTCGCAGAAGTAGCATGCAATTGGAAGTCTTTGTATGCCGCATTGCGCTCCGCTTTCGGAATGATCCTGCAACGATTTTCAAAAGACGGTGTAGTGGACGACATTGTGGATCCTGTACCCGAGCATGAACGCGTGCCTTTCTGGGCCTGGGGTTCTGTGCTTGTTCTCAGTACGATTGTTACATGTGTCGTAATGGGCGTTCAGTTTGGACAGAACGTCGGTATTACTCTCCTCGGTACGTCATCGACTTGTTAGATTGATTACGAGGAGAAGCTAATACTTTCCTTGTATCATACAGCCATTGTGTTCTCTTTTTTGTTCAGTTTCATTGGTTGTGAAAGCTCTGGCCGGACAAATATCAATCCCGTCACATCAATCGGTAACTTTGTCGAGTTGTCGATTCGTTCACAGACACTAACGTTACTGACAGGTAATGCCTCGCAGCTCATTTTCGGAGGATTGGGAAGGGGTCGGAACTACAGCGTCCAACGAGGCGAGCTCCTGAACTTGCTTTCGGGGATGTTAACGCTAGGTAAGCAAATCAATCGTCAGGCATGACAGGTGCTAGAATATCGTGAATAAAACAGGTGCCGCGGAACAAGGTATCTCAGTTTTATTATCAACACCTTTGAAATTTTGTCGACGTGCTATTTAGCTGGGGATATGATTGGCGATCTCAAAACGACACACCTCCTCCGCGCGTCCCCAAGGGCCGTTTACGTAGCTCAACTCTGTGGAGCTGTAGTATCAATTTTCATGGCTGCTGGTCTCTACGTCGTGTTTTCCACTGCTTACCCGTGCATCAATGATTTGAGCTACACAACGTGCGCTTTCCCCGCGCCTGATGTACAGTCATGGCGTGCAGTGGCCGTTGCTGTGTCTTCGAGCACGTTGCCCATTCCACCGTCTTCTGGATATGCTGCCATCGCACTTGGATTGATAGCCGTCTTATCTGTCGTGGCGAAGTATACTGTGGTTCCTCCGAAATATCATGACTTCATACCGTGAGCGATTTGCCATTGTGCTCCTGCTTTATCTCACGTAGAAACGAAGCAACTTCAATGCTATTGGAATTGGCTTCATAATGAGTATGTGATCTGTATCTCAGTGATTGGCCGTCTTGCTTACTTTGCAGACGTCTGCACGTACCCTATGGCAATGTTTACTGGCTCGACTATTGCATTCTTCTGGAGGAGAATGTGCGTCTCATGAATTCTTTAGATACTTTAATTGCTTAGTCTGACATCTCGTATAGGTTCTTCAACAACTACCAGATGTATTGTTTCGCTGTGGCAGCGGGTTTTATTGCAGGAGAAGGTATTGGTGGTATCGTGAACGCAGTTTTCACGATTTCGGGCGTGTCTGGTGCAACATACGGAACATCTGTCGGGTGCCCTGGTATGATTTATTGCGGATAGATATTATGTAGTAGAACTAGACACAGGACATTGGTTTATTTGTATATTATCATAACCTGAAGTCGAATACCACACGATCCCGGGGTTATTGAGGTCCAGGAGTTCACATTCTCTAGTGCCCTATGACATCATTGCACAGCACCAATATTGATATAGATCGGCACGAAGTCCGGTGTCTGATGCTTCCCAGGAACCACCAACTCGTAGTCTTGGTCAGTTAGATGCTTAGTCGTCTCAACCACATCCGTACCGCCTTGTTTTCTTTGGCCAGGCCTACAATGTCATACGCAGTTGATACGTCTCATTATCGTGCCACTTTATCTTCAGGCAAGTATTACTCATTTGAGTGTGTGCGCCGTGGATTCAACCGCGAATCTTGATTGATACAGGTGCTCAAAGCGAGATTGCCACATTCGCTGCGGGGTGCTTTTGGGGTGTCGAACACATATTCCTGAAAGAGTATCCTCCTTCGCAGAACAGGGGCATCCTCAAGACGAGCGTCGGATACACCGGCGGGCTGGAGAAAGCTCAGAATCCGACATACAGAGAAGTGTGCACTGGGACAACCAATCATGCTGAGGCCTTGAGAATTGAATTCGATCCTTCCATAATCCAGTACGGAGAGCTCGTCGGTGAGTTGCAGTTTCAGTTCTATCAAATCAGTCTAATCTGCCGCCAGAGTTTTTCTACCGCACCCATGACCCGACTACACCGAATAGGCAGGGCGGTGACGTGGGCACTCGTATGATTGTTCCCTTGACATCATGTTCAATATGCTAATTGTCGAGCAGAGTATCGCTCTGTAATTTTCACACATTCACCTGAACAGAGCAAGATAGCGGAGGATGTCACGCGGAAGGTACAAGAGGAACATTTCAAGGGCCAAACGATTGCGACGGAAATCAAAGAAGCTGGGCGATGGTATGATGCCGAAGAGTATCATCAGCTATATTTGTTCAAGGAACCGAATGGCTACCAGTGCCCAACACACAAGAAGCACTGGTAGATGGATGATTGTTAACAGCGTAACTGAGTATTAGAATAGATGAATGTACAGTAAATACCAACTGAAGTCGTGAACTGGTTATCAGGATTCAGGATGACCCAGTGACAATCAAAAGCCGCCATCAGAGTTGTGGAAGCCCGTCCCTTTACAAATGTAACAAGGAGAGTGGTGCCGAACGGGCGATGTCAATGCGATCCCTGCATAGGGTCCGACTCAACTCTCTGCACCGTCATTTCTCGTCATTGGCGTTTCTGATTGTGGAAGGATGAAAATCAAAATATTTTCGTCACGAATGTTATAAGGCTAAGGCGTGGGAAATAATTCGTGGGAATATAGCTTCCATTTTGGACTGATGCACTAGAAGAATGACCCTGCAGCAACTTTCATTTGCACAATCATTGTATCTCGCAGTACTTTTCCGTACCATGGGGCGTGAAGTTTGAAGCTACGTAGCTGATTTTGACAACGAAATTGTGGATCCGTCTGCAGCCCATCGTACTCGACTCAATCAGCGACAGATGCTTACCTAATTCTCCTACTTCCCACTGCAGTGTAGTCACCCAGTAACCACTGCTCACGCGCTCAGGTTGGTTAATCACCCACAAGATCGAAGTTATCATGCCAGCTGCTCATAGAGTCACCGAGGGTAGCCCAGTTGCCGCATTTCTATCCGAATATGCTTCCGACACTGAGGTATTCGTTAGCCACCTCGACACCACTGAGGTGTCAAGCAGAAAGTAAGTCGCACCTTGGGGCGAGAAGACGAGAAGACTTGACAAGCTTTCCATCGCAGGAAACACTTCCTCCTCATGCTAGGCGCCAATCTTGCATGGTCTTTTCTACTTGCCAAACGCATATACGGCGCTCTCTACCGCTACGGCGTCCTGTTTATCCTTGGGAAAATATCACCGATATTCAAGGCCCCTCCTCCTGCGGTGAACTGGCCATTAGCAGGTCAACTGTGCCTTGACATATTTCTGTTGTCCGTGTTGCTGCCCTTGATCAACAACTTCATCGCCGTCATAAAGCTACGATACCGTCATGGGTTCCCAAAATCTGAAATCGTCTTCCGAAAACCTAGTTCAGCGACCGTTGCAAATATTCTTTCTCAATCCCTGGAAAAAAGGGATTCATACCTGAATGACCTTCTGCGTCGTGCCGTCGATCCCGATGAATTCAACCAGCCAACTTGGGGTATGCCTTGGGATGAGTGGACCATAGACTTCCGGGCGATGGCGGTTGCGGACGAGGCGGAGAAAAAGGGTCTGATCTCTAGAGATGCATGGGAGCTAAGCGTATGGATGAAGATGAAGGAAGGTTGGACCGTAATCGAGCACGGGAAAGTCAGTAACCCCTTGAGCCAAGCTGGTATGATGGAAAAGCTTCAAGTACGTGAAGTATCGTCTTATGTTGCACACCCTTATGACGACTTTAGCGCAAACTCACTGCCATGGGCAAGCGACATGTGTTTACTCAGATGATGGAAGTCATTCAGGTCAAGACCGTCGCGAAAGATGGAACTCCGATGCCTGTCACTGAGGAAGTGGACACAATTATTGCAGACATCTTTCGCCGGAATGAGGTGGATTTTGCGCAGTTGACCAGCGAATTGGCTACAGAAACTCCCCGTTTCGCAGCCAACTCGTCAAAGAAGACGAAGTAGACATGCTATATTCTAAATATTTAGAACGTGAGTCCGCTGTACTCAGCGAACTAGCTGGATATCGTTGAATACCCGTTTAGGTTACAGGTACTATATCTGAATTACCACGACAAGTAAAAATATCTCTGTTTCTTCGCTTATCACAGGATGTTCGTATCGGTTAAGTGGCGCTCTCCTGAGCACGTTGGTATTGTGTCACCTGGTCTAGGTTATTCTTATCCGTGAAGCGATGTGAAGAAATGTACATTGGTCTATTGTATCAACAAGACTGCAGGGACACATCAAGATTAAATGTCCATATCCTCAACGTGACAGGCGATAAGCTGCTTCACCTATAAGCCGCCTGTCAGCAACCACAAGAGATACAGAGGTCAGATTGGAAGCTATCTAATCGTTAGTGACCTATTGACTAGCATCAATATCTTTGTTTGGGGCATTGCGTTTACGTGCCACATAGCCTTGGCCTGTTCGTAGCGCGTTTTATCCTAGGTATGTGCGAGGGGTCCATCACAGCTGGTTTTACGACTGTCAGCTCGATGTTCTGTAATCGTGGTTTCATCACATCTCTGCTCATGATGAATTTGAACCACGCGGTGCTGAGCGCAGATTATATCTGGTCTTATCAGTCCTGGTTCACTGCATATCTCAGGATTTGCGCCATATGCATGGCAATGGTCAAGCTTGATCCGATTATCAACGCCAGCGACACTAACAATCACATGGAGGCTCATAATGTTTTGTCAGACTGGCGCAGAAAATAAACTGGATCAGTGCAGTGCGTGTGTTCATTCCCCTTCAACGCCATTACAGCATGAATAGAAGTTTTGAACGATAGAAAGACGTGGATTTTCGCTCTCTCGATCAGAACTTCAGATATTGAACTCGCTCAGCAATCAACGGCAAATCATCGTGACTCGCATCAGCACTTTGCAAACAACCTTGTTGAGTTGTGTTGATGGTTTTATGGAAGTTGGACTGACATCGTGATTGTCTCCCTGATTCTAAACAGTCGTGCATACGTCGGCGCGGTGTACTTCATCCCGGCTTTGGTTGGGGTACTCATGATTGAGTTCCTGCCATGGAGCGATCAGATCGCCTTGCTTTGCCATCTGGCTTGTGGATGGATGTCGGGATTACTGTATCCATCCTATCTCTGACCTGGGTTGACCAAGGTTACGGTTGGAGAGTCAGTCACAGACAAGTTCAAAAAATAAATTAACAGAAGGCTGAGTAAACCAAGTGACCACGAATGCAATCATGTTGAGTGCGTATTGCGTTGGTATGGCTGTTCATGCGGCAGAGGCGGTATGAGCCATGGCAAATCTCTCTTGGTGGACTTGTTACACTCAATTAGTCGAGCCGATAACCATAGTTCGCACGGTGAGAACAGTACCGAATGGCTTGTCCGATGCAGTATGATTGCAGAGATGGTACACGCGGCTCGTTGTACATTCGTTACGCAATATAATACTCTATACTCATAGTTGATACCAGGAAATGAAGAAGCAAAGAAATAAAAATAAAAAGTCACAGGAAGGCGCGATACAAACCACGCCGCAAAAAGCAATAATGATCAGGATCAAGCAGAAAAATATAATATCATGAAAGGAAAGAATGGCCTACAAAAACAGAGGGAGAATAAGGTTCCGTATTAGGTATTCAACGGTTGGTGTTATCGACCCCAACCACTACTGCCCGTACGTCCCCGCGGTCGTGGCGCCCACCCGCGCTCTCGTTCCCAATCAAGACGATCACGGTCATGACGATCACGATCAGCAGACGGTCCGCGAGGAATGTATTGCGAACCGCTGTACACGCGGCTACTGGGAGAAGAATATGTCGGTGGATGGGATGATTGACTAACTCTCAGTGCCCGTGGCCCACTGGGTAAGGGGCGCGGAGGGCCGTTCGAGGAAGAAGTGTTGGATAAGGGTGCTCTTGTCGGTGGAGGTGGACCGCGCCAGGAAGCTGACGGAGTGGGTGTGGATGTGGTATGGGTAAAATTAGGAGACAAGGGATGTGAGGTCTGAAATGAGCGGGGCTGGGTTGGAGGCGTGTAAGATCGGGGGAAGAAATGCGACGACTTTGGAGGAGAGGCGCTTGTGATTTCTCCATCTTCGTGAGAGGGTCTATGAGAATAGGAAGCCGGAGCGGAAGGGGGTAGAGGTGACGAAAAAGGTTTGGGTGATGACGATTGTTTTTCTGTACTCTTGATCTGCTGGTGCAATGGAGGTGGAGGCGGGTCCGGCGCAGATGGTGATGTCCTATCATAGGCACCCACAAGTCCATTGGGTATAGAAGTCTCCGATATCTCGACCTTGGCCACAAGAGAAGTGGGATCTGCAAGTTGGCCGTTGGGATGAGCATTATCCATGCTACGAACAGATCTTAGGGATACGACGGGAGACCTCGGCGGGTATGGAGTAGCGCCTCGTGGTTCGGATTCACAGCGCCGCTGACTCTCAGCAGGTGAATCTTCCAGCACGCAGTCCACTACGTTCTGCATGGTGAAAGAAGCGTCAGGTTCGTCCTTCACCCCCTCAACAGCCTGCCCCATGTCATTATCACCATCCATCTCCACATCCTGCGCCTCTCTTATATCTGACATGGTCACTTCCAAATCACGCTCATGGTCTGTGCCCTCAGAATCCCTCCCCAGCCGCTCATCTGCACCATCATCATCCACATGTATCCCTTCGTCCCCGCTCTCCTCTAGCAACCCCATGCTTAACCCACCAGGCGACTCACATTCCCGCTCCTTCGCCATTTCTTCACGTTGCTTCTTCTTGCGCAGAGCAAAGTCCTTGAGGGACATCTTCACCTTTGGAGGAGGCAGCGGTGACTGTTCGCGTGCGGGTGACGTGGGTTCATGTGCTGGTGGACTGAGTTCGTGTGATGCTGGCGTGGACTCGTGTATAGGTAGTGCGGGTTCGCATGATGGAGGTGGTGAATCAGAATCATGGAGGGATGGCGTTGACTCGCATATTGACGGTACCAGTATAGTTGAATCGCGCATGATTGATGACATAGAGGCACCTGTTTGTGGCGTTTCATCTGGTGGGACTATTTTGACCTCAAGAGAAGTTCCGTCATGTACAGGGCTCCTATCTGGCTGTAGTACGGCCTCTGCTGTTGAACCAGCTGTTTTGTCATCTTCCAACACAGGTGGAGGAGTATGCGAGTAAATAGGAGGTATCGCTTCCCTCCCTGATTTAAGCGGAGTATGTTGAGTAGTCTTCAAGGACGGTTGCCCATGTAACACCTCCGGGGATGCAAAGCGCACACGATGAGGTGAAGAAGCGTTGGACATCGATGGATTGGACGGTTGTGGATGGACTATGACTTGCGCGCTCAATGCGTCTGAAGGACTCTTGCTATTGGACGACTGGGGTGGCGGAGGGGATGACATTGGCATAGGACGCCTAGACGAGTTTGTCAGAGGCACTCCAAAGAGGGAAGGTGACCCGGAGCGCATATCAGGCAGGACGGGTGACAGAAGAGATAGTTTTGAGAAGGTTGCTGAAGGCGAGACGGATGCGAATGCGACGGAGGAAATGGTGGTGGGGTCGAGAGCTGCCGGCATTGGTGGTGGTGGCATTTGACGAATATCTATGGAGAGAGGGTCAGCCAACATGCGGCACACAGGAAAAGCGATGTGAAAATCCATACGCAACAAAATTGTGCAAAACAAAAGTAAAGCTTACCAGAGAACGTATCGCTCACATCGATATCCATTCCATCTACAGTGCTCTCGGGGGATGGTGGTGAAGGGCTGTCTCCAGATGTTGGTGCTGGACTGTCCGCTGAGAGTAATGTCGGGCTTCTCCAGTCTGTCGTAGACACCGGAGCGGGTGGACTATGTCCACTCAATACCGGTGAACTATGTACATGCACTCCCAATAGGCTTTGACCATGCTGTCCATGCGAACCAGATGGTCTCTGTGCGTTGATAGATACAAAATTTCTATTATTCCGTGAAGAGGCACGCTCATCACGATCATGCGACACGGACACAGACACAGTATGCATCCACCTCTTACGCATCCTTGGTGGAATATTTTCCTCGTTGACGTCCATCGAGTCGGGAGTAGGGCCTGCACAGATAAATAAAATACTGAGAGTGAGCAAGTCTGGGTAAAGGAGTAAAGAAGGGGGGTATAGTGGATGAGCACACGCTGAGAAAAGAAAATTACGCGCTGCAGAGAGAACTAGAAGCTAAAATACAGCAGAACACACTCACCGTCACCTTCCACGTCCACGTCTGCATCCACGTCTGTCTCCTCTGGAGCACGCCGCTTGCCCTTCCTATCGCTTGTCCTCGTGCAATTCGAAGTTCGTGACTGACTCGAGGTAGAAATTGTAGGGCGCCAATTCGATGGTCCTCCATTGGGTCCCAAGCCCGAAAACTCAGCGGGAGTATTGAAACTTGAAGGCCATGCGTCAGGTCCTGCGCTCGATAACCTATCACTCGACCCAGCATCAAAGCCCCCACTCAACTCAGCACCAAACCTCTCAGTCGACCCAGCGCCAAAACTGACCCCCGATCCCGACGGAACCATCTCCACACCACCAACGCCCCCGCCAAATGGCACCTTCTCCCGTGTCCTAAAGCCGCGTTTCGCGCCAATCAGCGGACCGAGGTCAATTTTCCGAGTGAATGCCGATGATGACGGTGTGTTTCCATTCATACCGTTTGTGTTGATATTGGCACCGTTCCCGTTGGTACTAGTCGAGTTCGCGTTCATCTGGATTCCAAGACCCACCACAGTTCGCTCAGAATCATGTCCCCAATTTTCCTTGTCTGAGCTCGACCCATCGCCGGCATCCGCCTCTCCTGCCTGCCTCGCCCCATTCCCATTCGTCATCCCGCTCGTACCATTCATAGGCTGCCCTGACGCACACGTGACACTAGATGCATCAAGCTCGCTGTCAACATATTGCGCCATGACATTCAAAACGCAGTCCCTTGCGCGGGCACCGCATGCACACGTTGTGAATGTGGAACTGAGCGCATGGAGAATTGAGGTCATTTGTGCACGGAGGTGAGTTAGGTGGTACGTCCTGTTCGTGCGAGTGAGTCAGTAAGGGATGTGGGACGAGGAAAGAGAATGGGGAGTGGAGTGGGAGTGTGAGGTAAGAGGGTGAGGGGTTAACGTACGGAACGGTAAATGGTCCGGGATCAATTACAAAGAAACAAAAGATTGAAGGTTAAAAAGAAAGAACAGGATAAGAGAAAGACGCACGAGAACAAATGTGGGCTCTCGATGAGCGCTGGAAGACTGTGCACTGCGTTTCCGTCGTCCCATTCCCAACCGAGAACGACTTCTTCGTTGGCTTTGAGGTCGCGCAGTGCGAATACGCCAAATGTTAGGGTTTCTTCATCTGAGTCTGTCTTGTCGTTCTTCTTCTTCCCGCTTTCCCTCCTCTCCTTCTTCACGCTTTCTGTCCTCTCTTTCTCGGACTCATCCTTTGCCTTACGGCACAGTAAGGGCCTCAACACTGCATTTGGACGACACCCACTCCGGGCAAAGCGTCCCTCGTCACCAACAACTCTCGCATCGAGGGCGACGTCCAGCGGTGGACCCATCAGGTGCACGAATGGCTTCGGCATGCCAAGGTGGGCGTACGCATTGAGCGGGTCGGCGAGGTAAGAGGCGCTCGGGGTGATAGCGCAGGTAAACGGGGCAATGTAGCTCGACGAAGGGACCGGCGTAGTTGTGTGGAGGCTGTAGGTGGGCGGGCGAACGAGGGGGTTGGTATGCAGCTGACTTGGAGATGGTGTAGGTGGGACTGAGTGGATTTGTGTGCGGTTGGGATGTATGGGTGGTGAGAGGGCGGTGATGCCCCGCCATGACTGGGCTTGTCTGCGGAGTCTGGCATGGGCTTCTGTTGTAGCGATGTCTTTAGTGATAGGGACGTAGGATAGAGACCACGGTTCGTCGATGTCGACCGGCTCATCTTCGCCTTGTTGTATTGGCGTCGGCGGTGGGTGCGGCGTCGACGGGGATATGATAGATGCTCTACGTTTCTTCTTTGTATTTCCGGAGCCCTCGATGGCAGCAGCGCTGGCTCGTCGTCGTTGTACGGGCGACCCAGCTCTATCTCGTTTTTTGCCCTTGTCTCTATCTTTTTCCTTGTCTCTCTCCCTCTCCCTGACGTGCATCTCTGTAATACGTTGCTTCTGGAGGCGAACTGCACGGTCACGGTTAACAGGACGGGGATCGCAATCCCAACAGCGCCACTCTTCTGGTACCTCTCCCTCGACAATATCGAAGCATGCTGCATGGCACCAACGAGAGCAGACGTCGCAGGCAATGCTGAAACCATCGTCAAAGAGAAAACCACATATGCAGCTGATAGCATCTGCGTCTGGAAGAGGAGGGCTAGCTGATAGCGCTGGTTGTAATGGTGTTGTCGTTGGCGGTGGTCTTGGTGTCGGTATTTGTACTGGTTTTCTGATTTGAGGGATTGTGTTGTTGTTTAGAGGAGAGAGGCTGAGGAGACCGAGTGCAGCCTCCGTTGCATCGCTGTTCATCGACGTTCCCAATGTTTTTGGTCTCCTGCCAATTTGCCGCCGACCAAGTTCTTGTCCGACTCTTTCTCAATTCTACTCGATTGCACTCACCAGGAAACAGTAAACACAAATCAACATCTGATTCAGCAACTCGGCACTCCCCGCACGGTCCAACGGGAAGATGATGCACATCATTGACAGAGTACCTTCTAATCATCAATAAGGAGATGAGCACGAGTTGCAATCTTCACGAGCTATTGTAATTTAGTGACGTTGTAACAGCACTTGCGATTGGTCAATACCAGCTCAATTACATATTAGCCAGAATTCAGGCACCCGATTCAAGGGTGCAGAAGAGAGATGAATTCCTACGTATACTTGCCGATCTTATAACAGGCGAAAGTAAAGTATGAGGTTGACCTGACAGCCTATGACGCCCAAAATCTCGATCATTTACAGAGAGGGTAAGGACGATGGGAAGAAAAAAAGCGTCAGAACTTCCCGGAAAGTTGCGCAGACGGTCTTGTTCTGTCTTGAAGGGTCCGTTTTGGTCGCGTTCCGGAAGAAAGGTAAGTAGAACGGTTTATAATCTCACCCTACCAAAAGAACACCTTATCTTTGACCTGCTCTCGGAGCACCAATAATCCGAGACCATCCAGCTTCGCTCTCGGCGATAGAGCACGGCCCGCAGGCCCCGCATTAGCGACCATGGAATCAAAATGTTAGTGACACATGCCTTAGTAGAAGAATATGGGGAAAGATTCATTCCGGTAGGCGACGCCCATGTTTTAGGATGGCAGCAATTCCTCACCACAATCTCACTGATCTGAGTCCGAGTGACTGAGCATGATCACTGTTCTCCATGAACCAGCTGACACATTGATCGTCTTTGGTGCGGTGTATGAAATTTAATTAGTCGAAAGAATGTCTTATGAGGATGTGCTGACACCTATCGTGCAAAGTTTGAGACTGGCCCTGCAGGACTGCCACGTCGGTAAGAAATAAAGTTGCTCCATTCGACTTGGAAGTAATATAGCCAAACCTTAATGGTGCTTTAGGCAGAACTGCAAGCAGCTAATTTGCCAGCGCCGGGAGGAACCTGGAAAAATATAGTCTCCTAAGCCAGACCTGTCGAAAGAAGATAGCCGTTTCTTTGGATTAGCACTGTTGAGGGTGAAACCAGCGTTTTATCATAGTAGAACAAGGTCAGCTACGAGAAATCATTTAGTTCACTTAATGTCAACTCCTACAATGTGATGGTCAGCATGCTGTGGCTGAATAAGGCAGGCTGCTCACGAGCCAACCGCTAGCAAACAGTTAATTTGTTGCACAAAATCTACCACTCACCAAAATCACCACTCCGACTACTTGTCTGTCAATGCCCGAGTGTTTGAACCACAGGCCTCACAAATGTAGAAACGTGTTTATTAGACATCCCAGAGACTGCGAGATCATCGATTTGTGCGGTGGATATTTCTCGAAAAATAGAGTCAGGTCAAGATCCATATGAGGCAGGGAAGAACCATGAGCTGATGTTCAAATGGTTCGCGCACTGAAGCAGAAGAAAGAGTGCAAAATTGTGCGAAAGCGATTAAATGCTAGAAAATGCATGAATCACGGGCGCCGAAGACATGAACCTTGCGTTCCCGACCGATGAGAACATGATATTGTGGGGCCTGGGCCAGCCAATATCAGGAATTTGACCTTATGATCCTTGTGCATACTACATACCGCAGTTATTGGTTCCTTTTCGGTTCCCATGAGCGTGGTGATGACTCGGAGTGCCCCCGTATGCTTACAAGTGTTGATCCCTAGTAGTTCTGGTCAGTGATGACTGAATATCACTTCTGTCAAAGCCTGATCAGTGACTACGGGTCTGAGCACTGAGCTAGGACACTAGTCGGCTTGTACTAATCATGATGGAGTCATGGATTGATGCATTCATGCCGAAATTGAAACTGTAAGCTTACGTAACGAATTGCTTTAAGTGACCACTGGTGGCTCGGTTGAGCCAAAACGTCTTCCCTCACTGGTAGCCGGCGGGCTTGCATATGCGGAGGATTACCATCGATTTTAATAAAGAGCTCAAGCTCTAACCCTAGGTGAGTCGTTAATACATTTTGCCAATGGTTTCTGATATTAGTGCTGACTCAATTTCAGCAGTGAAGCTTGCTTTCGGTGGCCTGTACTTAGCGACGCTGATTCTTCACAAACGAATCAAGTAGCACCAATAAACATTGGTTGTCACGAATCGCCTATCATACATCCTGATTCGATGGTCTTGCTGCGATCCTTTGAAATTTACGATTTTCGCCGATCTTGGGTTTGACATGTCGACATTTCAAGCTCTTGGCATCAGCTTCCACGTTCAACATTGATGAGCGCTGATACCGCGGTCTCTGATATTTGTCCGCACTGAACATCGCGTCCGACAGATTACGAGTAGGCTTATGACCATATGTTTCCCTCGCGTGCATCTCCTATTGAGATTGCGGTGCTTCTAACTTCTTGGAATTTCTTTGTCATCTCCAAGTTGCAGTCCCACATCATGGGAGGTCAGGATCCCTCGGCACAACATTTCAACTCATTTCAAGTTATTATGCCACGCCGGTCTAGAACACTACAAATCAGTCTTCTCGGATCGAAGTTCCATCACCGGGTTGTCTTTTGCGGTTAGCATGGGTGACAGCTCATGACCACTAAGAATGGCGTATTGACTATGGATACATGTTGCACCTCTCTGTACAACGACACGGTTGCAAATCCGGCTTATGGTCCGAATTTACCCTTTCACACACAGGTTGGACGTCTGGCTTGTCGTTCTTCGGCTCAATCTTACTAGGCTTCGCAATATTATAGCCACTCTCAAAGTGCACCCACTTTTCTCGGCGGGCGACTATTTTGGGCCCCAAGAAATCAATATCAATATTTGTCAGGTTTAGCCTCGGGCCAGGACTACACCGTCAAATGAGGCCAGCTTCTAAATTTGCTTACTGGAGAATGTTGGCGCCAAACATTCTTTGATCGTCTCCCAAGGCTATATTCGTCGCTCAGCTCTTCGGAACGGATGTATCGATTGTCATATTAGTCGCTCTCTACGTTGTGTTTTCGACTGCTTACCCCCGAATCAACGACTTGACTCGGGCGACGTGGGCATTCTCCACATCTGAGGCCTGAGGTGCAAGCATGGCGTGCAGTCACCAGTGGGTATCGCCATGTCTTCAACCGCGTTGTCTATCCCACTGTCTTCTGGGTATACGACCATTGCACTTAGAATGACAGCCATCACGTCCGTCGTTTCAAAGTAACAGCGGTTCCTCCAAGATACTATATCTTTGTACCGTAAGTGGTCGTGGTCATCTTACCGACTACATCTGACAAGTACATGAAGTAACTTCAATGCTCTTGCAATTCGGTTGATGATACCGAGTGAGTGACAGCAATGATCTTCATGTTTGTATGTGGGCTCGTATCCTCTGACGGTGTTTTCAAGGCCACTCTGGCATTCTTTTGGAGAAGTGTGTGTTCCATGAGATAATGACCGAGGTTTTTATCTGATGCCTCACGCAGGTACTTTGACAGCTACCAGGCATATTCCTATCCGGTTTAATTACAGTAGAAAAGGTGCTGGTAGTACTTATCATAAATGCCGTGTTTGCGATTTTGGGAATTTCTGGTGCCACATGCGGGACGGCCGCTGGGTCGATATATACTGAACAGACACAGTATTATGGTCTTCTCTGCCAACCTGACACCCAAACAGGTTCCAGAGTTACCGAAGCCTTTTGTTGCGAGGCTTCTGAGTATGATATATGTGACTAGTTTACCGATATCTGCATCCATTAGCTGGATAAGAACACTGGTACTAGGGAAGAGGACATACCCGAGTGTATAGTACCGTGACGCCTCTGTCTGCTATTACCACGTTCACAGCATCGGTTATGATTCTCCAAACTAGTCCATATTTCAGGTACATTCTGTCATCATTTCTGTCCAATTTCTGTCATTTGGCAGTCGGATCAGTTTGGAAGAATTAGAGCAAACACTCGTTGCAGTTTGAACAACGTGCCCTTCGCCAAATTTTTCCTTATAACTAGCACGGCGCTACCGCGCCCACGTTGGAAAAGTTTCAACATGTAATTTGGAACGTTGGTGGCCCGGCACAGAGCAAGGTTAGATGATCCGCGCGTCGGCCCGCCCGTAGTGATCTACTTATATACATCATGTGCATATTCTCACTCGGTCTCTCCCACTTACCGAGTAATCCGAATTTGTATATCCGGCGGGAGTCAGTGACTACACAATATCTATAGTATCCGAGTCAGGTTAGATATCCTCTACCACAAGTCGCTATCAGTCTCGTACTAATACTTCTCTCTCCCGCAGCGGCTATAACTTATTCTTCATCTGCAATAGGACCAGCCTCTAAAATACAGATATCCGACATTGAAACAGCCAACCATTTATTCAGAGACACCGTCTGTGCCGCCTTATCATCGGCACCGACATACAACACAGCCGAGACGATCTCGAGGAGGAGTGATTTTATCACCCCCAGCGATCGTTCAGTCTGATAAACCTAGCGCATGACCTTGCTCCATGTCTACTTTGCACTACGCAAGCAGCAATCCTTTCACCGCCTGCTCAATGGCGGTCCTGGACAACCTTCCACATCTGTCAGCACCAGCAGCGGAAAATCATGGAAGCGCGCGGGGGTACTGAACGGAGGAATGGCCCTCGAAATAAATGCTCTCGATACCCTTGGCAGGTCAGTCCTGCACCTGGCATGCAGCTCCACTGAGGCTTCAAGCCTGGAATATGTCCGCATGCTCCTCGCCCACCCAGCTATCAATGTGAACATACTGGACAAGGAGAGTCATTGGACGCCCTTACATAGGGCGCTATATGCGGGAAACGTCTCTGCTGCGTATGTCTCTATTTTCGCATGTGTGGCCGGTGCAGTATTGTCTTACTGAGTTGAAGGATCCTTCTTTTGAAGCGCCTGGATATCGATACGTCCATCAAGGACTTAGAAGGCTATACTGCTCACGACCTGTACAACTCAACTGTGAGATCTGCAAAGCCTACCGAGGACGAAGAGACTCTTGCCGAACTGTTTACCTGGGGTACGAACAGGTAAGTCGACGTGCTGATGGAATTGAGTTATCACGTCTTATGAGGGTTTTGACATCAGAAACGCAGCATTGGGGCTGGGCGATGGAAATGATAGGGCATATCCGGATGAGGTCGTCATTCCCCGTAAGGACGATGTAGCACAACAGCACAACAGGTCCCTCGACGACCGCTTCGCCCCAATTCACGTCCGGCAAGTGTCAATGTCCAAGCTTCATACAGGCGCGTTTTGTTCGGGGTATATATATGCCGAGCTCACCATTCCGTAGTTGTACTCACCTCCGAGCCTCGGGATAACATCCGTGTGTGCGGCTTCGGCGGTGGAGGACGGTAGGCGCAGACATGTACTCGATCATACGTTGCATTGCTAATTTTTCTGCAGTTTGGGTCCAAGTCAACATACACAGTATGCCCTCATGCCCCTTCCCGATATCAAACACACCATTGAGTCCGTTGCGCTTGGCCAAGACCACACCCTCGCGCTCACTTCAACTGGAGAAGTTCTCACATGGGGACTCAATCGCTTCTATCAGCTTGGATACGTCATTGAGGTCTCATCCTCGGCTAAACAAGATGAGCATATCCAGGCTACGCCGCGAAAAGTCGGCTCGTTGAGGAGAGAGTTTGTCAAAGGTGTTGCAGCGTGCAAAACCGCTTCTGGTTGCTGGACAGATACGGAAGTATGGACGTGGGGCACGAACGGCGGGCAACTTGGTTGGTTACTTCTCCTGAGTTGTTAATACATGCTCATGTTGAAATTCTTAGGGTATGACAAGGCGCTAGTGCCCGTCCAAGTGCTCCCCCGTAAAGTCTCCAGTATAGTGAAGCCTGTTCGCGCAATAGTGATGACGGTTTGTTGGAATTTTTATATAGTTCTACAATAAGAGTGACTCTGGATCCAGGAAACCCTCATGGCATGTCTACTTCTCACGGGCGAAGTCTTGTGTGCTTGGTCTGGAGGGATTTCCAAGATTAGGTCGGACTTTTCCTAAGCTCGATTCACTTTCTTTCTGACTCTCGATACCTAGTTTCCCCACTCAGAGATTCCCTTCAGAGATCTCTGTTTACCGGCCCCCGCAAGCAATCAAGGGTCAAACCATCATAAAGCTCAGGAGCTGTGATGACACCATCGCCGCCCTCTCATCGAATGGGGAAGTATTCACGTTTACCTCACAACCTACTGGAGAAGGCGATTCCGCAAAGAGTTCCCCTGCTTTCAAGCCTCAACGCATATGGGCCCTGAGACGTCAGTTCAGTGCTGTGCAGGTGGGTGGGTTCAAATTCAAACACCATCCCGTCTGACGTCTTGTAGGACGTTGATATTGGGGCCGATGGAACTGTCATAGTCTGCACTCAGTCTGGACATGTTTACGTCCGCTTGCGGAGCGCCAAGGGAGGTCAGAGTTCCGGTGCCAAAGCATTCAAATTCCAGCGCATACCGTACATACAGCGTGCTGTTGCTGTCTGTGCAAACAGCACAGGGGCGTTTGGGGCTCTGCGCGTCGATTTTAAACCACTGCCCATCCACGTCACTACACATTCATTTTCATGTGATATTACTAAGATCCAACCATACCTAGGTCCGTCATCGCGTGCGGAGGCACTGTCTGCGACACTAAACATGGAGACACCCGTCTTGGATGCCGACGAAGATGGCGAGGACGCGTTGATCCTGGATGATATCGGAGATCTATCGAAGTTACTCCAGGTTCTAGACCAACGCAAGAACGCGCCAGATATCGTCTTGCCCTATAATGCCGACGTGGTTGTTGTCACTCCTGGTCCACTGCACCTTCCGGCTCACCGACTCATTCTCGCTGTGAGATGTCCAGTATTGGGCAACATTTTGCATACCGGACGACCATTAAATGATAAATCTTCAGGGATTGAGGTCAGTCTCGTCCCAGGAGACAGGATCCACATTCAAATCATTGGATGTCATCCGTTCACGGTCCTTATTCTCCTTCGATACTTCTACTTGGACCAGCTCCTCGCTATCTGGGATTTACGCATCGGAACCCCCTTTATGTCCCAATTTCAAACATTTGCTGTGAAACCTGTAGCAATCAAGGCGGAACTTCAATCACTTGCACGTATATTCAATCTTCAACTTCTTTTGAAAGCACTTCAATCGCCAGGGAAGCGAGTCCCCACTCCTTCACAGGCAGAAGACTTCCGCCTGCTCTACCAGAAAACCCAGTTAACCGGACATTTACGGAATAATACAAGAGAAGACTCCCTTGCGCCCGACGTCGCGCTCCACCTCGCTGACCAGGTCATCGTTTGGAGTCATTCAGTGGTGCTACAAGCCCGCTGTCAATTCTTCGCCAGCTTCTTTGAAAATAGCGTGTGGACATCTAAGCGTCGTGATAAATCGGGTATCATCGACATTGATCTCAAGCACTTGGAGTGGCAGGTCATGCAATATGTCGTTCGATGGATGTGTTATGGAGACGAGAACTTGTTTGAATCTCTCGGTGTGTTTTCGTGTGTTATTTTCATCGTGTTGGTCATCTTACTGCATCGAAGACTTTGTGCAAGGGGTAGATGACGCGATATCCTTCATGTTATCTGTTCTTTCCGCAGCGGTAAGTCCACGTGCACTATCATTAGGCACATGGTTCATAATGCAACTTCAACCAGAACGAACTTCTACTCGACCGCCTGATGCTTCTATGTTCACAAGTCATTTTGAAGTATCTCGATGTTTATAATGCGTGCTATTTGCTCGCTGATGCAACGCACATCAACGCGACCCATCTCGTTGAACGTTTGCAAAGTTACATCACTGCAAATCTGGAGATGATGCTAGAGGGTCGCATGTTCGAGGACCTTGACACTTCCATCGTGCGGCAACTTTCCAAGTACATCCGCAGTGCACAGATGACAAAGTCCCCGGTCTCTCGTTCTAACTTACTGGCGAACAAAGCGCTGCGGAAGCACGCCGAATGGCTTGCTCGACAGGATATTCCAGCCGTATTTGAACCTGTAGACAGGCCACAGGTTCACAGGGATTCTCCGAAGTCATTGACTGCGAGCCCAATGAAGACTCGCCCAATTCCAAGTCTGTCTGTGCATCCGGCAGCAGATTCGCCCAAGGCTACTGATACTGGGCCGTCAGGAGATGAGCTGTTCGTGATGGACCAAGTACCTTCATCGGATACTCCTAATCATCAGATACCTGTGATTGCTGAACTGTCTGGATCGGTACCGGTATGGAAACGGTCCATCTCCACTCCCAGGTGTGTGGAGCTTTTGCTTCTATTCTTACTATACATTGTGCTGATACCACTATGAAGGACCGATCTCAAGGCCATTATGGCAGAGGCTGAGAACACCAAGATATCCGGTGTTCCAAACAGAGCAACACACGTTACTATGGTCAAACCTAGTCATGAGTCTTTGAAACAGGTAGCTACGCCACAGCGTAGGACCGTGAGCTCGTCGCTGAAGCCTGATGCGTCACTGACACCGCGTCGAACGCCGTCTGATCTTGACTTGGGGAAGTCTTCGCTCCCCGAATCATCCGCCGCCGCGAAGCTAATGCATGCGAGAACACCTCAGCGGCCAGTTCCTCAAGCCGTACCTTCATCTTCAAAGCCTCAGCCGAATGCATCTTCACTCGGCCCTGTCTTTTCCCCCATTCGACAGGTGCCTTCGACGTCCAGTTCACCAGGTCCCCGACGTGTTTCGTACGTGCCTACTGTTCCCCTTGGCCACGTGCCACGTCTTTCTGATTCATATATACCAGGAATATGGGTGCCGCATGGACCCTTCCGCCTGTTCAGCCAGTGGTGCAATCGAGCGTTACAGAATCATCCTCACTTTCATTTGCTGAGATACAACAATTACAGCTTCTGCAGGGCATACCTGCAGCCAAGGACAAGCGATCGCTTGTCGAGATTCAAGAAGAGGAGCGAGCCATTCAACTAGAGGCAGACTTCATGAAATGGTGGGCAGCGGAAGAGGCGCGCACTCAAGCAGAAGCGCACAGTATCTCTGAAACACAAACGCAACGTGCTACTCCTTCTAAGAATAAGAATCGAGGAGGGAAGAAGCGATCTTACAGTGCTCGCTCGAAGCCTGGTGAAGCGCACCCTGCTCATGGTTCTAGCCGTTCCAAGGAGGGGGGGAAGCACTCTATGGTACCGGCAACTGACGGTGCAATGCCGCAGGCTGGAGGATCTGGCCCAAAGAGTCGAAAGAGACAGGGGGCTGCTAGGCCGGCGGTGGATGATTCCATCCATGTTCAACGGACCAAGGGGCGGTGAACCGTGTAGCAAGCCTCCAGCCAGTGCCCTTATAACAATAGTATGGACTATGGGAGTCGTTGGAAGGAAATCATGAGCACCGAAGCGATACCTAATTACTTGAAGTCTGAAGATACGTAGATGCATGCGAAATTGCGAGTGCCAGGAGCTTTGTCGGACCACTGTAACCACACACTCTGACCTGGCTATAATTCACCAACAGTTTGTAAGGTGCTAATATTTCGAAATTCAGATAAACAGTAAATTTGGCCCAGGATGTCTAGTGCGCAAAATTACGTACAAGAATAAAATACTGTAACGAAGCTTATCGTCGAATCCCAGTCCTCGGATTACGTCTCGTGCTGACCACTTCGTCATCTTCATCATAGCTGTTTAGCAACGGTTCCGCAGCTCCGCTGATTCCACCCAATTCAACACTCTTGGTATCTTCGAACCGGGTAGCGTATGGTAAATGTGCATCTGCCGATGCTGGGTGAGGGTAATACTGCCTGTACGAAAAATATGCAAGGAGAAATCCAAGAGAAGATCCAGTCACAACGTCCTGCCAGTGGTCTGAATGGCAAAGTGAGTAATCTAATATGATTTCATTAAAGAAACAAGGATCGTACGACGATAGTCCATAGTGCGCGAAACTGCCACGAACAATGCACCGGCAAGGGGAGTGATAGATATCCACGCTTTAAACTGAATCATGGGTGGTAAACACGCGCTGCATTATCCACAGGGCAATGGAAACTCACGACGTATCCCCGGGTGTCAAATAGATGCAGTTTACCGGCCAAGTACAAGGCGAGGAATCCGAGGCCTGCAAAGGACACTACAAATAGACATATCAGATCTGTGACAGGGAGAGACGACATTGATCATACTGCTGGAATGACCGCTGGGGAAACTTCTCCATCCATCTTCGAGTATCCTCGATACCGTCTGCGTACATATATCTACAGTAGATAGGCCCCAAATAGGATCTGCAGAGCCCGTCGTAGGCTGACAGCGCGAAATTAAATCTGTGAATATTGTAAGACACGCCAAGTACTAGGTGAAACTGCAAGCTTACCTGGCCGGGGTCGTCCAACCGTGACTTTGACAAATTGTGTAATGATCCTTGTCATCGACAGAGAGAGGGTCACTGTATTGTCATGAGTAATGATAAGATGTAGCTATTAGATTTAGGTACATACATCCCAGAGTGCTGTGGTGGAAATCCCACCATGACTGGACTGTCAAAAAATTGACAAGGCACTGAACCACGAATGGGACGCCATAAGAGATGAAGCCAAGAGCCGTTGTCTGACATGTTGTTAATGAAAAGACTTTGTCCATGTTCGCTGTGACTTACCCCGACGCGTTCATTAACAGCATAGCTGGTGGGTATGAAGTGAGCGTTGTAAGTAGGGAACCCAGTTGATGAATAATACCCACGGATATCGTAATCTAACAAGGTCTCAAGTGAACATGTAACCTGAATGGAAGCATTGAGACTTACGAGACATCAGATAACGAGAAGTGCCTCTTGAACCCAGATACTTGGATGTGGTTGTCGATGACCCAAGAGATTGCCCTGCAAGTTAATGCAGTCTTTAGCTCTGGGTGCTTCCATGCCTGCAACCTTGATGGTGGCTCCAAATCCTTACCAAAGCGAACCAGATATGATCCTTTGGGGAAAGATACTACATGAGTTCAAGCTCAAAGTTCAGTGGTCAAGAAGTTCACCAGTCGGGGGCATATGATATCATAAATCGCCGTAGACCTGGATGTAGTCCACGGTGCTCTTGGCTCATGGTGTTTGGAATGACAGGATTTGACTCCAGAGTATCAGTGAGAGTTGCAAAGGTATAGTCCGTCGGCTGCTTCATGGGAGTAAAGTTATTCGCGTATGTACACTTCAGGTCTTTTCAGGTCGTGCTCTGTACATGTGTTGATAAATTAATCTTTCGTTCTCACACAAGGTTCTATTCCTTAAAGGGCCCGTCACGAGGAGGAGTATCTCTTACGTATTACGCTCGTTTTGCCAACACAGCTCATCGTGAAATGCTGTGTCATATGTTCCAGGACGGTACTAGGCAAATATTCATGCATTCATATTCCGCATTCTATATCTCTCGAATCTTCCACAGAGTCGATAGTGCCAATACTAGTCAATACCACGATGACCTAGTAGTAGGAGTCTTGTGTAATTTTAGTCCTTGGGAACTGCGGCTTCGTACTCCGCCTGCCGCTCTGCCACATTCCGTGCCTGTATATTTGTGCCGCAACAGTCGACCGTCGTCGACTCCTTCGTGATACATCCGACCCCCATCATCAGGTGGCAGTGACATGCCATGATGCCAGGTAGCGAGTCTGATTAGACGTATTTACACAAATTTGCCTTTTTCCAGATGTACATGGTAGAGCAAAAAAGTAGATAGTATCAGATTCGAACGCCAAGCGAGGCAAATGCAAATGATGCAAATGATTGTACACGCATGGTAACCGGTGCGTGACACAGCCGTCGATCTACGCATGAGATAATATCAGCGCTGGTCTCCATTAAAACGTATGAAATCCTATGCCAGTGGTTTATATTCCCTCGGAATGTAACAGGCAGCTTAGCAACTGATTCAGGCATTCGACGCCACAAACTCAGTTGACGATAAAGTAATAGTCATCCCATATATACAAATCCCGAAGTATGTGCTAAGGTCGAGTATTTCTTGAGGGGAAAATCTTTTCTAATGGCTCGAAAAGGCGGAACTCTCTTGCTGCCCAGATGAACCAAAATATGAACATGGTGACGACCACGCATCCACCGACAACTGATGCCAGCATGGCCACTGTCGTAGACTTGAACACATTGTACAGAATGGCGATTGCGAAGTATATCATCCTAATCGAGAATAAGGTGACCATTAGCCCGGTGATGGCGTAGTAATCCACCTACCCCCACATAAGCATTGCGTAGGGAAGACTGTGAACCGTGGCAAGGGCTCTCACTCCGAAAAACGTCCCCGTCATATGAGACAGAAATTCTGTCTGACGGAATTAGTTAGGATGGAGGAGGTAGACACTAGGACCGGAACTTGCTGCTTTGTCCGCTGACTCAAAACCATATCTTTGGTTCTGTCGCACCAGCAGGACTGAGACGATCAAGGAGCCAGTGATGAAGATGATGGAGAGATAGGTGACGATAATCCCGATCGACTGCGACTGGCCAATATTCACATTCGGCACTGCAAGGAAACTTACGTCTACTGCTAACATGACGGTGGACTGGAAATAATCAGGTTACGAAGGAGGACGCTGACATCATAATACGTACATAGATTGTGATCCCAGTCCATTCTGTCATGAGATTTTTGTTGAAGTCTTTCCACCGCGGCGTATTGATGCATTCATCTACCCACACTTTTCGAAGTTCTTCCAAGTGTGATTGTGGTGCCCAAAAAAGCATGACATCGAGAGCGAAAGAAGCACTACTGGTCAGTGGATGAGGGTTTTTATCGTCCTTGTACACCGATTTATCAGCTTCAAGACGAGCGCAGGGTAGACCGCAGAAGTTGAAGAACTTGGCTCTATCTTCAGCATGGATCAGCCACACGCTAGGACATTGAATGAAGAATATACAGAAGTAGTGCATGAATCTCGCTGTCAACGAAATGGTGAATCTTGGATTATTCTGTGAATGTAGTTTTGCTTACCAATAACACAAGTGGAATGTGGGTCATTTGCTGAAGCATTCTCTGGAGATATATATTAGAACTTCAGACTGTCACAGATGAAAATAGTTCGAAGGGGGCCGCCACACCTTTAAGATGGTTTATCAACTCCAAGATTCTGGAGAGTTCATCTCCATCAAAAGGCGACAAGGACGTATCCGAAGTGATGATCTCTGAATCGCGCATTCAAACAGAATCGGACAATTGAATTCAGGCGATAAGTACCTGTACTTGCATGCATGACAAGCCCCCTCAGTTCCTTGATGATCTCCTGTCTATCCATCTGGTGTTTCGGGTAAAATTCGCAATGCGTCCTGCTCGTTCCATGTCATACAAGTCATAGGTTCTGAAATCACATGAACATCAAAATAGATCTCGCAGGAAGTAGTCAAAACTCGTACAAAAATGAGCATGACAAACCAGTATTCAGACTCCAGGGAATATCCTAGTGGTTAGGTCATATCAGCAGCATCGTCACCAGTCCCGCATGACGCACGAATATGGCTCAGATCGATGACGCCTTGGAGCCCACTAAAGACGTCATCCTTCGCTTCGGCGGGGCGATCATGCAGCCAAAATAGTATTCGATCTGTGTAGTCGACGAAATAATAATAGCAAGACACTTCACCCTCTTCATTCTGCGCTAGTTGCACGACGAGGTCAATGTTATCAGCTCCGAGATCCACTGATTTTGTTTTTGCTAGTTCATCTAATGCATCCACACATCTGTCGAGAAACCCGAACATGTTGCTATCCACGGTTGCTTCTGTGAATGCACTCTGCAGAATACGTGAAAAGTGCATATAAACTTCATGATCGAATGCTTACCTTGCACTTGTTATGTAAATATAGTACACCTTCCGGGTGCACACATAGCTCCCAATGACCGCTCAGCCACGGACATGATCTGAACAGTTTGTGATCCGCATTCACCCCATGGCTGTGCACTCACTCGTTTGGGAACTGTATCGTGTGTGCTGGGATTCCATCGCGCCTTCGAGCTGTGTTTCTAGAGGCACCTCCTCAAGATTGATATATTGTCAAGATAGATTGCATTCACGTACACGAGAGGACGATTCTCATATCGTGAAATGTCATCCGCAACGAATGGCACAAGCTTGATATTGGTGTTTGGAACGCTGGAAGGGTTGGCGTTAGGAACTTGTGGAGGCAAAACCGGTTGAGGGGGAATATATTGCTGGGGAATGCATGGTTCAGGCATGGGGAATATTGGCATCGAAGACAACAACACATCTTGCGTGCTGCTTGCTGCACTAGCTGAAGTTATTTGCTGGTTGTGAAGTGGCAGTAGTAATTTGACGGGGGGACATCGCACACCAGAAGCACTGGGCGGTACAGTGCAACAGTCTGCAGGAGAAAGTGTCGTCGAGTCATTATTGCCAGTGTGCCTTGGGAAACCGCGAATCTTCAATTTGGCCACAAAGTGTCGAAAGCAAGTCACGAGGATGCGCAATCTTTGGGCAGATGGAGTTATGAGTGCTGCTAACACTTGGCACAGACTTTTCAAGTGCCTTAGAATCAGCTTCTTGGTCAACATGTTTAGTCGCCTAACGTTCCGAGTCAATGACGGCCTGTTCAAGTTAAGCGGCAGTGGGCACGTAAAGTCGGGGACAGGGCCGCGGCAACTCCCAGTCTAACCAAATAACTTCATGGTTTTAGCGCGCATCCATTGTTGCTCGCTAAGTATCCAAGTCGTTCAACAGTTGTCTTGATGTCGATCTATTGGCACCACTCACACCTGCCATTGTGGCAAGCATCTAGGAGACTATGAACTGCCTCAGGCTAATACACAAACACGATCTTTCGAAGTATGTAATGAAGAACTACCGTAACTCATGCATGACGTAACGAAGCAGCATTTCAAGTAGAGAAAGAACATGATCAACTCAATGCTCGTGTTTCCACCCAATTCACAACGTAATTACAGAAGTAGTGTTTTCTTTGTAGAAGGTCGCCCAGACGAGAAATTGCGATACGTGCGCAGGTCAAAATTGTGCCGATCGTCGGGAGTTGCGCACTTTGCGCGACTGTTTACGGGCCTGCATCGTCGAAGTTCAACGTTGCAACGTTGCTGCTCCGAATCAACAACCTCGAAGGTCACTGTAGAGATACACTCTGTTTATTGAAGTTTGCGTTGACAAACGAAAAATAAGCGCTTGCTTTTGGAATGAATGCAATTAGAATCTCTGTGCAACGACCGGAAGTTGCGAGGACGGCTCCTTATTGTATAAGATTGCAGCGACTTTTTGTCAGACGCATATCGCTGCACTAAGGTGTTCCATAAAAATTGTGCATTGGGTACTCTGGATCGGACAGCACAGACTCATGCAAACTTGTACGATTCAGTCGCTTGGTCCCAAAGCTTCTTGGTGTCTACCACAGCACGCAACCTCGAAGCAAGTAAGAATGCTCCACTCAATTTCCTACAGAACCAACGATGAGCAAAAAGAGGATAAAGAAGCACGCAAAAAATTGAAGATAAAAACCCAGCTTTTGTTCGGAGGGAAATCTATCCCAAGACTCACCGATTCAGACTGTAGGTTTCCCTTGGTGGGGGCGTCAACCTATGCTTAAGCATCACGGGTATGAAATCACGTATTTGAGCTGTGATGTCCGCCCATGGTGTCCCAGATCCAAATGCGAAGGGCTGCAAGGTCGTGGGTTTGAAGGGGGTAGCTAGGAGGACCATGGAGCTGACGTGCGCATTGAGCATGACCTGTGAACGTGTTCTGTGAATACATGCGCGGGGCAGTGATGGGGAGATAGCACTTCATTTTCCTCTCCAGTGAGATATCCAAGTTTCTGACTCCATTTGGCGCATGCGATACGGTCCTCAGATGCAGCGGCTTGAAGAAGGCGCAGCCAGCTGTCCATGAATTCTTTCGTGTACTCGCGCGTTGCGCCAAAGTCAACCAAGGACAGCTGCGATGATAGTCAGCGAGTTTGTCCAGAAGTGGAAAATATGAAGTGTCAACATGAAACACACCTGTTGTGCCCTTGAGTCCCACAGAAAATTTGTGAAGTTAGGGTCCGTCTGCATGAGTCTGAACTGGAAGAGCTCCCGCAAGCAGAGCTCGATGATTCGCGATGCAATCTACCATGAATTTCAAGAAATGCATGATCTATGGTGGATGATAGGAGAAGCGCGCACCTCGTTTCGCTCTTCTTGTGGTAAACCTCCGACTATAGCATCTCCAATGCTGATGCCTTCTACATGCTCCATTACAAGAACACGCTCTGTGCTACCTGGCCACACCCACGGGACCCTGAACCGTGCATCTGCACCAAGACAATCTGGGCTCCTATACCGCTCGAGGAAACTTGCCTCCCGCGAGTAGTCGCATTCGTCAGCAAGCTCGTCTTTCATTACCTTTATATTGAGATAGGATGTAGTGAATTGTCCGGATAGCAGGAAATGAACAAGATCGAGAATAAAAAGTCAGATATTCAGCGCTAAGCACGAGGAAAATATAGAAGACACACTTGAATCGTACGATCCAGGAATAACCCCCGTGGAAGCAAGCTTCCAGCGGTAAGAATCATCTTAACATAGCCAAGGTCGTTCGCAATCGAGTTAGCAATGTTCGGGAACTGGATCTTTACAGCGACATGTTGGCCGTCGTCGCCAGATGGACTCTGACTTTGAGCAAGGACAGCGTGGTGCACCTGGCCGATGCTTGCAGCTGCGAACGGTATACGATCGAACGATGTAAAATTATCGGCCCATGATTCCCCTAGGGACGTGCACATCACTTGTTGCATCTGCCAGTCCGGCATGTAGTGAGCGCTGTCTTGAACGCGACGGAATATTTTGTCGACTTCTGGGGGCAGGAGGTGGGTGTCTAGCGCCGAGATTAGTAGTGGACAAAACGATAGGAGATGGCCAATGAATGGGCACCTTGGATGCTCATGAACTGGCCGAGCTTTAGTGCGGCACCACGCATCTGAGAGAGCTTAGATACCAAACGAGTTATGTTTGCCTCAGTTAGCATGACTGGTTGTGTGTCGTTTGCATGGGATGTAGTAGAGCGACGTAAGAGCTCGGAAGCAGCGCCGTACGAGAGTGATGCTGCAAGGCCTGTGACTACAAGTGAGCAAAAGGTGCACGAAAGGACAGTAAAGAAAGACGTACCGCCATAATGAAATAAGCGACCAAGTCTGGATGAAGGGACCTTGGATGATTGGAGGTTGCGTGATTGTATAGGAGGGGAGTCTATGGGTGCAGATAGAGCTTTGTCTGGATGCTATGGGGTGGCAGCACATGGAAATGAGCAAGAGGTGGACATAAGTAACGAGTAAATTGGCAGGGAGGAAAGGACTAGAGACACACCTCTAAATCTAGGGGCACAGGACTTTCTATTTCGCGACGTAGGCTTTCAAATCTCGTGGGTATGGAAGGAGAACCAGAGTCAAACGTGACTTCGGAAGAAGACGCGATTTTCAAGGAACCCTCCACCTCAAGTGGAATAGAGGTGACCGTAAGACTGGGAGCGCTAGGTAGTTGAGGTTTGAAGGTAGGCTCAGCGGAGAGAGATATATAGGTAGTGCGCGAAAACTGCTCAGACTGGATGTCTTCTTCAAATCGAGGTGGTAATGGTGTCGCTTTCTCTTGCCGTTCCTCGGGATGGGACAGGCAAGTATTATTAATCGGAGGGTTGGTAGAAAACGCGTGATTTGTGCGCGGTTTTGGAGAGTCGTGGTCAGCTTGAGCATCACCTGCAAGCTGTGACGTTAACTGATGCTCCTCTGTCTTGCTCCTGCGCAAAGAGAACTCCGGAGATACAACGGGTCTAACAGGAAAAACCTGGGAGGCTCTGATCTGTGCTGCACGAACAGCAATATCTGTAACTGAGTGGAGAACGCAAAGCCATCCAAACGCAGGCCCAGGTGGCATCCACGACTAAAGTTCTGCTTCAAAAATCAATTTAAAAGGCACTGCAGTGACTGCACCGTTGTAACTTGGAGACTGAGTGAAATTTGCACAGCCACAGTAGTCCGTTTCAGACCTTGCATTCAAGTTGAGCGTTAAACGCACCTACCCTTGTATCACAACTACAGGTCGGAGCCATGCAGAATCAGACCCACAGTCCCAACCTGGCTCGATATGTGGTACAGAGGTAATTAAATGTTGTCCAGGTAATATGCCACCACTACATTTTACCTTGGTTTGTTATAGCTCCGACGTCATTTCTGACTTGCGAATCAACGTCTTTGAGGAGGGTCACGACAATGTCATGTGGTACAAGGTGCGACACCATAGCGGTTTCTTTCTTCACCCGCTCACTTGAACGAAGGAAAGGTTCCTAGGGGACGATGAGATCATTGAGCATGTCGTGGTGCGTTTTCATCTTTCATGCATTACACCAATTCACATTTCCTCCGAAGCACAACCAAACATCGACAATATGCTGGACAATCCACAAGCCAAAGCGCGGGTGGTATATCCGCATCCGTGCACCATCATTCCCCCCAGGCGTCTCCATATCCCTCCTTCCTATTCCCCGCACGTCCCCTAATTATATAGACGCCGCACTGTCCTTATCATGTCTTACCAATACCCCCTCTACTGTGATACACTCACCCAGTACCTCGAAGATGTCCATAGATAGCACATCGACAGTGCACTCTTATCCTCCAACACCGCCTCCGGCCTCCATCATGATCACCCCACCTACACCACAAAGCATCAGCGCACGGTTGGAGGAAATATCCCCATCCCCCGTTTCAGTACAGAAACGTGCCTCTTGTCCTGAGGCAACACAATTCTTGTTGGCACCGCATTCTACACCACACATCCCGGGGCCGCAACCAGACGAGCAGACATCATTCCTAACACGTGCGCTGTCGATGTTCAAAAACAACAGGCCTTCGCACTCTGCCTCATTTACGATCACGCCACTCAACCGGCCTAGTCACCAACCGCCTGGTTCAGGACATCGGATATCCCAGATTATTCCGATGATCCCGACGCCATTGTTAACCTTCCATGATCGCACACCGTTACTCACCTTGGCGTCTGTGACGGGTCTTCTCGAGATCAACAGAGCAGAGGAGCGTATATTGGGAATTGATACGAGCTTTTGGATCGCTGTTGCCTTGGCGTATTGGGAGTTTTTGGAAGATAGAGAGGTGAGTATCTTGCCGACTGCTAAAGCACCTGGCGCCGTCCACCTATCACCGTCTCTTCGGCAGTTCATTTTTCTACACCGATTCTTTGAATATTCTCGCTGACACATTCCTTGTATAGAGCTACCTGGCTGCAGTCAGTGATTAAACTCAGTCTCATATACCCGTACCCTGCTGTTCACTTGCTGTTAACATGCTATATTGTATTGAGTCATGCTGATCTGAATTTTCCCCCTCCCCACCTGTGCTGGTTCGCAGGTTCGCGTGCCATCTATAGAAGGTCCGAATTTCCCGGTCATTGCATCATGTTGTTTGCTTCTCATATTTTGCCCCTAAAATCTGCAATGTCTCGTCCACAAAGACGGGTATTCTACCCCACCCACGTACACCATATTGTATATATACGACGCCAGTCAATGTCGGGCACTACACCCAGTGTGAACCTGTCTTGTTGTCGGGCTCAATGCCATATTATCTGTCTTCAATTTGTGAGTGGATCCACACTAGTAGCAGGAAATGGCTCCACTGCGAAAGAAAATACTCAGGTTATAGAACGCTCCACCGAAAGTATTGCTCTCCCAAAATGCTCCTGTCTGCACTCAAGTACTTGGGTCGCAGAATCTTTCTCGTGTTCATTCTTGACGCTATGATGCAGCTAGAATTTTATAAACATTCGTCACGAGTTTCAACGGCAAGTTTTGAGCTGCAGAAATGAATAGGTAGCGTACATTGCACACAGAGGTGACGAGTAATACCGTACATAAAAGACGGCTCGAAATACATCAGAGAGAGTAGGTAAAGCATATCAAGGTCGTCGAGAGATGGAAAGGCATGCGACTTGTGAAGGATGGGAAGATCTAATGATGATCGTCTGTGTATTCAGGAGAGAGACAGCCAAGAAAGAGCCAGAAGCGAGTCCAGAGTCCAGCCTGTCTTATCGTTGCATCTGGGCGCGAAGTCGTTGAGGTCGTGGCTGTGCCAGTAGCATCGCCAACGGGAGGTGGGGTGGATGAATCAGGGATGGTAGTCTGTGGTTGCGAAGATGACTGGGTCACATTGGGCTTTGGAGGCCGTGAGTTACTTGCGGTAGGGATCTTCGGAGAAAATAGGGTTTTCCGTTTCTCCCTCGCGCAAGCATTCCTCTACGTGAAATTAAGTGGTGTAGGACGATCAAGGAAGAGAAGGCACATACACGTTTGCCCTTCGCATATGGGACCTCGACAACTGCGGGACCGGGTCCTTGAAACTCAATGCCTCCACCTCTTTGTCTGCGCCGTTTCAAAATGTTTCGAGCCCAGTCAAGAGGAGAGGACAGTGATGTAGCACGAGCACTAGAGGGACTGCGGTTGCGGTGGAATAGACGGCTGAGAAGCGTGGTGCCTGGTGATGCTGAGGAGTGGGAGCGGCTTCGTGCAGAGGACTGAGAACATGCCAGAGGTCAGGAAAACAAAATCAAATTGATAGTGATGACATACATGGGAACGATTTGGTGGGACTTCATCGAAAAAACCTTAGGGTACCCGATAAGCAGGCGGACGTCGTTGAACCGGAGGTTGTGTAGCACTAGTCTAGAGCATATATGTTGAGAACAACAAGATCTTTTGATGAAAGTGTCACGTACGTGGAGTACCGACTTATTGGCATGGCAGAGTGCGTTCAGTTGTGAAAATATACATTAATGAGACATGCATATTGATTCACCTTTGAATTCGAAAGTAGGTCGCCGAGGCCGGCTTCTGTAACAATCGCAGCAACATCCCATGTGTGCGCATTTTTGTTGGAGCAGCCAGTGGCTAGTAGTTTTCCATTCACAGAAAATGACACGCAATACACATAATCTGCATGCTGTAGGGGCGAGCTGATGAGTGTCCATCGTCGAGGTTCCACAATAGCACTGTATGGTCTATTGATGCGCTTGCGAGGATGCGGTCATTTGGTGATATTGCAATGGCCCAGACCCAGTTGGTGTGCGCATCCAGTAGTTCGGTTTGCTTCCATGTTTTGATATTCCATTTCCTAATCGAGTGATCGTCTGACCCGGAGATAAGAGTTTTTCCGTTCTTGGTCCAAGCCAGGCAACCCACTATATGTGTATGTCCTTTGAGAGTTGCGACAAGCTCGCCTGTCTTTGCGTCCCAGATTTTGATCGAGCACTCGATACGTTCAAGTCTTTCAGTCCGGGGCCCATCATATCCACCAGTCGCAATCATGGACATGTCTGGTGAATAGATCGCTGCCCACACATAGGTGTGCCCAGTCTCAATTGGCTCGAGGATTGTCTCTCCGCTTTCGACGTCCCATTGTCTTGCAGTCCCATCGTTAGATCCACTTAACACTCTTCGACCATCTCGACTCCAGCAGAGAGACATCACTAATTGTGTGTGCCCCATCCACTTGGCGATGACTTTGCATGTGTCGATATCCCATAACCTCGCTCCGCCGTCCTCACTCCCGCTAACCACTTTCTTCCCGTCCGGAGACAACGCTATACAGTACACTTCACCTTCTCCGTCTCTCCAGTCTTTTCCTATCTGTTTCCCGCTCTTCAAGTTCCACACTCGGAGCGAGCTGTCCAATGAACAAGTGATGATTCGCTGTCCACCTGGCAGGTGTATGACGCCTCGCACCGTTTCGGTGTGTCCTTTGAATTCCTGGTGGGGTGTCGTTGCCGATGTCTCTTTCGCTTTAGCAGTGGGTGAAGCCATACTCCAGAATTTCAACAATGGAGTGCAGCGCCATCTCAGCTTTCATCTGTCAGATTTCACAATTATCACTTACGAGGAGGTCTCTAAGCAGCGATGGGCAGGCAGCAGGGAATGATGGCTTTGGTGGGAAAGTCACAGTTGAATCCCCTGCTTTCTAGTACGTTGTTGTACATGCTGTATCCTCGTGTTCGCTTCACAGCTTATACATAGCATTAGCTGTGCATCTGAAGCGCCCAAGTATCATATGATCACATTTAGTGAAGCTTCAGTCCATGATTATTTAGTTCTTAACAACTATGGAAGGCGAGAAGCCGTTCATTATGGAAACCAGGACAGCTAAGCTCGATCCCGGAATGATCTCGAGATGTGCGTCCCGTCTTTCCGATGATCGAACCTCGTGTGTGCCATGGTTGCTTACGATGGAATATAACTATTTCCGAATATCGATATTGTGATTGATGTGCGACCTGGCAAATGGCATGACACAGACCTGAAGAAACTATGGATATGGCAACTCCTGCACAACCGAGTCCTCCTAGGTACAAGCGACACACTCAAAATGCAAACCCTGTTGATAATCATCCCCCTCTTCCTAACCTCAGGTTGACCCATAATCAAACATAAGCCCCCCCACCTCAGAAAACGCACCTGCCCCAACTTTTCATGGCAATTCCCATGCTTCGATGCTCTCTGATCCGTGATTCATCTCCACCTCTGCTCTCACGCTCGCTGCGATTCAGGAGGAGGGAGAGCAGCAGTGTTCTTTGCTCGATGCGTTGATATCAGCATTGATCGAACCTGTCCTGTTCGGTGTTGGGTACGGGTCGGAGATAAGGATGTCAAATAATATTGTTAGGCGAGTTCGATCCCAATCTTAATTCCACTTTCTCCTCTTGTATGACGTTTGGTTATTGATGCTGGGACGGAACTACATAGGATTTTGTATACGTTCGACGAACTGCAACGGCACGTTTTTAGCTGTGCAGAAACACAATCTTTGGGAGGATCTTCGGAGGGATTAATACGACGCAAGGAGAAGGCAACTTGAATTTTGGATTAACGAGTGGGGAGTGGAAGGAGTTTAGTGGGGCTGTAAGGTCGAGGTAGGATGAAATGGCATTCTTTTGATTTGTTTCAATACCGCAGCACAACGCCAATGTTAACGAAGTCTGATATTGGATGATATTGTAGTTTTTTATCTCGCTCAAGTTGCAGGTCATTCAAAGTACATGCTCTGATCCGAGTCTCTCCCCGCATGCATCGACACCGACATAGTATTTCGACTCTCAAATCCATCTTCATCTTCGGTATCCACGATGACTGGTATCGATGCTGCTTGCTATTCAGGAGGATACCATAGTCATTGTTTAAGATTGACTTGATGGGGAGATATCACTAGGCAAGTCTTGTTTCGGCTCACCATACATTAATATCAATATGTCGTTCCTTCCTCCGTGATCTCCTTACTACTTACGTCTGAGATCTGAGGGGTGGAGAGTGTCGCTCATCAAGCAGCATAAAGAAAACGCCCGCTTCTAAGCGACAGGTGTAGCACTTGGTACTAGATACACTGTTTGCAAACTGAGCTCGCCTGTTGCTGGACAGTGAACGGAAACAGGTGAAAAGGGACTAGTCACTGTAAGGCTGTGAGAGAGTTTGATATGGATGATGGATGATGAGATCTTGAGAGATGAGGGCGTGCGAGCTGATTCACTTATGAATGCTTTTATGTCTAAGTGAGTGAGGACAAAGGCTCCTCGGGCCCACACTTGGTGAAATGATAGTCTCCGACTTGCATCGCACAAACTTTCCTTCCACGATTTTCAAGACATGCGCCAGATTAACCGCTTCGATGCCTTCGAGGTTTGCTAGTTAAGGCGCTCGAGAAGGGCTATACAACGATATGTGAGTAACATCGACAAGTCAGGTATTACATAAAACAACTCAAAACACCAGATACAACTGTACATGCTACGCAAAGTCTCGAAATCACAACAAACTATACGTCAGATTCAACGCGAGCCCTGATGGCGCTCCACGATGGTATGCGATGCGACTTGATCTGTTTTGTGATCCAAGAGAGCAGGGAAGAAATGTGCACATCGTTGGAAGCCAGTACCGGCCATGTCGCCAGAACTAAAATAGCGACCCAAATGGGAGATACGATCGAGATGGTGACGACGCTAGAAGTGAAAATCACGATGGACAATGCTGTAGCAAAGAATACCATTCTGTTAAATAATGAGCCACTGCCGCCCCATGGTGTTTAACCGGACACGCACCCCCAAATCAGAAGAGCAAATGGCAGACATAGCATGAGGGCAAGGCCTTCGAGGCCGAGCACAGAAACCGATATCCCTTCCATAAACGAGGCCTGAACGTAAAGAATGCAGACCAAACAATCAAAAAGAGAACTTACCACGCTTTTAGCGGAGTCCCGCCGACTGTCGTTGACTTGTCCAGCTAAGACTAGAGAAACCACTAACGACCCCATAGCACAGAGGGTAGACATATAGGAGACAAGAATCGCAGCCTTTTGAGTCCCGACAGATGGTACCGCGAGAAAGCTGATATCCACAGCAAGCATCACAGTAGACTGAGATGGACATCGATTGCGTTGTCAATATGGAGCAGAAGTACAACTCACGAATATTGTGTATCCATTCCATTCATTGTTGAGTCTGTTGATAAAATTCTTCCACCGCGGTTGAACGATGGTAGAATCGACCCATATCTTTTTAAGGACCTTGTTATAAGCATTAGGGGATCCAAACAGTATGAAATTCATGACCCGAAGAAGGATATTGTTCGAGCGGGTGTTGGTATCTCCGTACAGAGACTGGTCTGCGTTAAGCCGGGCGCCCGGTTGTCCACAGAAATTCACAAATTTGACGTTGCCTATGAAAGTAATCAGGAGGCGTGATGCACTTCCAATCGACCAGAGCTCACAAAATTCTTCCATAAATCGAGCTGAAAGTACACAAAAATCAGGTAAACAACTGGCCTTCTATGCTCAGGCTTACCGACAATCCACACAGAATGCTCATGTGGATACTCATGTTCGATGCCAGCACTGTCTAAGAACGAATCAACAACAACCATTCATATCAGGGAATGATTTACTCATGAGAGGATCCATGAGGCTAAGCATACTTGCAACCTCTTCCGAAGAAAAAGGCGCTAAGGATGTGTCAGAAGTGATGTTGTCTGTTACGAACTTTTCAGTATAGCGTGAAACATTTATGAATCTTTACCCACCTGCCTGGGTATACATAACAATTTCTCTGAGTTTCACAACAACATCTTTTGGAAGGAAGCGTTTGTTTGGATATAGTTCGACGTGTAGCCTGTCAAAATTATTATGGATAACCACATGAGGTTAAGATAGGCTGTCATAAAGTTTCAGCGCATCGACTTCGGTCAAGGTGAGGAATATGCATACTCATGAGGCCGTACGAACCAGTACTGTGATTCTAGTGCATATCCTGGGAGTGGCACAGTGAAAGAAGCTCGAATGGGAGTTACTTCCCATAGAAAAACTCACTGATATGATCAGTGCACTTTACGCCTCGGACGTTACCAATGAGATCACTGGATTTGTGGGCCTCGAACCAGAAAATAATGTGTCTGTCGTGATCGGCAAAGTAATAGCCCCATTCTTCATGATCCCCCTTCATGAACTCCAATACCAACTCGACGGATGGATCGAGGTCGATGCCTGCATTTTCCACTTCTTTGTACGCCTTGTCAACAGCCTTACCTATATTGTCCACCATTCCAGGGGCTCGAATATCAGCATCAGTAAAGACTCTCTGGTGGGAAATGAGTCAAAGTCACACAGAAATGATCGTAAACATACTTTATACGAATGATAGAAAAACAAAGCACCTTCTGGGTGTGTAAGGGGTTCCCATCCAGACACCAGGGCGAGCTCCCTGCCAGTCTGTTTCAATCTTATTGATCACTCTTTCGCCAACACACTTACTCTGAACAGTCTAAAGGACCTTTCGGAACTTCATACAATGCATAATCACCTTGACTGTAGCTACGGATTAGAAAGGCAAAGTACTCGACAAATGTGATGTACATACAATTCAATCCTATCGTATCGTTTGATTTGTCCAGGTATCGCGGGAATTAAAGCGATATTATCAAAAGATTGTACTGGCGCCACGGGATGCGAGAGCATAGCGATACTCGTGGTGGTGGAGGTCTCGGGCATAGAAATTATCCATGGCGCACAAGAATCCACAGGAGACTGGATATTAGAAGCCACGCCATTCCGCCCGTCGCTTTGCCGAGGTGAGAGTTCAAACAATGGTACTGCGAGCGTTACAGAGGTAGATTTCTCTTGATTGACGGCGGCCGGTTGAGAACTCCACGCCAGACCTGGTTCTCGAAAGATTCTCTCTTTTCCGTCAATGATGGATTGACAGTGTCGAAACACCCGCCGGAGGACAGAGAGGATACTTGTGTATGACCGAAATGCGATGGTCCTGATGATGAGCCTCAGCCATGAGATAAACGTCCGAATGTAGCCTCTAGGTATAATCATATTGAGAAAAGTGGAGTTAAGTACAAGCTAGAGAATCGTCTGCTAAGCGCGCCTGTACAGCAGTCACGTGAGCCGTCATTCACGCGCTGGACTGAAATAGGATTCTGGCCATGTCATCACTCGAGGAACGTGCCTCCACATCATGTAAGTAACAAGTTTCGAAGTTTCAAAATAACTTGTTAAACAATTTCATCGGGTAGTAGTAATGCATCAAAGAGGAGCTCGTAGCTCTGGTATATAAATATCAGGAAGGGTGAATGCCATCAGTAATTTCACCAATTACTCATTTAGCCTTATTTTACTTAATCACCCTTGATTTTCGTCAACAAGATTTTTGAGCCAACTTAAACATTGCTTTTTCTACTTGTGAGAAAGTGGTTCGAGCATGCAAATAAGTTCATGTGTGAAGTTTACAAAAGTTGAATTTAAGTGTCATAAGCAAATACTAGACAGAAAAAGTCTAAAATGCAATTTCAAAGGAGTGATGATCAGCATATTTGTTAACATAAAAACAGCAGAAAACATCATAGGTCTGATGGTGCTGATGTTGTGGAGGAACAGGTCGAGTACCATATACAGGAATAAGGTGTGCGGCGTGATAGATTGAATCAATATGAATGATGGCAATATGGGGGGTGTTATCAGCATTATGAGCAGGCTGTACAACCCACATTCCAGTGTTTTTGTCGGGCGAGCCTCCAATGGTATCAAACCACTGCACAACTGCACATGGGTATAATCTAGCCTTATAAGTAAATGAAAAAGACAGTACTCATGCGACATCCATACCCCTCATACCATCAAGACCTGGGTTTGTGTTGACAAAGATGCAATCAAACTGAGGGTGCTCATTTCTCCATGTCAGACATGTGCAAATATACTCACAGCGCATGCCCCTGATACCACTGAGATCACTCGGTGCAAAAAATCTTGAACATGCCGAGTTGAAAATGTTGATTTTGCCATCAAATTGGGGACAACAGGCAAGGGGAACCTCTGAGGGGTCACAGGGATTGTTGAGATTGAGTTGAGTGAAGAGAAAGCATTGCAGAATATTTGGGAGATGTTTGATTGACAATTCAAGTGCTAACACAGCAGTAGTGCAAGTATGCCCGTTACATTCTAAAGCATGTGTTAGTGTGGTTTGACAGAGACAGGTGCTACATTACTCGCAAGGCATTTTAGCTAACTCCACATGTACTTCGACATTAGTAGGTCCGTTATCAACTTCATTATCATTGTCGTCCTGAGCGTTGGCAACCAGATGAACTTGTTCGTCTGGTGCCATGAGATTCAGGGTGCACAGTCATTCTATTTGAGTATCAGCAAGAGTACAATAATGATGGTATTCTACTTACCAAGTTCAAGGGCAGCTGTGGAAAGGCATGTACCATTGAGCATCTTGCGCTGGGTAAAATCAGCACACAATGCAGCAAGTTTGTTGAGGTGTTGGTTTGTGACCAACATTTGGCTGAGTGCCTTGTACCAGCTGGAGCGCCTCCACAGTTCCTTCACTGCTTTGATATGTTTTGCTTTGGTAATTGAAGAGCATAGACCATTTGGGGCCCCAAAAAGTCGAATTAGGAGTAGGTAGTGTTGTAGGGAATGTTGGCGAGGGAGTGAGAATGTAGGAACAACATCGAGTGTTTGAAAAATTTTCTGGTACTGATGAAATCGGTTGAGTGCATCCTGGATTTGCTCGAGAGTCTTCTCCATGATTATGCTACATTGGACAAGACAACAAAACTCGAGAAAGGCTTGAAATGTCCAGATCATATCTGCTGGGACATACCCCTCAATGGCAGGTATGTATACCTATAACAATATGCCAGTAAGACATTAGTAGTCTGATGCATGAAAAAATACCTTCATCATGGCTTTTGAGTCATCGCCTGTCTACTGTTTAAAGCCTCATCCTTGTGGGAAGTGCTGAAGACCAGCAAAGGCTGGAACAGCCGCGATTCTAAACAAAACTAGTTAGATAGCTATACCTATGATTAAAATGAATTATTTACCTTCGATCAATGTTATCCATGATGCGATCAGCATCTTTCTTTAAGTGTGTCTGGTATAGGTACTTCTCGATCCAATCCACCAGATGATCTTTGAACGTCCCTTTGATGAGTTGGTGAAGGATATTGGGGGAGATGAGTTCATGGATGTTGGCTCAAGTAAAATTGTTTGTAAAGGGCTGATATAAAGTATTAAGGTGTTGTGAAAACATTAGTGCAAAAGATAGGACTTATGATGAGTTCACCAACAATGCCATATTTACTTCATAAGGCATCCAGAGTACCTTCCTTGACAAGCGCATCCATATGATCATGACAGCGCCAACTGGCTGGCTCATTTAGATTGACATGTGAAGCCAAATATCTGTACAATAATTAGTTTAAGTAGTTGACTAAAAAGACGAACAAGTATGTACTTTGGGCACCAACCACGCACAATGCATCTCAATAAGACTTGCTCCTCATAGTCAGCAATATATGGTCCCAGACCATAAATAACATGGTGGAAATGTCCATCGCCAAAATGTGTGACTTCGTACTTGGTGATACCAGGATGAAGTGTTTCAAGAATCTTGGAGAGCAAGCAGTGAAACAATTGCTGGCAAAACTTTCAGAACCTCACATTGCCAGTCGCATGCTCCTTCGTCGCTATCTCAGATAAGCAAACAGCACATTTAAGAAAAAATGAATTTACTTTTGGGAATAGCAAGAAAGGCAATGATACTAACTGCATCATAATGAGCTTGTCTGACATTGTTGCGAACATTGCCAATAGACGCATAGAGTGGGTAGTACTCATTGTTTCCCATTGCAACAGACACTGTAGTCTTGTTGCTGCCTAAAACAACAGGTACAAATGTGGATCCGTGCGATTCTGGATCTTCTGAGGTTATATCCTGGTGCCAGACACTTGTTAGATTCAAGGGAATGATCAAGAAATTGAAAGAATTACAGCCTGATCCCATGACCAATCACCAGACATAAAGTCCTTCCACTGACACTCATCACCATCAGTTGAGAACTTGTGGTAGGGTCTATAATCAAACTCTTTGGCATAGTCAGGATTTGCAAGCATGTTGTGAATGACCTCTTGTGGATCACGGTACCAGATGTCAAAGACTTGATCCATCCATGGTGGCACATCAGTGTCTGGTCTTTCACCATTGTAGCGAACTGAAAATGACTGCCATTTGACATCTCCAAGTGGTGTTTTGTCGATGGGTTTGTAGAGGTCATGAAAATCAGTGAATGGAGGCCTGTTATCATGTTTCTTGAGGGTTGAGGCCCAGAGATCAAGGAGTTTATTGATTTGGGCTGCAGGTGTCTGATTCTCAGCAAAAAAATACTCTGCCATTTCAAATTTGATGCAATTTCGGTAAGGTGTCCAGTCAGAGGAGGATTTATCAGAGAGCGGCTCAGGTGGCCTTCCAGGGGGGAGAAACATGCCATTCTCATCACAAGGGCAGGCTAAAAAAAATACATCAAAACATTGTTAGAAAGCTGTCCTAATAGCAAAGTAAAGCATTACCATCAAGCTCCTTGTGAAAGTTCTGATATAGGCAGTGTCATGGCCCCCAAAACTGCGTGTCGATTCTCAGAGCCGGTGAGCTATGTGCCCCATCATGTTCCATCATATTCAACCAATCATTCTCAACTTCTTGAAAGTTGAACTGTGCCTCATGTGGTTGCACAGGTGCTGGATGGTGAGGCTCTTCCAGCTCTTTAGAAACACTGGCACGGTGAGAATTAGATGCCTTTGTGATTATAGGATGGGCCAAATTCCAATGTTTTGTTCGTCCCGCTTAAGTTTTGAAATGACACTGACAATTTAGGCACTCACAAGGGAGTTGGAGTGTGTTATGATCTGGTTGAGAGTTCCAGTTCCTTTGAATGATATCAACTGTGCTTAAACAGATGAAAAAAATGGGGTACATACATGGTATAGTGGTGAAATGAGGTTTTGGTCCAAAGTCAACCAAGTCCGAGTTTCGAGTGTGATAGTTGTAATCAATACACATTGTCCATGTTTGGGATAAGGGCACATACTTAAAATTTTTTAAACCTAGGCCATTCTTGCTGCACCCTTCAACTTCTGTCCATCTCACTCACAGCTGCCCACTCACATATTTCATACAATATGCCTTCCCAACCTGCTGACACTGCTTCAGCTTGTCATACTCGTGCATCTAATGCAACTGCACATCCCAGTGCGATCCTCTTGCAGGTGAAGAAATCCTGACACATAGCAGAAGAAGTTGCTGCTGCTCAAGAAGAAAAAGTAGCACAAGCAGCAGCACAGGCAGTAGCTGCTAAAGCAGGTGCTGAGCACATCACTGGTATAGAGCTGGAGATGGATGCCAAGCAGGTGAACATGCTGATGAGGAAGGCTAAGGAAGTTTGGTCTTATCCAATTCCCTCTAAAGGCAAGAAGGCTATGAAGGATGGTCTGAGTCAGGCAGCAGCCTGTGGTGGAGGTGATGAGGTTGGAACTAACTTGAATTAAGAGCCAGAGGTACTTACCCATACAGCTGATGCACCAATGGACCTTGACAATGACCAGGATGCACGTGGTGAGCTCAGTACCTTCAAGAAGAAAATTACCAAAGCTTTGATGAAGGATGCTGTCAATCAAACGTGTGAGCAAATCAAACAGACAACAGCTGCTGATTGTGGAGATAGTAAGGTTGCACATGTGCATAAGAAAGGCAACTCACTCGATGTTATTGTGTAAGTTTCTCTGAGCCTCTCACCATGCTCTTGCTCACTAAATCAACTATGTTCTTCCTCAACTTAACTTTGAATTACAGGAAAATGCCTGAGTGCGCTGTAGCACTCGAGCTCACGCTAGGCTTGTATTCACTACTTTCCCGATATACGTTCAATGCCCGTCACTATCTGCTGTAACCCGCACAACCCGATGCAAACCCAACGCTTTGACTAGCGGACCCGACATTTCGGCCGCATCAGACCCGATATTTTCCCGCACACTTGCCCTATCCGTGTCCCGTCCCGTCCTGCTAGCCCCACTAGGTGCGTAGTTGATTATTTCACACATTACTTACGTTGTAGCAAGTGCTATTACATGTTTTCCCATCATCCGCAGCGCCTCATGTTAGTTTACATGTACTTCGGACCCGAAATCGTCGGCCACTACTTTCGCCTATAGGGTTCCAGATTTCTACGTACTTATATATATATTGGACTGACTACGAGTATTTTCATTATCCAAGTAGTAGGGAGCCATTCCCCGATACTTAGTGGTCAAACCCGATATTTCGTAGTTCTTAGTTGACATTGCGAATATTACCGCTCTTTCTATCCGAAATACCCGTCGTTATCATATATCCGCATACCGCTCGCTTTCCCAACGTTCGCTATCGCCATTCCCGCAAACCCGCTAAACCCAAACCCGAAACCCACTAACCTGAAACCCGAAATCATCGGACCTGACGCTTTGGCATCGGACATCGTAGATATACCTTCAGACTTTGTTTCCCACACTCGGACTTTTGACCAATTATCATTTCACTAACTACAGACCAATCCAATAGCTAACCCCTCGGGTCGAACACACTTGTCTTGCAAGTAAAGCAGACTAGGCTGTGCACGACCACAACATTTTTATATTGCTGGCTACTTACTTCATGTAGTGCTCAGCAATTGTTGTATCTCTACAGCGCTCTTGACAGCAAAGTCAACCACTGGGTCTCAGGTGTACTCATAAAGAATCAGAATGTGCCCAGTCATGTGACTTGCACATTGGCATCACTGCCTCCTACAACAATTTTTTCTTGTCTTATGGGCTCTTTCAAGACAGCTCACAGTGAAATCCCAACCAATATTCTTAGAGGTGTTCAATGTTCTGGGGTGGATGAGGATGTGCTGAGAGGTTTTGCTGATGATGAGGACAACAACGAGGCTGATGAATTGGAACACCTGGCTGTACATGGGATCAATGCCAAGGAAGGGAGGCTAGCTGCAGTGGTGATGTTTTAATTTTTGCTCAAGAGAAATATCTGATATAGTAGTTCAAAGATGGCACTGACTCTCACCATTGACGACTCTGATGATAAATTGGAGATTCTAGCAGAGTTCCATGCTTCATTCACCCAGCCATCAGAAGCAGGTTTGTCCAAGGCTTCCTTCACAGTCAGCAACCTCAAAATGAAAGCCTCTGAAGACCTCAATATAACCCCTGGGAGTGAAATTAAAGATTTTTTGGACAAGTACAGTGAGTCAGCACTGATCATTGAAGTTGACACTGTTATACTCACTGCACCTTTAGTCAACAATACAATGGATATTGACCTACCAGACAAGAGTGATCTGATACATGAAGTGAAGTTTGAGGAGCCTAATGTGAAGCCCCCCTGCACCACAAGTTCGGTGAGAATCTAATGATCTATAGTAGTCCTTCCTGACACAATTTTTTTTTGGATTAGACACCAGTCATGATCACAAACATCAAAACTGCTCTCACTAAGAAGGCAAAGGTGGAATCAGTCAAGCTTTCAACATCTCTTGGTATTACGTCTGCCAAGCCCAAGGAACAGCAATCAGTCAATGTCGACACCCCACATGACAATTTGAAGCCTCAAGTGCAATACCAAAATACTGACCTCCCTGAACAAGTCCAAGCGGACCACCATTGGGCTAAAAAATTCCTTCCAATGATGATGTTGTGGGCCAGCAGCCAGGAATCCCTCTGGAGCATCACAGATGCAACTTTGCTGATGCATATCCAAATTATATTTCAGGCAGTCTACCTGGAGCTGAACCTCACCATTGTTTAGAACAGTGTTGTTTTCTTGCTTGTAAGTTTTTGTCCCCCCAAATGTCTATGATACCTCCTTACTATTATATCTGTTCACTTATAGACTGTCCAACATCTTTCCGAGTGGCGGAGCAACTTCGGCTCTACAGCCATTGCAATCATCTTTGATTTTCTGATGAGCAACAATGACTGTGACCCAAAGGTTCTTGCAGGGCTCCTCTTGAAGAATTTCTCCTTTATTTTTGAGAACATGGACAAGTGTGAGCCTGGTGGGGCATTGTTACGACAAACGGTCGTGTGCGACTAGGATGATCTAAACAGCGACAACCACGACAGTGGTACCGAGTGCTGAGAGTCGTCGGCCTTTACAGACAAGCAAAGGTTGCGTACTCAAACGTAGCTCGTGGTGGTTAACGAGGGGTTACGCTGAGATGATAGCAGAGGTTACAGACAGTGAGAGGCGTCACTGAAGGTACGAGTCGATGTCGAGCAGGTAGCTTTAGCGGGACAAGGAGTTCAAGGGGAAAACCTAGTAAGATTAAAGTAAGGAACGTCTACTTTAATCTTCGACCTTATATAAGGCTACTCTATCGTATCTAAGCTCAGCTCGAAGCTGGGTTCTAATCTGCTTATCTACTCGAGTCAGAGATAGCGTCCATGAGGCGGGCTTCTATCGTGGATAGCGTCCATGCGGTACGCTTCCATCAGAGATAGGATCCACGTGGTATCCTTCTATCAGTACATGAGGCAACACGAGGCTTGCCTTCTATCTTGATAACATAAATAGGTCTTCTAGACCTATGTCGTCATGTCATGTCACGTGCGGTCCAGACCGCTTATCTAAGCCGGCAGTTGCCGCTTATCATCTATCATCATCTATCGTCTTCATCGTCTATAGAGCTGGTGAGGCTCCGGTATCGTCTATAGCCGTGCGGGTGGCAGAGGGCTCTCTGCTGGCGGGGGACTCGTGCCATGTTACTGTAACAGGCATTCCGCTCTGCATTTATGCTGCAGCTCCTCGGAAAGGCCCATCTTAGTGCCATTAATGGTCATGCTATCATTCTCACTGTAGAGATACAACAATAGCTGGACACTACACGAAGTAAGTACCCAGCAATATAAAAATGTTGTGGTCGTGCACAGCCTAGTCTGCTATACTTGCAAGACAAGTGCATTCGACCTGAGGGGTTTGCTGTATGGAATGGTCTGTAATTAGTGAAATGATAAATGGTCAAAAGTCCGAGCGCGAGAAACAAAGTCCGAAGGTATATCTATGATGTCTGATGCCAAAGTGTTGGGTCCGATGTTTTCGGGTTTCGGGTTAGTGGGTTTCGAGTGCGGGTTCTGCGGGTTAGCGGGAATCGCGATAGCAAATGTCAGGAAAGCGAGCGGTATGTGGATTGACAGTAATGACAGGTATTTCGGATAGAAAGAGCAGTAATATTCACAATGTCAACTAAGAACTACGAAATATCAGGTTTGACCACAAGATATCGGGAAACGGCTCCCTACTACTTGGATCATGAAAATACTCGAGGTCAGTCCAATATATATGTAAGTACATAGAAATCCGGAAACCCATAGGCGAAAGTAGTGGCCAATGACTTTGGATCCAAAGTACATGTAAACAAACACGAGGTACTGCAGACGATGGGAAAACATGTAATAGCGCTGGCTATGATGTGAGTAATGTGCAAAATAATCAATTATGCACCTAGTGGGGCTAGCAAGACAGGACAGGACATGAATAGGACAAGTGCACGGGAAAATATCGGGTCCGATGCGGCTGAAACGTCAGGTCCGCTAGTCAAAGTGTCGGGTTTGCGTCGGGTTAAGTGGGTTAGCATCGGGTTACATTAGTGCATGATGGGCATTGGACGTGTATCGAGAAATAAGAGAATACGTGCTCAGCATGAGCTCAAGTGCTACACCACATTGAAAACCAAGGACCTTGCATCAAAAGGGATGGCTGGGGTTATCGCATTTTGTGCTACAGCGGTCTGTTCATTTTCTTGTTAGCAATGCTCCAAGTCCCCCTCAATTGATTCACACAGCTTGAGCGTGCCATCACATTGATTTCAGAGGGCAATATCAAAGTTGAGAACATCTTAGCATCAACCTCATTGTGCAGCAAGTTGAATATCAAGCTCTCTAAAGTACTCAACAAGGCCACTGGAAAGGAGACCAGCACCCCATATCTGTTTTCACACGATCTCTGGGGTAAAGAAAACACTGGGTACATGAAGAGCATCAAGAAGAAGGGCTTGGACTTCATCGGAACTACAGTAAACATGGTGTGATCAACTTTGAATGAAAGTACTGCTGTGGATGCAAGCGTCTCCGATAGCTCTGACAATGACCATGCCTTCTTATGTATGTGGGTCATTTTCCTCTTATACCTCTTATGTTGTTTGAATTGTCTTTTGTTGCCTTTATCACTAAGTTGCTGATTTGGCAGATTTGGCAGAGTGGTTCTCCGGTGTCTGGCCTTTCAACACCATCTTGCTTGGCGGACTACTACTATCACCATTTGTTATAGCTCTCAACCAGTGCTATTTTCTACTTGTACTAGGCTACTGATACTGCTCTCCAACTACAGGTTACCATTCATTTCTTTTTAATTTCATTGTTCCTTAATTACTTTTGCATTGTGCTTTTCTGAATGGACAATGCCCTTTTTCTCCTTTATTTGTGATGCAAAAAGTAAACTAAGTCAGAAATAAGTGAGAATTCAGACGACAAGTAGTCTTTTTCCACTTCATGGCCACTTATTTTAGCCTTTGCTTATTTTACCTTATTGGGTGTGAAAAAGCAACAATAAGTTGAATTAAGTAACTTGTCGTTTTCCTGATGGCCAATGGATCAGAAGACAGTTGCAGGTGACAATATTCATCATCATCACTTCTTGGCTTTATGGTTATGAGACTTAGAGGGAGTGGGAGGTATAGGAGTATGTTTCTCTTATTAACTGGACTGACTCTAAAGTATCTGTTCTATCTAGTATTTATACTGTCTGTCGCTAACTACTTGTAACCGGTCTGTGTACTCGAAGTGTCGACTTCATTCTGTTACTGTGTAGTATCTGACCAATATTCTCCAGTTTGCCTTCTCTGTTAAGTGTTGTTCCTGGTGCTCTTACCATGACTATCTCTATCTTACTGTAACACTCCCCCTCGAGCACAACTTAGCTTCATTCCTTCTCGTAGCTTTTGAAAACATGGCGCCAGCAAGGGTTTTGTAAATGCATCTGCAAGGTTTTCATCCATCGGCTTGTATTGAAAAAGACAGTGTCATTTTGGATGAGCGCTCAAATGAAGGGATAGCGTATATCAATGTGTTTTGTGCGTTGTGGCACTCAAGCTCGTGCTAAGCATGTATTCAGTGATTCCCCGATACACGTTCAATGCCCGTTGTGCACTAATCACAACCCTAACTAACCCACTCAACCCGACGCTAACCAAATGCAACCTGACGCTTTGACTAGCAGACCCAATGTTTCGGCTGCATCAGCCGACCCGAAATCCTGCGCACTTGTCCTATTTTGTGTCCTGTCTTGTCTTGCTAGCCCCACTAGGTGCATAGTTGATTATTTCGCACATTACTCACGTCGTAGCCAGCACTATTACATGTTTTCCCATCATCTGCAGCACCTCATGTTTATTTACATGTACTTCGGACCTGAAATCTTCAGCCGCTACTTTCGCCTATGGGTTTCCGGATTTCTATGTACTTACATATATATTGGACTGACCTCGAGTATTTTCATGATCCAAGTAGTAGGGAGCCGTTTCCCGATATTTAGTGGTCAAACCCGATATTTCATAGTTCTTAGTTGATATTGCGAATATTACTGCTCTGTCTATCCGAAATACCTGCCATTGTTGTTAAACCTCATACTGCTCACTTTCCCAACATTCACTATTGCGATTCCCGCTAACCCACTGAACCTGGCCCGAAACCTGCTAACCCAAAACCTTGAAACATCGGATCTGACACTTTGGGATTGGACATTGTAGATATACCTTTGGACTTTGTTTCTCACTGTAGGACTTGTAGTCCTTGTAGCCTCGTAGAGGCTATTTTTGCAGTATCCCTCAGGTCCTAGCGCAGCGCACGCTATCACTATCACGGCACACATCCTTCCTATTGTCAGCCGACGGCCGCAGCTCATGCGTGTGTTTTGGTTCGCATCCGCTTTTCGTCGGTTCCATCGCACATCCTCCTCTGTCCTATCCATGTCCTCCGCTTGTCCATTGGTGCGTATTTTATCTCATTCGCATTAGACTGATTATATTTTCGGAGATGATATCGCGTATGTTCTGTTACTTGCGTTATGGACCCTTAATACGTGTTACCGCTATCTTCTCGGTTCCGAACAGCGCTACGCGCGCTATCATATATACTCTAGACTTAGGATTTTTCATGTATCTTCTTGCCCGTTATCGAAAATTATCATCCGTTTGCATGCATCACTCAGACTCTAAGTCAGAAATCTTCGGCCGACTACATCGTGCACTGTATTAATGGTCACGCTATTGTCCACATATTGGTCATCGCATCTATCGTCAGAACCCTCTTCCCTCACTATCGTCGCGTCACATCTCCTTCACATACCGCTAGTTGCGCGTTCATATAAACCGTCGGCTTTTTCCTGCGTCTCCACGCTCCATCAAACTTTTGGCTGTTCGGTCGCACATCGTATCGCACCTTTGGCAGCTTGCTCGCGCTCGCGCCGCTTCAAGCGCAACGTCACACGCTCTTCCATTTTCAGTTACTCTTACCAGTTCAAAGTTTCCCCTCCATATTTTTACTTAGAGGAATCGTTCTCAGTAGCAATCCCCTTGGGCCAAATCTATACTCGCGTCCAGAGGTCTATTTGAGTTTTACCCCACTTCACCCTTTCTCCCCCTTTCACCCCTTCTCATCTAGCTATCATTCCTCACACACATCATGCTCGGACTTTTGACCGTTGAAGGTTCAACGATACAGCGAGGCACGAACAATGCTCCTGGTTGTATCTATAAATGTTGTAAGGTCGCGCGTTGCCTAGTCTGCTATACTTGAGACGACAAGTGCGTTCGACCCTAAAGGGGAAGCGAGTGCAGCAAGGATCTAGAGGTATGCGCTGAAAGCGCTACTGGTTGGCCAATGCGAAGCGCGAGAAAGCGCAGGTGCGCGCAAGGCGCGGGAATGCGCGCGTGTATGGCGCGAAGCGTGGGAAAGCGTGCGCGTGTATACAGATACGAGAGAGAGTAAGAGTGAGTTTGCTTAAGTGATGATATGATGTAAGACAAGAGAAGAGAGATGCGAGGTGTAAACAAATAGATTTCTACTATGTTCTGCTAGGTGAATAGTGGGTAGTAACCAGTAAGTCCTCTGTCATTCTGGTGGGAGAGTAAGTTTCTAAGTAAGTATGTACTGCTGGCGCTTAAGTATGGCGCCTAAGCGCTGTCATGCGGAGCCGAAGCGCTACCGAGTAAGGTATGTAAAGATATATGTAAGTAAGGGTCCATGATAAAAATAAAGATGGAATGATATGCAAATGTGAGAAATGGAAATATACGCACTAGGGAACTTGGTGGACAGTGGATGGATGCTTCTGGATGGCTGGCGCTATAGGGCGCTACAGCGCGGGAAAGCGCGCGCGCATATACATCGTGAAGCGCGGGAAAGGTACGCGCGCATGGCGCGCGTTGCGCGGGAAAGCTGCGCCTCATATAGAGATAGCTGCAGGTAGCACACAGAGTGATACTACAAGTTCGTGCCATGTACTCCCCAGTGAAAACTGCCATATTGCACAATGAGAGGCATGAGTCTCTACACCGTTTATCATTTCACTAACTACAAACCATTACAAACAGCTAACCCCTCGAGTTGAACATACTTGTCTTGCAAGTATAGCAGACTAGGCTATGCACGACCACAATACATTTTTATATTGCTAGTTACTTACTTCGTGTAGTGTCCAGCAATTGTTGTATCTCTACACCAGAATAAAGGAAACAATCCATCATTACCTCTTTGATTGTCCTAAATACTGATAGGAACACCATCACTTCACAAATGCTCTTCATTGCAATGCCACCTTAATCTCCTATATACTCACATCCAAAAAAAGCCTCCCCACACCTCAGCAGATATATCAATAGCACAGGACACTTAAAGCCGATGTTCAGTGAGCTGTAATTACTGTCCAATCAAGCTGCTGCTGTGTAGAAACATGGAATCATTGATGCACCACACCTCAACGACCACACCACACACTCATCAACTGATCCATGCACAAATCATATTCCACAACAAAAGGGTGGTTGTGTTCAACCGCATCACTGTCAGCACCAACAGAAATTAGTAGACCTAAAGGAACAGGAAGCTGGACAACAACTTCACAAAGCAAAGCACGCTAAGCCAAAACCCTGCAAGCCTTGCCTGATCCAATACAACCTACTAACACTTCCTCACCATAGCTTTCCTTTTGTACTTACTTGTGTTGCCCCACTGGGCAACACAGGAAGTATGTGTCAGTCCCATATATAGCACTAGTATATATACCTGCCCCTGCAAAGAGAAAGATGCACATGACGAAACACATCCAACATAGGGTCAATGACCCCAATGGACTAAATCTGATGCAAAGAAAAAATATTCATCATCAATAGCAACATTTCTTGAGAGTGGAGAATTTTGACATACAATATAGTAATTTCTAATGTACAGTGGGTACCAGTTATTGCTGTAAGTTGCTTGCCTTATATATTAAAGTTGTTGCTTTATACAATGTACTATTAGGAGATTTGCTACATCCTCAAACCTGATGGGGTGCTTGAGGTGCGAATTCTTTAGACAACATCATGCAGTGTGTCCTTGACACACTCTAAGGTTCTTATAGAACAGTTATTATTTCCTACCCACTATCATTTCCTGTCTATTGATGTGACATCTACTGATAGAAGATTATCTAGCAGCTTGCACATGACCTTTTCATCTGTGCCTTCCTAACATTGATACCATACAGACCAGAAAACTGGCTTAGGAATGTAAAACTCCCTAATTCATATGATTACTGGTGACTTACATGTGCATGGGAGAAAATGCTCAACAGCTATTTCTTGTTATTATAACTACTTTTTGTCTTGCCATTATGTCTTTTTATATTATTTTCCAAAGTTAAATCACATGACCCCCTAGATATTCTGTTACCATGCAATTTAGATAGGCAGCCTGAGCAGCTGGTAACTTGATATTCAATATCCAACACTCAACTCGATGATGCAACTGTGTTTATGTTATTAGAGCAGGACATGTTATCCTTTTAGGTTTGCATGCACCTAGCTTGGACTGTGCAAA